ACTAATAAAACAAACGGGGAGGGACACTTTGAGAGGATTGAGAGAGGTCCAAGGGAGTTTTGGTATAGAATTACATGTACATTGCAAAAGCTCAAAATCTTCTTGAAATATCGCCCGGAAACGATAGTGCAACAAACAGAGAGAATATATAAATTTACGACCTTGAACTTTGACCTTTTGACCTCAAAATCTATTGGGGTCTTCCTTAGGCCACAGGGAGTTGTTATGTAAAATTTCATTGCAAACGCTCAAAGGGTTCTCGAGATATCGCGCGGAAACGAAAGTGTTATAACAGACAGAATATGCGAATTTATGACCTTGACCTTTGACCTCAAAATCAATAGGGTTCTTCTTTAGTCCTTAGGGAGTTGCTATGCAAAATTTCAGTTCGAAAGCTCGAAGGGTTCTCGAGATATCGTGTGGAAACGAAAGCATTACAGACAGACAGAAAGACGGACGGACAGACCCAAATTAACATCCCCCACTTTTCAAGCGGGGGACAAAAATCATCATGAGGCAGGTAGCATAGTGGTTAGCGCGTTAGTCTCAAACCAGTATGATACTCATACGTCGGATTTGACTTTGTTGTTCTTATAATAAGAATATTTTTTCCTGTAAATTCCTATGTAAAATTTGACCTCACCTATCCCTGGGGGTGCAAGCACTTTTTTTGAACAAATTTCAATCAATTTTACTTGTCAAGTGAGTACAATCAACCTGCAACGTATAAGGATGCTTCTTTAAAGTATCAATGAAGAATATTTTTTCCTGTAAATTATGACTAAACTTGATTTTGCTGTTTTGGAGGAGATTTTTGTAGTTTTTATCCCATATTAAACAGATTTTGATTTACACTATGTAAAATAAGGTTTAAAAAGAAAATGTCTAACTTTTTTGCCCAGTGGTTCTTTATGAAAATTATGAGTATATAACTATGACCTATACGTTCACATTTATATTGAAATTCATCGAAAACGCGTGAAATTATGGAATCCAACGTCAGATCCTTTATGATTTTCTGGATATTGATTATGTCATACATCTGTAATTAATTTATATATTTTTCAATAATAAAGATATCTAATGTATTCACTGAAAAGTCCCCATTTTATCTGATGCTTAAATAGTATTTTAGTATATTCTTTGTGCCAAAAGTTAACTTTCATCTTCTACTGTTTCTTACTTAACCCCCCCCCCCCCCCCCCACTCTTTCAATTTGCTTCCGATTCAACTTAGATACACGTATGGGGTTAGATATCTTTCTTTTTCTCATTACAGTTTATTATTTTGCCCACATGATTATTGTATGGCATGTTGGTAGTATGTAGAAAGAACATTAACTCTTCAATGTGCTAATATTAAATATGCGTGTACAACAAGAGGGAAAGAAAAATATTCCTTAGATAACTTAATAAAACAAGAGTCCCATGGACCGCAACGTTCACCTGAGTTACTTTGGCCCTGTGGTTAATCATATTTTAACACATCTTCTGTTGTAACCAAGCCTTATCTACAGAGGCCATGATATAAAATGAATAAGAAATTAAATCTGTAGTATGATGCCCCCTCATTTTCAGTAGGGCCTATGATTCGCTATAATCTGCACTTGAGAGAGGACGTGGCATTTTCTCTGAACAAATCCAAATCCCCTTCACCCAAGGATGCTTGGGTGAAATTGGCCAGCTGGCTCTTAATTGACAAGAAGTCGTAAATGTGAAAACATTACAGACAACAGACGGACGTCGGACACCGTTTATTGATTCAACTTTAACAAGCTAATTCAGAGAATTTGTGTCCCCCGCTTAGGGAAAAAGTATACCATGCGCAGTTCGTGGAGGGGGTGTGTCGGATCCCCCTGACTTAAGTTGTAAATAATTAAATTTGTAGAATTATTAAATGTATACATGTATACTGAAGCAAATAAAATGCATGTACGTCAATATGCATATAAAGATTTGATTGCTTATTCTTTATAATGTGTATAGAAGATTCTTTTTATATGGAATATTTATCACACTGTAATAATGATTTTATAACCTCATAAATTTTTCATTTCACATGCTGAATACTATCATTTAGTTAAAAAAAAAAGTATTTAAAAAAAAAAAAAAAAAAAAAAAAAAAAAAGAAAGGATCGACCGAGATTCGATCCCGGGACCTCTCACATTTGAAGCGAGAGACATGACCACTGGACCACGCAATCGCTTTACTCGTTGCGAAGTATATGCAGAAGTGAAGTCACATACATGTATATATTCATGTTTTCATGTTCGGTATTCTCAAAATTTTACACAATCCATGGTGTTTGATTTATTTAGCCTTTATTAAACAGTTCTTATAGATGTAATAAGAACATAAAGTCCGCCGAGAACCTGTTTTATACGCAATAACTCTCCTCTAAAAATGCCCAATAAAACAAACGGGGCGGGGCACTTTGAGAGGGGCGAGAGATGTCCTAGGGAGTTTTGGTATAAAATTACATTGCATATGCTCAAAATCTTCTTGAAATATCGCCCGTAAATGATAGTATTACACACAGACAGAATGTAAAAATTTACGACCTTGAACTTTGACCTTTTGACCTCAAAATCAATAGGGGTCTTCACTAGGCCACAGGGAGTTGTTATATAAAATTTCATTGCAATAGCTCAAATGGTTCTATAGATATCGTGTGGAAACGAAAGTGTTTTAACAGACAGAATTTGCTTATTTATGACCTTGACCTTTGACCTTTTGACCTCAAAATCAATAGGGGTCCTCTTTAGTCCATAGGGATTTGCTATGCTAAATTTCATTGCAAATGCTCAAAGGGTTCTCGAGATATCGTGTGGAAACGAAAGCGTTACAGACAGACAGAAAGACGAACGGACGGACGGACAGACGGACGGACGGACGGACGGACAAACCCAAATTAATATCCCCCACTTTTCAAGCGGGGGACAAAAAAAAAGCTCAATCAATAGCTAAAATTCAATCTTTTCTATTCACATTTTTTCCCTCCTTCTGACCGTCCGTAAAATATCAACATTAACGACTTTTTCTCAAGAATAAATGAATCATTTTCAACTAAACTCCTTTGTTTAAGGGATTTTGTTGAAATTGAAGGACCATGATTCGCCCGTTATGCATAAATTATCCCACGTTTCCAATTATCGTTGCATACCCAACAAACTAGACAGTGATTCCTTAAATATACCACAGACCTTCACTGTAGGTCTATGAATCACAGAAAGTTAATAACTGTAACGATCGTTCTTATTGATATTGGTTACATGTTCACGTAGTCTTACTATGGCCATTATTTATTACAAGATATATGCAATGCCTGGTTGTGAAATTTTAATTCTAGTTTGTGCACGTTCAGAAGTTCATTATTACAATAGATCTTCAATTGAGCGTGAACACTTTAAATATATAACAGATTCTGGAGCTAAAAGGATATCACATCGACAAACTACTGCTGTTTTAAAAATACTAAGGTTAATTGATATACAAATGTTGTATTTGAACTTTATTATATATTTATGAATTATATAATAAAGTTCAAATACAACGTTATATCAATTAACCTTAGTATTTTTAAAACAGCAGTAGTTTGAAATAACGAATATGATCATCACGCCATATGCAATAAATTCTATAAAAAGAATATGGCGTGATCGCGCACGTGTAAAATAGTAACCGAATAACAAACACAACAAGACCGGCCTCTAACACGTAAGCATGCTCTTATAATTAATTTAGAAAGCTTTTTAGTTTAATTCAGTTAATTTTCTTTCTTTCTTATTTTTAAATAATATTACATTTAGAATAAATTGATTTTTTCATGGTTATTTGCTCGTCAGTAAAAATATTTATGCAATAAAATCGTTGTATCGATTTTAAACAAGTTACTACGCGTTCTTTCAAATTCTCTTTTTAAACATTTTCTTTGAACATGGAAGAAATGGTTTCATTTGATAAACTTAATAAGCATTACAGAAATAAATTAAGTGTAAAAATTGAAATTTAGCAATTTATTTCTTCGAATTTACTGCTCCCTTGTCATTCGGATCTGTTCGCTATGTTCGAAAAAATCGTGCACTGGAGTTAACTCTAAAATTTCTCCTCTTAAAATTGATGTCCCCCTTTAAAAAAAACGCTTGAAAAAACTGGGAGGTATCTAGTGATCGGGATATCCGTCCGTCCGTTACGCTCTAGGGTCTCTTATCCGCAACTCTTCTTATATTGTGCTCACAGTACCTCTATAGTATCTATAATATTGATGGGTACCAACTTTCGGGTCTCTGAGAGAAAAACATGGACCCTGCCATTATAACCATATGGAAGGCAGGGGTGTCATTTTGTGAGCCCAGTGCTCACAGTATCCTCCAGTTGTTTTATAACTCCTCCTATACAACTGAATAGAATTTTATAATACTTTGATATATTCCTTATTACCATTATCTGCCATTGTTCACCACCAATTTAACCTTTCGATTGGACACATTTCGGGTCTACCAGTGCAAAACATGGACTTTGCCATGAAACTCATATGGGAGAAGGGGGGGGGGGGGGGGTTATGATTTACCGGTAGTCAGCGCAGTGCTCACAGTACCTTGTAAAACATTTGCCATTATAACTATATTGGAAGCGCTGGGTATCATTTATTGAGCTCATTGCTCACTGTTTTACCTCTAGTTTTAACTAACTTTTGGCTAATGATGAATAATTTTGATTTTTTAAATTAATAACTTGTTTCACTTTCTGCTTAAACATGCGGAAAATAGGAGGATTGATAACTCCTATAGTTGATGGTATAAAAATATCGAGCAATTTCTAGAAGTCGAAATGTTCAATATACATGCATGTATTCTGTTTTACCGTATTGCGTATTTCCCCTGGTAAATAATGAACATTTTGTGCTCTGAAGATTTATATCGCCCCGTATTGATCTGGAAAACTCGGGAAAGGTCCGGGCCTTCTTCCGTTAGTCAAAACTTTTCGGGTAATTTCTAGAGACTAAAACTATATATAAAGTTACCCCAAGAGGTTGCATCTGACCAGATACATGCTTGTTCGCCTATTCCTTAACTTTATCTATTTTTGTGGATCTTTTAACCGAGGTAGGTTGCAAGATTTGCACTGATTCGGTATGGAATTGTGGAATGAATTTTTTGTTATAGCTTCGTCATTTTTTTTTTTTAAATTTGATATTTGAGAGTTACTGATCTTTTTATTTTAAATAAATTTTACAAGTAGGAAATACTGAACTGTTTATCCATATACTATAGATTACTTAATTTTCGCAAGATATTAATTGTTGACTCCATTAACGAGACATTTTTTTTGGCTCACAGGTACTTGGGTCTTGGTTTATAAATATGTATGTACCTTATTGATATGTAAAAACAGTACTTTTGTACATATCAGTAAGGTACATACATATTCATAAACCAAGACCCAAGTACCTGTGTTATTGTTCTATAAACTCGTTAAAAATTCTAATATACGCGAAAATGTACTTTTTGCGAGGATACTATCTTGCCTAATTACGCAAAAATAAAGTTTTCGTGAATAAAAAGTAATTTAAAGTTACAGTATTTACCCCAGTATATAATGTTCAGAGTACAAGCCTTCAAAATTATCTTCCTTTAATTGGCTGAAATACTGCTTATTCGGCGAAAAGCCTCAAGTCAATCAATCGAACACACTTGAATGCTGCAATCGTCCATTGTGCAGGACAAATCAAGGCCCCATGATCATGAAACATCTAAGCTTTAATCAAAAGTTTTGAGATTAATTCAATTACAAACGAATGTTTTACAGGCGATTGAAAATTTGACTTGGGTCAAAGTCTGTTTCGTGATCTTTGGACCGGAATTTCGAGATTAAAAAATTAAAGATGGTTTGTGAGAACTGCTTAAATAGTAAAACTTATAAAAAAGACTTGATATATTTGGAAATTATTTTTGCAATGAAATCAATGTCATTATGGTTTTAGAATAATTAGTTTCGATGCACTATGTATCATTACATCATGGCATAAAAAAATTTTTCAACTATATTTTGTTTTGGAAACTCGAAAGATACTACTCTACATTTTAAAACAGAAAGTCAAACTATGCATTTTTAAAAATATTCAAAATTTGGTACATTCAAAGCACAAGTACCTGTGATTCAAAGTTAAGAATATTACATGCATCATTAATTCAGTGGATCTATCCAGCATTAGAAAATGGGAGAAAAAAATATGTTGCACGATCTATTTACAGCAGCAGATCAAAATGGCAAGCGTTGAAGTGAGAAGCCCTTATGTTTCCTACACAGCTGATTTCATCCAATCCAAATACGAGTACCAGTCTACTAAAGTGGACACGGACTCGACAGGAAAAATCACCGCCACACCCGTCTCTACCCAGTATCTGTTTCGAACACACAGAAAGGTTCCAAAACTGGGTGTGATGTTGGTTGGTTGGGGCGGTAACAACGGAACTACAGTGACGGCGGCCATCTTGGCCAATAAGCACAAGATGGAGTGGCCTACAAAAGAAGGACTTAACAGAGCGAATTACTTTGGTTCCATCACTCAGGCTAGTACGGTGTTACTAGGAACCGGTCCACAGGGTGAAGTTTACGTACCTATGAAGTCCCTGTTACCCATGGTTGACCCAAACGATATTGTTTTAGATGGTACGTTTCACAGGGGAAAACAACAAGAAAGAAAACTTGCATTCACAATCCTTAGTAAAACTTCATAGTTTCATAGACGTTATATTTCAAAGTGACATAACTGTACAATTTGTGTAACCTTTATTATACTTTTAGGATGGGACATTTCCTCAAAGAATTTGGCAGATGCCATGGAGAGAGCAAGAGTTCTGGACTACAATCTACAAACTCAACTGAAACCATACATGGAGGATTTCAAGCCCCGCCCGTCAATATATATCCCAGAATTCATAGCTGCTAATCAGGCAGAGCGGGCCGACAATGTATTAACTGGTACCAAGCAAGAAATGATGACAAAAATCCGAGAGGACATCAGAGAATTCAAGAAATCGAGTTCTGTTGACAAAGTCATCGTCTTGTGGACCGCAAACACGGAGAGGTTTTCCGAAGTAATACCAGGTGTCAATGATACGTCAGAAACCTTGATTAAAAGTATTCGGGAAAATGAGAGCGAGGTTTCGCCTTCAACTTTGTTTGCAGTTGCATCCATTCTGGAAGGTGTATGTATATCATAAGAATATATTAACATAATAAATAAAATTATTCTTTTCAATACTTGAGAAAATCAAAACAAAAATCGTTGATGACATTTTATTTCATCAAAATAAGAGAACCCGGGCATTGCAAAACGAGGTACAACTAAGGTTAAGGACAGAATAATTGCACGATGGTAAACATTTCTTGACAGGTAACCTTCATTAACGGATCTCCTCAGAATACGTTTGTACCAGGTTGTTTGGAACTGGCCGAAAGAAAAGGGGTCTTCATTGGAGGTGACGATTTTAAATCGGGACAAACAAAATTGAAGTCTGTCCTGGTGGACTTTCTTGTTAGCGCGGGGATCAAACCTAGGTCTATCGTCAGTTACAACCACCTGGGAAACAACGACGGGAAAAACTTGTCTGCTCCTCAAACCTTCCGCTCAAAAGAGGTACATTTTTTAAAACGAAACTATTTTTCACATGGTTTAATACTAGAAAAATTACGCATATTTGTTTTTTCACTTTAGTACTTCATATTATCTAATTCGTACAGGGGGTATAGTAACGTAGAGCAATATAAATTCGTTCATTTTCTTACGTCAGATTTTTGTGCTCACTAGTTGAATTTATAAACTATGTTCATTTTATATTTCAGATTTCCAAAAGTAATGTAGTGGACGATATGGTTGAATCCAACAATATTTTATATGATAAAAGGGAAACTCCGGATCATTGTGTCGTCATCAAATACGTGCCGCACGTGGGGGACAGTAAGCGGGCTATGGACGAGTACACCTCGGAGATCATGATGGGTGGAACCAACACGATCGTAATCCACAACACGTGTGAGGACTCCCTGCTAGCCAGTCCTCTTATCATTGACCTAATAGTGCTGGCGGAGCTCTGCGAGAGAATCCAATACAAAGTCGAAAACGAGGCTCACTTTCAGAAGTTTAACTCTGTATTATCCATACTGAGTTACCTATGTAAAGCCCCTTTGGTTCCCAGAAGAACCCCCGTCATAAACGCGTTATTCCGACAGCGGTGTTGTATTGAGAATATCCTGAGAGCTTGTATTGGACTAGCTCCTATCAATCACATGCTATTGGAGTATAAATTACAACAACAAGAAATGATTGTTCCTACCAAGAGTGCAAAGCCAACCATAGACTCCAGCAAGGACCAAATTATTTGTAAGAACAGCGACAGTAGTGATGATACTGATTGTGAGAAATAGCAAGATACTCAGATTAAACAATTTATATTTTGCTGACTTGTCTTTCAAAAAAGTCCTTTTTGGGAGGTGTGAGCAATTCTAAGCATTTGAAGTTGATGCTCAATAATTTCTCGGTGAAAGATATACTCCGTAAATTCCCTGTAAATTCCCTATCACAAGATGAAACTGCTCCATTCAGTAAGCTAAACTGTTATCAGAAGGCAAATGGCATTCAATGAAGTTTCAGTGAACTGAATAGTCTACATGTAGTTTCATCCTGTTTGATAGTGTGTTTACTATGTGAAGATACAGAAGTTACAAGGGACACTATCAATATCGACTACTAAATAAAGAAACATTTCTGTCACCCTATTTTAATTCAAACAACTTCAAAATAAAATGGTAGTAAAATAATTTTAGGGACTTTTTTTAGTGTGAATAGACCAAAAATGCTTAGAAACAGAACATACTGAACGTACATGTAGGGTTGTGCAAAATAATGTTGGAGATTTTAAATATTTGTTCATTTTTACATCAATAAATGACTGTTGTATTGTTATATTTTTTCTACACTTGAGGACGTGGAGGAGAATTAATATGGGGTTTGTTTCATGGTTTGTTTATTTTTGTGTGCATGATGACCATTCACATGCTTCATTTGTGAGAACATAATACTGTGTCATCTAATATATAATAAGAGGCCCATGGGCTACAACACTCACCTGAGTAACTTTGGTCATGCTGTTTTACACCAGATTTTCCCCTATTGCAATACCATTAGTGGCACCGCCCTACCCCTGGGGCTATGATTTGAACATTTTAGAGTCTATACTACTCCAGGATGCTTCCACATAAGTTTCAGCTTTTCAGACCCAATATTTCTCAAGTAGAGGATTTTAAGATTTTTCCAACATTTTTTTATTGCCAAAATTTGATTCCCTATTGTGGTCCTGACCAACCCCCAGGGGTCATGATTTTTTAACTATTTAAGCTAAATGAGGATGCTTTTACATGTACATAAGTTTCAGCTTTTCTGGCCCAGTGGTTCTTGAGAAGAAGATTTTTAAATGACCCCGACCTACTAGTATTTCTGTCTTTTCTTGATTATCTCCCATAGTAAGAGGGCTTGGTCTCACCAATAATAACTACAGCAATAAAAAATAACTTTTTTTCCAGTAAAAATAATGTAGCATAAAATACAATGTACTTCTGTTTTTTGCCTCTCAGTCTAATGTCATTCTGTATATAGAAGTTGTCACTCTTTGATCTTAAGGAGGAATGCAACACCAATATCTTATTTAATGGCTCGTTTATTTGCGAATCTTAAAATTAACATTGAATTTCTCTTGATTATTTTATAGATTTTCTCTTAGAAAGAAAATGTATATTAAATTCTTTCATTTGTAAAAAAGAAAGTGTTTGATTGAAATTGGCAATATGTCTGTAGAAAAAAAAATTATTGAAATTTATTTAAGGATACATGTAGTTATGGATGAAAAGACATTCAAATATTACTCAAGTAATGTATAACCCCCCCCCCCCCCCCTTCAGCTTCAATGCACAAAAATGCATCTGATATTAAAATCCAAGTTCACATCTATTAAACATAATTCAAGTGAAGAGAATTAAGTATAGGCAAGACTTTATTGTCACCTTGAAACAACCTGTTTGTACACTAAAATGATATCTGCTCCACATCCATTTAACGCCTCCTACAACAGAAGAAAACATTGTTATAGCATGAGAGACAGCTGATCTGTAGATAATGCTATAGACTCTATCCTAAGGGCAGCTAAATCACTCACCTGAGGATGCTTCCAAGTTTTTTTTCCCAATAAGTCATTTTTTTTTTTCCAAATTTCAACTAACACCACCTGAGGATGCTTCTAAGTTTTTTTTCCCAATAAATAGTTCTATGTTAAACTATTATCTATTTGTGGTTCACACTACACCTGAGGGTAATGATTTGAACAAACTTGTATTTACACCCCCTGAGAATACTTTCAGATAAACACGACTAACCATTGCTTTGCTGTTCTTGAAAAGATTTTTTATATATTCCTATGTAAATCTTTGATCGACAGTTGTGGCCCATTCCTACCCCTGGGGGTCATGATTAGAACAAATTTGAATCTACACTAACTGACAATGATTCCACATGAGTTTAATCTTTCCTGGCCCAATGGTTCTTGAGAAGAAAATTTTTCAATGATGCCATTAATTTTCCCGCATTTCATAATTATCTCCCCTTGGAGGAGCACCCTTATTTGAAATTGGTCCACTGGTTCTGGATAAGACGAAAATGTGAAATTTCATGACAACAATGACAATGCTGATGGGAGACAACAAACACATTTTGTTCAGAAAAGTTCAGTTAGGCCTTTGCCTCAGGTAATCTAAAAATACTACAAGTTGACTGGGTTTTACTAGATCCATCATGACATCATAATTGCTTTTTTTCTGAAGGCTACACTAGAATTATGTAAAAAATGAACATTTCCACAAAAATCACTATTTGCTTTGCATTAAACAATGTCATTCATTATGTTCATAACATATCATTCCATAATTTACTAATTCACAAATGGTCTGTTCATCATGAATTAAGATCATAAAACACATCACATTTCCAAAATCTACCAAGGTTGATGGTTTTTGAGACAAAATTAGGATTCTATTAAAGGAAAACAGTGAGGAGATCACTGTCTTTAGTCTTGTATGATTTTGACCTTTTTTTGACAGTCAATTTTCATTTTTCTGTAGCCATGCCCTATTTCTTCAATCAAAATTATCACTAATTAGTACTCAGTACATTGATCAACCCTTGATCATTGTCCAACAGGTGATCATTTGTTAATGAAGGCTGACAGTAAAAATAAAACTACGGTGCTGCACTCGATCGGCTGGCTATAGGATTTGTAAATTTATGAATATTCAAACATTTAAAAGTTAGGGATGTTCCTATGAACTAACACAACTGCTTTGTCTAATACTAATTTTGTGATTTTTTTTTTCAGCTGCCGACACGAGAAATTTTAATCCCATTAACTAAAATGTGTCTCTGGCATATTGGTCATGATGTGAAAATAATCATTAATTTTTAATGTATATTTTGCCCTTTTCACCTCACACACTATTCAGACATAACAAATGCACTAGCTGCAGATCTGTAGCGTTATGGTTTTATATATATTGTCTTTGACCATAACGCTACAGATCCCGTAATGCAAAAAAGGTGCAATTTATGGCGCAATATTTTTTGCGCACTTTTTGGGAGAATTTCTCCATTTTCCAGCAACGGTCAATTAAATACCTTTCACTCCCTAATTCTAGGCATATTATTTAACCAATCTGTATATTTTATCCATCTCCCAAACCTTTATAGTCGTCTCTACAAGTGATTAACTCGCGTGATTAAAATGATTTGTCAGATTGCTGAAAATTCCCTTCAAGCGAGTTTATTGCCTGTAAAGACAACTATAAATGGTTGGGAGGTGGATAAAATATACGTATTGGCTACAGAATGTGTCTAGAACAAAGGAGTGAAAGGTAGTTGATTGACCAATGCTAGAAAGTGGAGAAATTCTCCCCAAAAGTGCGCAAAAAATATTGCGTTGTAAATTGCACCTTTTTAGCATTACGGGATGTGTAGCGTTATGGTCAAAGACAATATATATAAAACCATACGCTACAGATCTGCAGCTATAAATGCACCAGTTTACCTTTGATACATTTCTCAGCTGATCTTTAGTTGCAGATTTTAAACATCCTTTCACAAATTCTGAGATCTCTGTCCAATCATGAATCAGGATTTCATTCTAAATTAAATAAAATCAATTAAATTAACAAAACACACAAGGGTCATATTGGTTATCAGAGTATAATAAATCCCCTTTAATTTGCATAGGTGAATAATCAAAGGGAAGTAACCAATCTCAGAGTAAAACTAGAAACATGTCCATAGGACATGAATGCCCCGCCAAGGGTATATTAGTGATGCAACATGAAAATTTGTTTAAGTATATGAAATTTGATCAAAATATCTTGAATAGTGATGCATTTGAATTGCTCACATCAGTATGTATCACCATATGAAGTTTGACACTAATTTCTTTAAAGTGATGTCAAGGTCAAAAATGCCAAGGTCAAAAAATGTTGATGCAGTTGAAAAGCTCTCATCAGTATGTATCAGCATATAAGTTGAAAAATTATTATAAATGGTTTCTTTAAAACTGAATTACACCAATTTGATAAAGTGAGGTGAAGGTCAAATGAAAGGTTAAGGTCAAAAATGTTGATACAGTTGAAATGCTTACATCAATATGTATCAGCATATGATTCTGTTTGACAATAATTTAGTAAAATGTGAGGTCAAGGTCAAAGCAAAGGTCAAGGTCAAAAATGTTGATGCAGTTGCATATCTATCATCAATATGTATCATCATATAAAGGTTGATAAAAAAATGTTGAATGATTTCTTTAAAACTGACTAAAACACAATTTGAAGGTCAAGGTCAAATTAAAGGTTAAGGTCAAAAATGCTGATGCAGTTGAATAGCTCTCATCAGTATTGAATTGTATGTATCAGCATAAAAAGTTTGTCACTTATTTAGAAAAAGTTCGGTCAAGGTCAAAGGAATGGTCAAGGTCAAACATGTTGATGCAGTTGAATAGCTCTCATCAGTATGCCTCAGCATATGAAGTTTGATAAAAATATCTTGGATGGTTTCTTAAAAACTGAGCTAAACACTTATTTAAGAAAAGTGTGGTCAAGGTCAAAGGAAAGGTCAAGGTCAAAGGAAAGGTCAAGGTAAAAAATGTTGATGCAGTTGAATAGCTCTCAATATCTATCAGCATATGAAGTTTGATGAAAATATCTTGGATAGTTTCTTTGAAATTGAGATTTGAACAGAGCTAAACGCAAAGTGTGACGAAAGGACAGACAGAAGGACAGAAGACGGACATGACAAACACAATATGCCTTGGCCACATTCATGGCGGGGCATAAAAATTTCAAAAGAGCTCTTCCCTTGGCCATATTCATGGCAGGGCATAAAAATTTCAAAAGAGCTCTTCCCTAAAACCTGAATATCCTTTTCTACTGGATGCAATGAATTCAACAAATCTAGTAAAAACCTTTGGTACTTATACCTGTTCTGTGTACTTTGCCTGCAAGATGTCCAGTTGCAGAAAAAAATGTCTCAAAATTCCATGTAATTTTACTATTTGGAAAAAAAAAGAGTCTCATCCCAACATCAGAGCCCCTGTCCCAGCTAAGGACTATTTAACTGACAATTTACATCGAGACACTCTTGATCCCCGTACCATGTGTTTTACACATTTTGATTGGATACTAATGTACCATGTATTTTACATATTTTGATTGGATACTTATGTACCATGTATTTTACATATTTTGATTGGATACTAATGTACCATGTATTTTACACATTTTGATTGGATACTAATGTACCATGTATTTTACACATTTTGATTGGATACTAATGTACCATGTATTTTACACATTTTGATTGGATACTAATGTATCCTGCTGACGTGTACCTGGTCCTGTTTACAGCTGCCTCCTGGTAGTCCCTCCATACTTCTGAGGACATCTCTGTACAGCAGTAACACTGATGATATATAGGTCAATTCACTTTGACAGGGGGAAGTCTGACTTTTCTCAAGAAACCTTAAACAATGTACAAAAAGGATTATTTTACTAGTCTTTCAAATGTAAATTAAACATTTCATTATCATTTTACTTTAATTTCCGTAACTGTTAAAATATGTTTTTAGCAAAATTTGACACAGATTTTCTTATCTGACTGTGATTAAAAAAAAAAAACCATGATAAGTAAGTGTTCCAGAGAATAACAACTTCCACCAAAAGGCAGAAGACAAAAGACAGATTCAGGTATCAAATAAGGTCCCCAATTCTATCTTAGTAAGGTGTAGGGAAATACACAAAAGTCAGACAGATGCAGGTGATGAAGTCCTCTATTCTATCTAACCTGAGTAAGGTGTAGGGCAGAAGACAAAACAAAGATTCAGGTAATAAGGTCCTCCATTCCTGCTTTCCATCACCAGCCAGATAAGAGAGTGAACCTGGAGCTGAGGAGAGCAGATAGTTCAGGACTGTCTGTGCTTCACCATAAAACTGATTCTGTACACAAGAGAAATATCAAGATTTGTTTTCAGGCATTTACAACTAATTCAAAGATTTACATGCATTTTTTTTTCATTTACCAGAATTAATGAAAAATTAACCTTTGAATCAGACAGCTCAGTTACAAGGAGAACTGCAAATCCCTCCAGAACCTGAAAAACAGAAATATAACAATTCAATAACATTTTTTGTTCATGTGGATAAATTGTTTTCATTAAAAAAAAAAACAAATTAGAAAATGCTAAATAGAAACTTTTTTTAAAATTCCAATCTATTGGATAAGATGCTGAAATTTGTGACAACTTAAATCATCTTCTGTGCCTGAAAAATTTGTATTTTAGGAAAAAGCCCTCTAGTCAGACATTCACTCAACAAGGTCTTAAGATCTATCTGGTCCTCAGCTCAACTGCTTGTATGTAATGGAGCCCTACTCATACACTGACCCTTACCAATGAACTGATGCTTTACCTTGCTGTCTTTTTCTGCTTTTATGATCTCTGTTACAGAGGATGATCTGAAAATTTAAAATAATTATTTTTTTGTTCATATACAAACATACATAAAGCATGTTTCATAATATTTCTCCCCACTCAAATCGATCATAAAATCTTGAATTTGAATCATTTTTAAAAAGGAAAACATTATTCCAAAGAAAAAAGAAAATAATTTTACTTCTTTAAAAAATTAAGAATATTTCCATCATGATGTCATATTTGATGTCATAAAAAGACTTTCACATCTTTGTCCAAAGAGCACAGTTTTGATGTTGTTGCAGATGAACCTTGAATGTAATTCACCAACTAATTCATGTTATCTTGCTGAATCAAATAAGTATCAAAGGCAGAAAAAAATCAGGGTCTTGTAAAATCAAATTTCAAAAAAAAAGCAAGAACTGAAATGATTTCTGATGCAGTGATCTGAGTTTTTGACCTCGCATTCAACTCTTTGTATAATGGGAATGTCACTTACATCACATCATGAAACACCAACTTTTATTAGAGGTAAACTTAACTAAGAGCACCATGAAATAAAATTACAAATATGAGGGGGAAAATGTTGAATTAAATTCTTTTAACTTATTCAAACATTCTTCATAGATTAATTTATTGTATTTCTATATCAGTTTGTATTAAGGACAGATATTATGAAATACCTGTATAACTATGTGGGTCAATTTCCGCTGCATTTCAGTTCCAGAAATATGCAGAGCATATCCGACAATTTTTTATTTCATTTCCGATATTTTTGTTTTCATTTCCAACATAGTTTTTTTTCATTTCAGGTATTTACCGGTGAGGCAATTTTCCAAGTAAGTGAAATGGAATTTTAAAAGTATTTATTGCTAAATACTGATAAAATATATATAAAAATCCATCTATACATAAATACATACATGTAGCACTAAGTCTAGGTAAAAGATTCCACTGAGCATAAAACTGTTTTCACCATGCACATTTAATGTGCATTGAATTTAATGTCAGTGACAGCGCCAAACTTACATGTATGTCCAAGTCATTGATCGATTTAAAAAAACTCAGAAAATAGATTTCAATGATTTATTAATGATTTATTCCTTTTAAATTTTTATAGTTTAAGTCTTCAAATCTGTTACTAAAGCTATCTGAAAATGTCGGAAATGAAAACAAAAACATGTCGGAAATGAAAAGCTGATAATTACAAAAAATTCCGGAAATGAAAATCAGCCTCAATTTCATTATATGCATGCTTAAATTAAGCCATTTCCACCTACTCAGGCTATTTTTGCCCTTCTAGTAATTTCCAACGCATATTTATCACGCAAGTAGAATTCTAGAAATGTTTTTCAGTTTATTAATCTTTGTGTTGTCATTTACATCTTCATGACTTTAATCAAGAAAACAAATAGCTGCCAGGAGTTTTAATTATAATTAACACAAGGACTTGTTATGTACACAAGGTGTGATATGTTTATGTTAGAGCTGTTAATTATACTCATTAAGTTTTCATTTGTACTCGTCGGAGAGTTCAATTATTGAAATTATAGGTACTGTGAGCAAGCTCAGATATTAATATCCTCGCTGCTATCAAAAAAAAAAAATTTTCATTCAAATTTTGTAAATGTGACCTTGAACTCACCAAAAAGACCTTAATTCATTACACAATTTCTGTGCATTGGAAATCTTTCTGTGAAAATCTTTATATGGACATGCAATGTTTTCTCCATTAAAAAACATACTAGGTGATCATAGATAACAGAGCTCACCTCAACAAATGTTGTCTATAAGTAAATATTTACATTTCCAATGTCTTTGTCCGAGGTAAAATTACCAATTGTAAATGCAATTTATTTCCTCATGAATGTTTTGGCACGGTTCCAAAAAAAACCACGTGTAGGGCGGGACAACACCTAGAGAGAAGCAGGCTTGGAGCCCGTGGATTGGCGGAATCAAAGCATGTAAATATAAGGAATAACTGTCTTATTTTTCGAATTCATGAAGATGATCAATGGATTGGCTTGTGTGATAATTTTATGCATAAACGCCTTCGGCGTTTATGCAAATTATCACACAAGCCAATCCATTGATCACTTCATGAATTCGAAAAATAAGACAGTTATTCATTAAATAAGGCAAAATCCTCCGTATTTAACCAATAATGTAAATGTACTATATTTGGTGTGTACAATATTTGACAGAAATTGATTTCTGGCTATGTTGGCGTAGATTTGATTTAATGCATTCATCAATGTTCTTATCTACCCAAACATGTCCAAGACATTTAGCATTTTATTTGAAGTAGCAGAAGTTTGTCTCCGCCAAAGGCACTAAAAGAAAATCTAGAAGTGTGCAACTCTATTTCTCAGGGGTATAATAATTATATAAACCAGAATCTCTTGTTGCTACAGCAACAAAAACGGTCTTCCGTTCTCCTTTATTGGTCTGTATGAATGATCTTTTATCCATGTTAAAAAAGGCATGTAATATTTACAATGATTACAGAAAAACAAACAGCCGAAGGTGTAACTTACCAAGATTCTCGACATTACTTTAGACAATTATACTCTTAATAACATTTATTAAAATCAATTTCAATTTTTTTTTATCACTTCCTGTGACGACCGGAAGTGACGGCGGATGTAATGTTAACTTCTCATTTTGAGGACAAGAAATCACGTGACCGGAAGTAAATTTTTAAAAAGATATTTGAGGTTACTCTAGAAATTTGTAGTCTGAATAACATGTCCTAAAATCATTCCAAATACCCTTTTTATCAAAGATATCTATGGGATAGTATGATACACAATTTATGCAGTTTTTCTCTCATAACGGGAAGTTGTCGTTTTTGATTCCGGTGGGACTGACATACAGGTGACTCTCGATCTCTCGAAGTTCAAGGGACCGCAAGAAAAGTTCCAGAGATCGAGGGCTTCGAGAGATAGAAAGTAAATAAAATCTGGAATTTTCAGTTCCGATCATCGATGTTGTACTATTATAAATACTGGAAGTATATGTAAATAAAGTCATTTCATGTTTTTCAATCGTATTTTACAGGTAATTTACTTGATATCAACAGCAATGATCGTATTTCGACTAAATAAAATGAAATTCTAAAGTTTCAATATTTATTTGTTATTTTTCATGATTACATGAAACCCGAATAGCAATTGTTGGTTTGGCTATTCTGCGGCTTGATCGGGTCCTTCACCAGTGTTCACCAGATGTTTTTAATCGGTATTCAGTCCTTCAGAAAGGAATTTCTGTGCAATATTTGCAATACTGGGATTATGTAGACTCCAATAAAACTTCACAGTCTTTGGAAACTTAATAAACCTAACATCTATACATTATTTTCTAAAAATTATTGTCTCGATTTCAAGTCAAAATAAGTTGTGAATTTGTTTATAATTTACCAATATAATAACCAATTAATTATATCAACACACGGACGACCCACAGGTGTAGTGTCATCTATGTAAACACCCAATTAACACCTCCATGCCAGCCCCAGGCGTTCATTGTTTCTAGGTAAGTCCAGGCTGCATCAATTTTACGCTTGATTGGCGTGTATACGCACGCAATCAAAACTTCGAGAGATAGAGAGTAAAATTCAATGAAATATGTGTAACGGGACCCAAGTTTTGGTTCGAGAGATAGAGAACTTCGAGAGGTAGAAGTTTGAGAGATCAGGAGTAAATTTGCTTAGTTATATAGAGGAAAAAAACGGGACCGGAGGTTAACTTCGAGAGATAGAGAACTTCGAGAGATCAGAGTTTGAGCCATCGAGAGTCACCTGTATTTCGAAACTACAAATAAGATGCTAAAATGTAATGCTAAAAAAGATTCCATATAAAAAAGTTGAAATTTTTGATTTATTTTACCACTTCTTGTGACAAGCGGAAGTGACGGCAGACAAACTTAACTTAAATGGATTTGCTAACTCAAGATCTACCATTCCTTTAAGTTTGGTTTCTTAATCTCTTGCCGTTTACAAGATCTAGCTATGATAACTTCTCATTTTTAGGACAGGAAATGATGCGACCAGAAGTGAATTTTACAAAGATATTTGACTTAACTGTAGACATACGCAGTTTAAATAACATATCTAAAAATCATTACAAATACTTTATCAATAAAAAATATTTATGGGAATGAAAAATACTCAAATTATGTAGTTTTTCTCTTATAACCGGAAGTTGTCGTTTTTGTTTCTGGTAGTACGGATATAATTTGAAACTACAAATAAGATGCTATAATGTAATGGAGAAACAGTTTCATAAAAGAAAAGTTGAATTTTTCGATTTCTTTGATCACTTCCTGTGACGACTGGAAGTGACGGCGGACAATCTTATCGCAACTGGTTTTGTCTACTCATCAAGATCTACCACTTATATAAGATTGGTATCTTCATCTCTTACCGTTTACGAGATCTAGCTGTGATAACTTCTCATTTTGAGGACAGGAAATCACGCGAACAGAAGTGAATTTTACAAATATATTTGACGTTACCGTAGACATTTGCAGTCTCAATGAAATATCTAAAATTTATTACAAATACTTTATGTATAAAAAATATTTATGGGAAAGAAAAATACTGAAAATATGCAGTTTTTCTCTTATAACTGGAAGTTGTCGTTTTTGTTTCCGGTGGGACTGACATATTTCGAAACTACAAATAAGATGCTATAGTGTGATGCAAAAAAGATTTCAAAAAAGAAAAGTTGAAATTTTCGTTTTCCTCGATCACTTCCTGTGACGACCGGAAGTGACGACGGACAATCTTAACCCAAATGGGCTCGCCTACTTATCAAGATCTATTACTCATATGAGTTTGGTGTCTTAATCTCCTATCGTTTCTGAGATATGACTCAGACAAAATTATTTTGAAAAAAGCAGAAATCGGACATATCTGACGACCGGAAGTGAATTTTGAAAAAATAAAAAAAATTGTCTGAGCGTATTTAGGTTCTCTATCATCCCTGAAAATTTCAGGACAATCAGTCCAGCCATCTCTGAGAAATCTTGCCAACAAAATTAGGGAAAAAAAATAATAATAAAAAGAAACAAGAGGCCCAGGGGCCACAGCGCTCACCTGAGCACATCAGGCTTAAATTTATCCCCCATTCGATCGGCCATTTTGGCCCCACCCTAACCCCGGGGGTCATGATTTGAACAAACTTGAATCTACACTACCTGAGGATAATGCCACATGAGTTTCATCTTTCCTGGCCAAGTGGTTCTGGAGAAGAAGATTTTTTAAAAGATTTTTACTATATATTCCTATGTAAAACTTGGGTCGGCCATTTTGGCCCCACCCTTGCCCCGGGGGTCATGATTTGAACAAACTTTAATCTACACTACCTGAGGATGATTCCACATGAGTTTCATCTCTCCTGGCCCAGTGGTTCTCGAGAAGAAGATTTTTAAAGATTTTTCCTATATATTCCTATGTAAAACTTGGGTCGGCCATTTTGGCCCCACCCTTGCCCCGGGGGTCATGATTTGAACAAATTTGAATCTACACTACCTGAGGATGCTTCCACATGAGTTTCATCTTTCCTGGCCCAGCGGTTCTGGAGAAGAAGATTTTTTAAAAATGCTATTAATTTTTAACAAATTCATGATTATCTCCCCTTGGAAAAGGGCGTGGCCCTTCATTTGAACAAACTTGAATCCCCTTCACCCAAGGATACTTTGTACCAAGTTTGGTTGAAATTGGCCCAGTGGTTCTTGAGAAGAAGATGAAAATGTGAAAAGTTTACGACGACAACAACGACAACGACGACAGACAACGGACAAATTTTGATCAGAAAAGCTCACTTGAGCCTTCGGCTCAGGTGAGCTAAAAACAGTAGAATCACTATAAGGTCTTCCGTCTGAAACAGAAGACCTTAATAAATTCTGCAGTATTATCAGGGATACCAAAATCAGAATGGGAGACTTAAGAATCTAAATTTCCTGGGATTTCCTTGAGATTTTTCCCCTGTAAATGTCGCAAAATTTTGATTCCCTATTGAAGACCTATCCTTCCCCCTGGGAGCATGATTTGAACACTGAACTTTGGAACCTTCAATACTAGTACCTGGAGATGCTTGTAAATGAAAATCTCTATTCAGGTCCTATTGTTCCTGAGAAGAATTTAATAGCCATTCTCTGTAAGCACTTAAACTTCGTTGCCACGCATGGTCACCGATTTTGATGAAACTTTACCCATGCATAGTACTTGACACCAGAAACAAATATCAAACAAAATTTCGTTGCTAAGTGTCTCGGTTGCTATGGCAACAGCTGGAAAAGGTTGAAAAATCGAGATTTTCAGCCACTTTAAATCTTGAATGTGGCTTAATAAAAACTAGAAAAAGCAAACAAACCATTCTCACTAAAACATGACACCTTGATGTCACTTATACTGTAAAGAAACTGTTTAGAATATATCTCTAAGTAAGTGGTAACCAAGGGTACATTTGGAATACATTTAAAATGCTGAAATATGCTGATAAACACTTCGTATTTACTAATGGTAGGTGTTACATGCTCAAACTCAATCAACGACTTCAGAAAAACAATGAAAATGTTTGACCTTAAGTATATAAGTGTAAGCAATATTATTCTATAAATAGCTTTTATGGTTGCCATGGTAACACAGTGTAACCATGCAAAACCAGTAACTAAGATTGGGTTAATGCTACTTTCTTGAGGAAAAACATAAAAATTCAAGACTGGCAAATATGCATCCTTAGGACCTTGCATCACCAAATACATGAGAAAAATTGGGTATAATTGATACTTTGCAGTGTTACCATGGAAACAAAGTACCAGTGCTTAAAAGTGAATTATTTTTCACTGTATTAAGAATTAAATTGTCATATAATCAAGAAACAAATTAAAGGACTCAGCTTGAATAGTACTTATCTGTTAGAACTGAAGTTGAATATCATATATTGATAAAATTTTATGAAGAATACAACACTGTTGCTATGGTAACCAAGAAGGTAAAATGTTCAACTTTGTGAACTTTATATCAATATAAAACTCTGTGTGCCAACTTCTTGCATCCACTTAGAGATTGGATGATAGTCAAAATTAAAAGTCAGGTTAGCTGTTAATAAATATCAATCATAAAAGTTTTGGGAATCTACATTAAAGGGTACGTATCCAAGGAAAGAAAATATGTTTCAGGTTTTTAAGCATATATTTTCTGCTTACTTCCATAGCAACGCTCTATTTAAAGAATCTAATCTGAATTTCTTCAAATGGGAAAACTAGGAGCACACCAACATCTTTAAAAATTGATCATTAGTTATGGGGAAATGTGCTTTTTTAAAAGATAGGATCAGATTTAAAAATACAGAGTGTTACTTTGAAGGCTCTCTTTGGTATAAAAACCTTGGCAACCATTGCCAACCAATATGAAATATCATATTTTGATCTTGGTATATGTTTCAAGGCTCTTTTTTCTACTATTTGGTCACATTTCATCCTATAATTGCTTTTTATTTTTACGTGTATGAATTTATAAAATTCAATGAATATTTTTTTTTACTTTTGAATACTTTGTTACCATAGTAACGTATGTAATAGTTGATTTACCAAACATATTTATCATGCATTTGAGACATCTAACCTTCAACTTTTGGAAACAGTCATTGCCAATTGCTTTGCCGCAAATGTTAACTATGGGGCTCTAAACATGTTAAAATATGCCATTTTTCGAACTTTAAGACATGTTGCCATGGTAACTATAAAGCATAGCAACCAATTTTTGCCTGATATTAGTTTAGGGTATCAATGACTTTTATCATAGAGAGTTTGGAGAAATTCTGAGACTATGCGTGCCACAGCTCCTATATAAAATTTCAAATCATTACAGAGAATGGCTCTTAAGCTTTCTAAACATATTTCTTGTAAATTTAGGGGGGTCACACTGTATGAAAATAATTTCTATATGCTTGTGAGCCTCAACATGTTAGAAGAATTAAGTTCTTACCTCACGTGGACGAGGGAAAGTAGAGCAGCACACCTACGTGGATCTGTAACATTAACAACTGGCAGAAGTGTATCAGGTCTCATCCGGCAGCTGATAAATAAAGGAACATATTACAATTTCAAAATATCTGTGTCATAATGTCCTTAAAGAAGTATTTCTAAAGTACCATGATCTGAGCAAAAGTATTATTATATTTTATATATGATAAAGACATACATGTATACTGTATTTCTGTCCCCAGTAATAGTAATCTCTTAAAATGTGAACAATTGTATATTTTGTATAAAAAATCTATAATAAATATAATTATATCAAAACAATTTAAGTACATAAGCAATGTAAACAATGCTGTTTGAACTTTACTGCCTCTTCCCCTGTAGTTGAAGAGTTCCAATACTTAAAGGAACTATGTGCTACAATTTAATGTCTATATTTATTTTTGGAATTTTACAAAAACAACTAGAACTGTCCAATAGGGACAAATACCCCCGCTGGGTTTTTCAGAGTAGGTGCCAATTCAGAAATATTTTATGGATCTAGTAAGAGGTATTCACTATTGTCTAATAAAGTGCCTTGCCACAGCATGATACGCCCATCAAATATTGTTCGATAACCATAAATTGGTTAGGGTGCAAGAAAATTAAGTAACCTTGATTAACAGATTGACACAGATTTCAATGATCTAATTTCCATTTCTTATCATGTTTAAAATATTGTACATACATCTCTAAGAGACTTACAGTGTAGGGATTAATTAAAACAAATAATACATCATATAATTCTAAACTGGCTGTGTTAGAGCTTAACAAATATCCATCTGCAGCTTTAAATTGTTTATTGCATATTTTATGAAATAATGGAAATGCTACAGTCTAATAAAAAAAAATCAAAAATTAATTATTCTTTAGACTATAAAATTCTAAGTGAGACATGACTGCAATTTGTTGCAAATATATAAAAATTGAAATGTAATTTTTTTTCAATGAACACATGTATAATTGATTTTAATTATATAATACAATACTAATTCAGTTTTAATCATACACTAAAACATCAATTTGTTTTAATTACATTACACCAATTGAAAGATCATTATCTGAACTACAGTCATCAAGAACTCTTAATTAACACAAGCAACTAAGGCCATTTCTTTTTGCCCAACTCCCAAGAGATAAATTAAGATTAGATCTAGAGATGCTCTTGCCAGTTAACTCCCAACAATGAACTCATTAATTTCTCTCTAATTTGACATGCACATTTCTGCTATCAAAAATTCTCCTTGACCAGTGCTTGATAATTATGCCCATGGGAAAAACTGAATTCCTCTCAAATCATTAACATTTGTTATAGAATTTGCTGTAAAGTATATGATAAAAAATAAGTTTTTACTTAATTTAGCATTTTTTAATAAGGATACAACTATATTTTTACATTTTTTAGGATTATGAAATTTAAAATTTTAAAGACTTATTTTAAAAAAAAAAATCACTTAAATTTAAGGTCACATTGACCTTGAAATAGGTCGTGACACACTGTCTACCCAAGATGCATATAAATTGTCCAAGTTTGATGATGGTAAGTCTAATAGTTTTCTAGTTATGAGCCAAACAATATCACAAAATAAAAAAGGAAAAACGCCTGTAAAATGCAGAAAAATCATCCAATCATGATGAAAATCCCAGGTGCACACCCTCATATAGTGAATAATAAGTGTATAAATTTTCAGACAAATCCATCCAACAGTTTCTGAGAAACGGTCCGGACAAAATCTTGTCTACAGACAGACGGACAGACAGACGGACATGGTGATTCCAATATACCCCCCTAAACTTCGTTTGCGGGGGTATAATCATCAATTAATATCTTTTCACAACCCCTTGTAAATTAAAATTATCCTGATTTTCAATCAATGAACCTCTGATGGCACTGTAATCTTAAAATACGAATATCCTCAAAAATTATCAGTAGGTAAGGTACTTTGCATATATCCTTAAATGGATTTTTTGGTCTCAGTGACATTGCAAATTTTCCACTGAGGCCTATGGGCCACAACACTCACCTGAATGACTCTGGCCCTTCTGTTCTTCAATAGCAGATTATTTTCCCTATATGTTCCTTGGTAATATATAAACAACTTATTGTGGCCCAACCCTACCCATGGGTGTAAATCTATACTGCCTGAGAATATGACAAATTACACCTTAGCTGTTTTTTGACCAAAAAACAATTTTTTTTCTTTTATATTCAATTATAAAACTGTAATTGGTTGTTCATCATTAAAATCAGTAAGAACCAAGCACACCACTGCATATTTATCTTGAGTAGATCCATGCTGTTCCATCAAAAACACATAGGTTTTAGATTCCAATAGTATTATATTCAACGTAACTAATCCTACTTTACATATCAATTTTAATATACACAAAATGTCTTTCTTTGTTACTAAAGGAATTGATGTTTAACAGCTTACACATGTTATGCACTTTTCTGGAACAGTTGCAACTTTAATCCTCATATTAACAAGAAAGAACACATATTATTGTTTATTTAACCTTCCAAAAGAAATTAAAAAAACAAGAGGCCCAGGGGCCACATCGCTCACCTGAGCAGATCGGAATCAGATCAGAACTGAAAAGTTTACTGAAGGGGGGGGGGGGGGGGGGGGGGGGGGGGGGGGGGGGGGGGGGGGGGGGGGGGGGGGGGGGGGGGGGTGCTTGAATTTTAATACTACTTGAGAATGCCATCATATCAATACAGCACATGACTTTGCTGTTCTAGATAAAAAGATTTTTTAAAAACATTTTCTTCTTATATATTACTTCATAACAATTTAAATTAGTATCCCCATTGTTTCCCTCCTACTCCAATGGGCCATGATTTGGAACAAAGAAGATGGGGGGATAAGGTGGGTGAAGTGCCTATAGTGCAACAGATAAGAAGTGAAAAATTAAATCTCAACTATATCTAAATTTTATTTGATATTTTATCTAATAATAGAGTTTATTATATGATTGAATAATTTCCATCTCTCGGATTGGCTGAGATCCAACTATGTTAGAAAAATACTACGTTGTATTGACCTGCACTTGACGTTCCAGGTGAATACAAGGATTTATTTCCTCTACATTGATCTAAAAATAGATCGGGAAATTCCAAATTGATACAAATTATTTTGGAAAGCTGTTTAAGTGACTATGACTTTTTTTTCATGTGAGCAAAACATAAGCGAATATATATTTTCGGGTGAGGGTGGTAAGAGGGGATGCAGGGACCGCCCTCCAACACTTTTACTGAACAACAATTTTGACATTTTGGCAGTCAGTTTCCCTGATAATACTCCTTCCTTTCAAAATCTATCCTATAATAAAGACCGACATTATATTTTTCTTCATGGCAACTAAAATTGATAAAAAACATTTCAAATTGATACGACTGGTAAGGTTTATTTACATTTTAATTCTGCTTCTTTCTTGTATTTAGCTAGGACTTAATTAAATGCAAACAAGTAATGAGCTTTATCATTTTATCAAGGAATCATACAGCCAAAAAGTAAAAATTGTTGTTCAGTAAAAGTGTTGGAGGGGGGTCCCTGCATCCCCTCTTACCACCCTCACCCGAAAATATATATTCGCTTATGTTTTGCTCACATGAAAAAAAAAAGTCATAGTCACTTAAACAGCTTTCCAAAATAATTTGTATCAATTTGAAATTTCCCGATCTATTTTTAGATCAATGTAGAGGAAATAAATCCTTGTATTCACCTGGAACGTCAAGTGCAGGTCAATACAACGTAGTATTTTTCTAACACAGTTGGATCTCAGCCAATCCGAGAGATGGAAATTATTCAATCATATAACCAGAAGTCTCTGTCGAGACTGAAGCTCTACTGGTTTGTACTTATAGCAAAGGAAGAGAAAAGTACTTAGGTAGTTGGAAATTGAAACTTTTCAACAGCAATAAATAGAATAATGATTCTTGATTAAGTCTCTTTATGTTCTTAGTGTAGTCTACTTGCATGCCACATTATATTATAATTAGACTAAAACTGTATTTGGAGTAGCATTTTGAGAGTATTTAACAGAAATTTCTATTTTTAGTAACCATGGCAACACCATTCATTGAAGTGAAAAAATGACATACAGAATTATGTACCTTAGTGTAGTCTACTTGTGTGCCAAGTTATATTGAAATCAGACCAAAACTGTAGTAGGTGCAGCATTTTGAAAGCATTTCACAGAAATTTCTATTTTTAGTAACAACAGCAACACCTTTCATCAAAATCAAAAATCGATACACAGAATTATGTATCGTAGTCTACTTGTGTGCCAAGTTATATTGAAATCAGACCAAAACCGTAGGAGGAGTAGCATTTTGAAAGAATTTCACAGAAATTTCTATTTTTAGTAACCACGGCAACACCGTTCATTGAAATCAAAATCCGATACACAGAATTATGTATCTTAGTGTAGTCTACATGTGTGCCAAGTTATATTGAAATCAGACCAAAACTGTAGGAGGAGTAGCATTTTGAAAGAATTTGACAGAAATTTCTATTTTTAGTAACCACGGCAACACCGTTCATCGAAATCAAAAACCGATACACAGAATTATGTATCTTAGTGTAGTCTACTTGTGTGCCAAGTTATATTGAAATCAGACCAAAACTGTAGGAGGAGTAGCATTTTGAAAGAATTTCACAGAAATTTCTATTTTTAGTAACCACGGCAACACCGTTCATCGAAATCAAAAACCGACACACAGAATTATGTATCTTAGTGTAGTCTACTTGTACGCCAAGTTATACTGAAATCAGACCAAAACTGTAGGAGGAGTAGCATTTTGAAAAATTGTTTACAGACAGACAGACAGACGGACAGACAGACAGACAGACGGATGGACGACGGACGCATTACTATCGCATAAGCTCTTCTGGTCTCTGACCAGTAGAGCTAATAAAAACGATTATTGCTGTTTTTTTCGCTCAATACAATGATTTAGCCATCTTCGAAACAATGTTCACCTCGCCCTTTGGGCTCAGTGAATATTGTACTCCTCAGATGGCTAAATCATTGTACTGACCTCAAAAACAGCAATAATTGTATAATATTTACTGTAAAATCTCCACAATTAACAAAAATCTCACAAAGACTGAAAATATTTGCCTAGGAAAAAGCATACACACACATAAAAGAACAAAAACGATCATTTCCTCACACTTAAACAAAAATTTTCAATATGAGTGGGTCTTCGCTCCATTTTTTTGAAGATGATCCTAAAAGTTTGCAACAGAATATACAATTTTGGTTTACAAAAACATGGAGTGAAGACCCACTATACCTTAAAAGTACACTTTTATGAAAAAATATTCGCATCTTTCCAAGAAATACTTTAAGTCCATTGAGTCAAGGGTCATATCACAAAATGATTTAAATGCCCAATAAAATCATGAGCTATGTAGCATAGTGGTTAGCGTGTTAGTCTCAATCTCAAAGCAGAACGATTTGTCGGATTTTTTTTTTGTTGCTAGGGTTCGAATCCCACGAAAACTATCTAATATTTTCATAAAAGTAAATCTTTTACGATATTTTTTTTCTCTCAGAAAAGGTATTTTTCTAATAATCTCAATAATGAGAAGTTAATTTGAATACCCCTTTCACATATTGAATATTATTTCTTAATATCTGATGCTATAGGCATTCTGCCCGCTTTGTTCCCCCATCTTCTTTAAATCCTCAATACATGAGGACGCTTACATGTCAATATGACTTAACATAGCTTTTCTGTACTTGGGATTTTTCCCTATATTTTTCTATGTAAATCTTTGATCCACCATTGTGGCCAACCCTACCCTTATTTGAACAAATTTAATTCTACACTACCTGAAAATATTTCCATATAAATACTAGTATCACTAATGATGGCTTTGCTATTCTTGAGAAGAAGATCTTTTTAAATGTATTTTAATGTTAAACTTTAATCCCCCATTGTGGCTCCACCCTATCCCCGGGGGGGTTATGATTTGAATAAACTAGAACCTAAACTAGCTGAGGATGATTTCATATAAATATCACTAATCATGGCTTTGAAGTACTTGAGAAGAATATTATAAAAGATTTTTCCTATATATTCCTATGTTAAAATTTGATCAGCCATTGTGGCCCCACCCTACCCCTGGGGGTCATGATTTGAACAAATTTGAATCTACACAACCTGAGGATGCTTCCACATGAGTTTCATCTTTCCTGGCCTAGTGGTTCTTGAGAAGAAGATTTTTAAAGATTTTTCCTATTTACTCCTATGTAAGACTTTGATCGGCTATTGTGGCCCCACCCTTCCCCCGGGGGTCATGATTTGAACAAATTTGATTCTACACTACCTGAGTATACTTCCGCATAAGTTTCATCTTTCCTGGCTCAGTGGTTCTTGAGAAGAAGATTTTTAAAGATTTTTCCTATTTACTCCTATGTAAGACTTTGATCGGCCATTGTGGCCCCACCCTACCCCCAGGGGGTCATGATTTGAACAAAATTGAATCTACACTACCTGAGGATGATTCCATGACTTTCATCTTTCCTGGCCCAGTGGTTCTTGAGAAGATTTTTAAAGATTTTTTCTATAAATTCTTATGTAAAACTTTGATCGGCCATTGTGGCCCCACCCTACACCCAGGGGGTCATGATTTGAACAAAATTGAATCTACACTACCTGAGGATGCTTCCACATGAGTTTCATCTTTCCTGGCACAGTGGTTCTTGAGAAGAAGATTTTTTAAAAATACCATAAATTTTTCACTAATTCATAATTATCTCCCCTTGGAAGAGGGCGTGGCCCTTCATCTGAACAAACTTGAATCCCCTTTACCCAAGGATACTTTGTGGTAAGTTTGGTTGAAATTGGCTTAGTGATTCTTGAGAAGAAGATGAAAATGTAAAAAGTTTACGACGACGACAACAACAAAGACAAATTTTGATCAGAAAAGCTCACTTGAGCTAATAAGTGTCTGTGCATATTGCTTAAGCAAGGTGACTCAGGTGACCTAAAAACATACTTGTTTTACTCAGGTTCTAAAGCTCTTGGACCATAGACTTTGAGTACCTGTTCTTTGTAATAAAACTATGGTTACAGTAATTGATTATACAGTAATAGAATCTTATTTATTTTGTGTAAATTTTGACTTTGATCTTGTTCTCACCTTTCTACCCAATCTGTGATTTTCATTAAATAGGCTAATTCAGGACAGGAATGCCGTTTACACAGTCTTTTCAGTAGATTTTTCGTGACCTGTGTATGGACCTAAAACATGATGCATGCTTGTACAATAACAATTTAATTATGAAATTATGAAACATTTTACTAACATACTTTTATCTGTCCCCTTGTTGTACTGGTTTACAAAATATTGAGTGGATAAAATGTTCTAATATGGAGAGAAGTTTGATCTTGTGACCTCAATATAAATAGGGGTCACCTACATCTGAGTATCAGTGTACCAAGTAAGTGTAGAAATACATATAATTCTTACCTTTACCCTGATTTGTACAGGTATAGAGATCATTCTATTTTTTTTTACCTTATGAGTATGGAAATAATCCTTAAATTTTATCCTAATTTGTAACCAAACAGTAAACTATAACTGTCCAAACAAGACAAAATACCCCCCGCTGGGTTTTTCAGAAGTAAGTTTTTCCAAGATATGGACCAAACACGAATTATGAAATTTTTCTTCAAGTGACCTTGAACTTCCCCATATGACCTTGAGCCAAGGTCATGACACACCCTTAGGTCATGGGCAATCTTTGTGTGAATGAGAACTTACCAAGTTTATCCATAAGAAAGATATGGACTGGACACGAATTATGAAATTTTTCTTCCAGTGACCTTGAATTTCCCCAAATGACCTTGGATCAAGGTCATGACACACCCTCGGGTCATGGGCAATCTTTGCATGAAATAAGAACCTACCAAGTTTATCCATAAAAAAGATGTAGACCGGACACGGATAATTAAATTTTTCTTCCAGTGACCTTGAACTTCCCCAAATGACCTTGGGTCAAGGTCATGACACACCCTTGGGTCATGGGCAATCTTTCAGTGAAATGAGAACCTACCAAGTTTATCCATAAGAAAGATATGGACCGGACACGAATTATGAACTTTTTTCTTCCAGTGACCTTGAACTTCCCCAAATGACCTTGGGTCAAGGTCATGACACACCCTTAGGTCATGGGCAATCTTTGTGTGGAGGAGTACATTCTAATGTCCCTCCGTAAGAAAGATATGGACCGGACACGTTTGCACAGACAGACGGACACTGTGATTCCTATATACCCCCCCAAACTTCGTTTGCGGGGGGTATAATAAGGATGTAATCCTTTCCATTTACCCTGATTTTGTTTACGATTAGGAAGACAACTAGTGTTTATGTCATATTACAACTTACCACAATAGACAAGGTCAGAAGAGGACAATTCTTTAGAACAGTTTCAATATCTTCACTGCTTGCCAACTGGCTCATACCCTTAAATAATAACATATTTAAAAGCAACTGCATAAATATAAAGAATTGCAATTTGTTTGTTGATTTTTTCTTTGTCTTTATTTGTTTGTTTTGCTGCAAATTGAACAATATGTAATATTAATAAATTTAATCAAGCTTAAAGTCTGTTATAAGCAAATGATTCAAATTTACAAATCTAAATATTAATTGGCACATACTGTAAACGTATTACATTTAGCGGTGTATTCTATTTAGCGATTTTGGCGGAAGGCAGAGTCCGCTAATTCAAGTACATCGCTAAATGTCTTGTATATTAACTTTTATAACTAGCCAATTCAGACAGCGCTAAATCAAATCTACGCTAACTGTTTGAAAATTGAATTACCGCCAAATATCGTACACGCCAAATGTAATACACTTACAGTATTAATTGATATAAATTTTGTCTCAGATTAAAAGAAATCCCAAGTTTTACTGTAATTTAGAAATAAACAATGTACCTGTAGAATATATAAGGTGATACTTGTTGGCAAATAACCATGTCTGCATAAAAGTGACTGAAAACAAAAGTTTCTGATTAGTATGTACACATAGCAAATTTAAATAAATGTGGTGGACAGCAACAGCCATTGAAATGGACAGTGTTCAATATATCCCTTTCTTCTATTGTCTTTTATTATATTTGACTTGTTATACATGTATTAGTGTTCATACTTGTTTGTTTGACCTTTGTTTTCTTTTATCCCACCCTTTTTTGATGGCAGGCATATCAGTGCCTGTTTTATGCTATATATTTAATTTAAGGGGGTCAGATTGCATAATATGATACCAAAGATTTTTGTTTCTTTCAAAGTTTTTTCTAGTTTTGTCTGTTATGTGTATTTTTGTTTTGCATCATTTACTCGCTTAAATAACATTTTTTTCACTTTCAATATTGTTGTTATTTTCTTTTATCCATCAAAAACTAGCTCAGTTGACTTGGCTTCGGTCTTGCAATAATACCTAATGAACATAAATATATTTGGTCGTTTCATTGGATATTAAATACATCTACAATATGACTTTTCACTGTGATTTGAAATTCATAAAAAATTCTGGAATTACACAACCGAGTATGCCTTTCCCATCTAATCTATTGCAGAATAAAAAATACACTGAAATAAATAATCACTTCCCTTCACCTAGCTTATTTTTAAAAGGAAAGTTGTACTAAGAACTGTAATTTAAATCAAACCTCAACTTTCACTTTTAAAGAATTATGCATCAGGATTTTTTATATGAATTTAAAAACCAGTAGTTTTTTAAGGTCCTCTGATTCCTTGTTAATCAAACATCTTTATCATTACCAATCATTATTACAGTCTACGTTGTATGTTGATAAATGAGACTTACCAAATAATTGTTTATAATTTGGAAGACTTACGAAGTACTTGTTAATGATCTGACAAGGCAGATCCAGCGCTCCTGAAGTGGATGGACAGTTGACAAAGATTGAGTACGCAGGTAAACAAGAGATCAATCTACAAAACAAAAAATCAATACACAATATACAAAAACCAATAGCAATACATGATATACAAAAATCAATAGCAATACAAGATATACACAAAATCAATAGCAATACATGATATACACAAAGTTTTATGCATACAGAATGAAATTAAATGATAACAAGCAGCCCATGGGCCACATTGCTCACCTTAGCACTGTGACTGGGGAAAAAATGAATTCTTTATCCAAAAGTTTAAATCCATGATTTAAACAAACATAATTCTACACTACTTTCATAAAAATATGACTAATTAGATGATTTTTAAAGATGTTTTTCCCATACAGTAAAACTCGTTTAGTACGAACATGTATATTACGAATTTGCGAATAAAGCGAATTTATCTTGCATCCCCAACTACATTTGATAGGTCCCAGTTACTTCGCTACAACCAAATTTTACTGTACCTATTTCTATGTAAAACTTTGATCGCCCATTATGGCCCCACCCTACCCTCAAGGGTCATGAATTGAAAAAAACTGCAATCTTCACTATCAGAGGAGCTTCTACATGAGCTTTATCTTTCCTGGCCCAGTGGTTCTTGAGATTTTTAAAAGATGCCAATATTTTTTAACTTATTCCTAATTATCTCCTCTTGAAAGAGGACATGGCCCTACATTTGAACAAACTTGAATCTCGTTCACCCAAGGATACTTTGTGGCAAGTTGGTTGAAATTGGTCCAGTGGTTATTGAGAGGACGAAAATGTGAAAAGTTTACAGACAGATTGACGGAAGCCAGACAAAATGTGATCCAAAAAGCTCACTTGAGCACAGGTTGGTTAAATTCAAAACTCAACTATACTATTAAATATTTTCAATACATTGTATAACCCAAACAAAAGAAATCAATTTTGTAGCAAAACAGGATGACATTGCTTTCATATCTAATCCGAACAGTTTTTCTTCACATGAACAAGGAAACTAAATACACTTCTCTTCAATCCAAGGTCAAGGTCAAAGTTAGTTTTGACAGAGATAGGGTGGTCAATTAACACATGAATTTAATATCAGTTTGGTAGCAAAACAGGATGACGTTGTTTTCATAACTAATTATCCAAATAACTAATCCTAACAGTTTTTTTTACATGAACAAGGAAACTAAATACACTTCTCTTGAATCCAAGGTCATGGTTAGTTTTGACAGAGATATGGTGGTCAATTAACACATGAATTTAATATCAGTTTGGTAGCAAAACAGGATGACATTGTTTTCATAACTAATTATCCAAATAACTAATCCTAACAGTTTTCTTTACATGAACAAGGAAACTAAATACACTTCCCATGAATCCAAGGTCATAGTTATGATGGAAATATCATAGTTAATTAACACATGAATTAAATAACAAATACAGTACAAGCCGTTTAATTTAATACCTGTTTTATATCATAGGCCGTTTTTTATCATAGATATTTAAAACACAAAACCATTTCTTAATAATTCAATGTTAATTTCTTACGTTATTATCATAGGTAAAAGTGTGTACTTCGGTTACTATCATAGAAAAATTTCGTCCGTAATATTTTTTTTCAAACATTTTACACTCTTGAGACAATTAACAAAACAAAAGATAACACCTGTCAACACCTGTGGCCCATGCACTGTCGCTTATCTATACACAATGGCTTGACTGAGGGGGATTAGTCACACTCCAGCGCATTTACCTGAGCGATGACTGGAAGTTTGTTTATTTCACAAAGTACATTACACAACAACAGGAAGCCATCCGCAATCTTATTTTCTTCTTTTGTTTAATTGTTTAATTGTACATTGATAATAAATGTGTTTTACCAAAATGTGTTGAATCTAAATTGAGTGTCAATTTACCCAAGCTATCTTACGCTTGTTGCCTGATCAATGGTCATAATTAATCACATTTATAAATTGTCCAATTTATTCAGAAGTGATGTGAAATTAACTTTTTAACCAGCCTGTCCAAGCGGCTTTGATTTACATCAGTGTATCAATTAATTTAATTTCAATTAAACGGCACCATTAAGTGTAATTAGCGCTTGGGTGCAAGGAAGAAAATAATTGGGCTTGTGTTTTAGATGAATTTTCCCTGACACTTAATAGCTTGAAGGTTGAAAAAGAATGAGAAAGAATTAAACAATTTTAATTCATGTTCTGTTATGTTGTAACATAATTTTGATACCGTAAATATTGTGTAGTTGGTAAGCAAGTTGTGTTATGCTGAAATGTTAAATGTTTTTTTCGTTTGTACGTTTTTATATACTTTTTATAGATATTTTCTCTTTTTGTTTTGTGTTTCATTAAAGCTGCAACGTAAAAAAAAAAAACAAACGAATTATTAATAGATTGAATTGATCATAGAACCAAAAAACGAAAGTAGATGAAAATGAAAGTTAACAAGATGGATGCCAAGACATCTAGAAGATTGAGTTCGGAGATTATTAAGCTTTAGGAAAGTGAATTTATTTATACAAAATGTTGAAACAGTAAGTAAAAAAAGTAAAATGACATGTTAGCTAACTTGTTTTTCAAAATAAACCTAAAAATATGAAATTAATACTATAATACTTATTTAATATAGTGTAAAAACGGCAGGCATGTTATTGATCAAGTCATGTTCATGTCAGACCTCGGAGATGAATTTCAGCTGTCTATGGTTATAATCATAGTCGGTTATTATAAAGTTTTGGCCTGACAAATAAGCTATGATAATAAACGGCTTGTACTGTACCTTGATGTTAATGAAAAAAAGACATTGTCTCTTGTTTGTTACATGCTTTGCGTTTTGTGAACTCTATTAATTTCATTCTTAAATATTAATTTACTTATGTTTTTTAAGATTAGAGTTTCAAAATAAATCGGTTGTTGCGTTAACTCATGTGCACCAAAGCTGCAGGTTGTACAGTGATAAACCTGTTAACACTGCTGTTTGTTTATAATATATACTACACTGAAGTGAAACATTTTTGACCAGTCAAACCTGTTGTAACCCAAAGTTAATCAGGTGTTTAACTCAAATGAGCCGAAGGCTCAAGTGAGCTTTTCTGATCAAAATTTGTCCGTCGTCTGTCGTTGTTGTCGTTGTCGTAAACTTTTCACATTTTCATCTTCTTTTCAAGAACCACTGGGTCAATTTCAACCAAACTTGCCACAAAGTATTCTTCAGTGAAGGGGATTCAATTTTGTTCAAATCAAGGGCCACGCCCTCTTCCAAGGGGAGATAATTATGAATTAGTGAAAAATTAATGGCATTTTTAAAAATCTTCTTCTCTAGAACCACTGGGCCAGGAAAGATGAATCTCATGTGGAAGCATCCTCAAGTAGTGTAGATTCAAGTTTGTTGAAATCATGACCCCTGGGGGTAGTGCGGGGCCACAATGGCCGATCTAACTTTTAAATAGGATTATATAGGGAAAATCTTTAAAAGTCTTCTTCTTAAGAACCACTGGGCCCAGAAAGATGAAACTCATGTGGAAGCATCTTCAGGTAGTGTAGACTGAAATTTGTTCAAATCATCACCCCCAGGGGTAGGGCGGGGCCACAATGGCCGATCAAAGTTTTACATAGGACTAGATGGGGAAATCTTTTAAAATCGTCTTCTTAAGTACTTCAAGGCCATGGTTAGTGATATTTACATGGAATCATCCTCAGGTAGTGTAGACTCTAGTTTGTTCAAATCATAATCCCCACAATGGGGGGATCCAAGTTTAAATTTACATTAAGGTGGCTCATTACATCCACAGTTTATTTTAGATTTCATGACAGCACCACTTATCATGTAGATGCCAAATATCCAAATGGAGATATTGATATCGTAAATATTTTTTAGAGAATTTTTTAACTTTCTTTTTATTTTAGTGAAATGTTTTATTTCAAGTTTATTATTTCCAGAATTTCAGAACTTTCAGTATCAAATGATGGACATCTTCTTTAGACAAGTACACACAATGAAAATACTTCATAATACCTAATATTAATTTTATTAGAAAAAATAGTTTTCTTCTAAAAAACAATAAATGTCATTATCTTTTTAATCTGCGCATAAAATATTTTTAAAATGAGTTCTGAAGAGACAATGAATGTATTTCAATGAATTGCTTGTGACAAATTGAAAGAAAAATGTTTTAACGAAATGAAAATTCCAATTTCGAAAATATTTGGTATAAAATGTTCTTTTTCAAGAGTTATCTTTCTTAATTACCCAAGACTCAAAACACAAAGGAACGTGTGAACATTACATCTAAATTTCAAAATAAAGCTTTAAACTTCCATAATATATATTTAAATCAATAAAGCAAATGTACAAATTAACACCAACACAGTAAATTGTGCAAGTAAATAACATTTTTAATTTCAACAAGGTTGTAAATTTAAACTCGAATTTCCTCCATGCAAACACGTTGATTGATAGAGCCCACTGCTTCGACATGTCAGAAATTGCACATTACTTGTTTGGCGAAGATTTGGCTGTTGTTTTCTTTTGTTTCTGCTAAAAAGTAATCCCTCTTGGTGTATGTAAAATGAATCCGTTACTTTGTTTTCACTGTTTATAACACCGCATGTTTCATCTATTTTTAAAGCGTTCTAAAGGTCAGGGTCATATAAGTGAGGTACCCATACGATTCGACCCCAAAGTAATTCGGTCGAAACAATGGAGGTTTATTTTATTGTGTAGTACGTCATCAAAAAGTGGTGTAATGAGCCTCCTTAAAATATATTTTAAAAAAATCTTCTTCTCAAGAATAGCAAAGCCATGATTAGCGATACTAGTATTTATATGGAAGCATTTTCGGGTAGTGTAGAATTAAATTTGTACAAATCATAATCCCCAAGGGTAGGATTAGTTCCACAATGATGGATCAAAGTTTTACATAGAAAAATAAAGGGAAAAATCCCAAGAACAGAAAAAGCTATGTTTATTCATATTGACATGTTTGCATCCTCATGTATTGAAGATATAAATTTATTCAAATCATGGCCCTTTGGGGTAGGGAGGGAAACAATGGGGAATCAAATTCAAATTATTATGAAGTTATATATAGGAAGAAAACGATTTTAAAAAATCTTTTTATCAAGAACAGCGAAGTCATATGCTGTATTAATATGAAGGCATTCTCAAGTAGTATTAAAATTCAAGCCCCCCCCCTTCCCCCTTCAGTAAACTTTTCAGTTCTGATCTGATTTGTGCTTTTTCCTAGCTGATTTGCTCAGGTGAGCGATGTGGCCCCTGGGCCTCTTGTTAAAATTAATATGAAAAATATTAGCCAAAATACAACTCCTTGATAGGTTTTCTATCATCATTACAATGACCACAGAATTTAGGATACAGATTTCTACCTGACTACTGTCTGTATGTAGAACTCTTGGTTTAGTCTGGAACCTCTCCCCTCCATGATGTCCTGTATTTTTTGTGCCAGCCAAGCATCAGACTTATCATCAGGCTCCATATAGGAAATCAAAGTCTACAACATCAAGGCATTTTAATTATTTTCATACTTACACAAAATAGAACTGTCCAAACGGGACAAAAAACCCCCCGCTGAGTTTTTTCAGAAGTAAGTTTTATAATAATAAAGATATGTATCACACATGAATTATGAAATTTTTCTTCCAGTGACCTTGAAATTCCCCAAATGACCTTGGGTCAAGGTCATGACATACCCTTGGGTCATGGGCAATCTTTGTGTGAAATGAGAACCTACCAAGTTTATCAATAAGAAAGATATGGACCGGACATGAATTATGAACTTTTTCTTCCAGTGACCTTGAACTTCCCCAAATGACCTTGGGTCAAGGTCATGACACACCCTTGGGTCATGGGCAATCCTTGTGTAGAATGAGAACCTACCAAGTTTATCCATAAAAAAGATGTAGACCAGACACGAATTATGAACTTTTTTCTTCCAGTGACCTTGAACTTCCCCAAATGACCTTGGAACAAGGTCATGACACACCCTTGGGTCATGGGCAATCCTTGTGTAGAATGAGAACCTACCAAGTTTATCCATAAAAAAGATGTAGACCTGACACGAATTATGAACTTTTTCTTCCAGTGACCTTGAACTTCCCCAAATGAACTTGGGTCAAGGTCATGACACACCCTTGGGTCAAGGGCAATCTTTGCGTGAATTGAGAACCTACCAAATTTATCCATAAGAAAGATATGGACCGGACACAAATTATGAAAATTTTCTTCCAGTGACCTTGAACTTCCCCAAATGACCTTGGGTCATGGTCATGACACACCCTTAGGTCATGGAAAATCTTTGCGTGAAATGAGAACCTACCAAGTTTATCCATAAGAAAGATATGGACCGGACACAAATTATGAACTTTTTCTTCCAGTGACCTTGAACTTCCTCAAGTCACCTTCGGTCAATTCATGACACACCCTTGGGTCATGGGCAATCTTTTCATGAAATGAGAACCTTCCAAGTTTATCCATAAGAAAGATATGGACCGGACACGAATTATGAACTTTATCTTCCAGTGACCTTGAACTTCCCCAAATGACCTTGGGTCAAGGTCATGATACACACTTAGGTCATGGGCAATCTTTGTGTGGAGTAGTAGATTCTAAATGTCCCTCCGTAAGATTAAAGAAAGATATGGACCGGACACGTTTGCACAGACAGACGGACAAGGTGATTCCTATATACCCCCCAAACTTCGTTTGCGGGGGGTATAAAAATAACTTTTTTTTTATTTTACTGAAAATTTATTTGGCAGATAAATAGCTAATGAGTAGATCATTCAACCTTAAACATATAAATTATATTTTCATGAACTTTCTCAATTAACACAAACAAATATCAACTGTTAATCAATTATGTAATAATATTGACTTGAAAATGTGAAAAACAATGGGCCAGCTGGTGACTTCACTCACCTTATCTACAAAACATTATGTTAACAAATTTCAATTAAAGCAATAACTATCCAAGCAGCCACTTAAACCTTGTCATTTCTGGTTTCAAACCTGCTGCCCATGCTACATAAATGATCATCTCAACCAAACCTGTTTTCAAATTGTGGAAAAAAATTTAACTAGAACTGTCCAAACGGGACAAAATACCCCCCGCTGGGTTTTTCAGAAGTAAGTTTTTCCCTAATAAAGATATGTATCAAACATGAATTATGAAATTTTTATTTCAGTGACCTTGAACTTCCCCAAATAACCTTGGGTCAAGGTCATGACACACCCTTGGGTCATGGGCAATCTTTCAGTGAAATGAGAACCTACCAAGTTTATCCATAAGAAAGATATGGACCGGACTTGAATTATGAAATTTTTATTTCAGTGACCTTGAACTTCCCTAAATAACCTTGGGTCAAGGTCATGACACACCCTTGGGTCATGGGCAATCTTTCAGTGAAATGAGAACCTACCAAGTTTATCCATAAGAAAGATATGGACCGGACTTGAATTACGAAATTTTTCTTCCAATGACCTTGAACTTCCCCAAATGACTTTGGGTCAAGGTCATGACACACCCTTAGGTCATGAGCAATCTTAGTGTGGAGTAGTAGATTCTAATGTCCCTCTGTAAGAAAGATATGGACCAGACACGATTGCACAGACAGACGGACAGACAGACGGACAAGGTGATTCCTATATACCCCCCCAAACTTCGTTTGTGGGGGGTATAATGAAGGATTTCAATTCCATTTACCCTAACAGTGTTCCGCACTACACAGACAACCTTTTTAAAAGTCTGCATTTCGTAAATTCTGTTGTCATTATAACTACCTTGTTAGCATATATAATTCATCATTAGATCATATTTTGCCTTGTTCCATAACCAATTGTTATGCCGTTTTTTTTTCTTTTACTGAATAAGACTTGGAAATGTTTCTTCTAACTGATCATTACATAGGGCCCAGGACAGGTGTGTCCAGTTAATAAGGGATGCTTAGTCCTCCAGAGCACCTGATCCCACTTCTTCAGCTCTGTTTTATGCCCTCTCAACTGATTTTTTGAGATTGATCGTTTTTCGTTATCTTCACTTTAATTTTTCTTTATATAGCAGTGCTTTATGACAGATGTACGTACCTGTAGGGTTGCAGTGAAGTGGTGTTGTGTGTCTGTCTGTCTGAAGCTTTCTCCCTCCTTGCAGTTACAAACTGGTACTGGAACAACAACCTGTCTACACATAAAATATACTGTCTTTTATACATCTGATATCAAAATACTGTAATAAAATAAAGACACAAGGCAGTCATTTACGTACCTTTGAAAATTAAGCAGGAGTTCTGTAAACAGCTCACTACATAATATACGACATCTTTTATTCATAGACTGTTCAACTGAACCACCCATCAGGTAGACATTGAAGACAGTATCATACACATATGTCTGCCTGAAATTAAGCAATTTATACTTTAGATACTGTTGATTCTTCCTACAAACAGAGAATTCACCCCCCCTCCTCCCAACTCCAATCTGGAGAACACAAAACTAAACTTGATATCAAAGTGACTGTCCTTCTTCAGCTGCTATCTTATAAATATTAAGGACAGATGATACAAACAAACTTTTGGTAAAAAATTTGAAAATAACAACCTAGGTTATGTTTAAATGAGTAAAATGAAAAACTTTTACCGCATAGTTTTTAATTTTTTATTCTAATTTTCACATAAATGGAATTTGAAGTGAAAAATATTTGTATAGATTAATAAGAATGGTTTCACAAGGGTAGACGTTTGAACATCATAGAAGGTTTACTAATTCTTTATGTTCAAGAAATTTATTATTTGCATCATTTGCAATGAAAGTAGGCCAGAAAATATATACCAATCCAGGCATCCATTTTTTTGTTTTTATCATCTGTCCTTAAATGACAACTAAAGGAAAGTTACCAAGAATTTCAAACAAGAGATGTTTGGGAAACACATATGTCCCACCTCCCCCCTCCTTGGACATACATTATAGGGTTCACAAGCCAGTGTACATGGAAATGAAATTGATTTTTTGAACTTAAAATCAATAGGGGTCACCTACCAGTACTATCTGAGATGCATCAACTGCAAATAATAGGATTTTTTTAAGTCCAAGGGACATAACACTGTCAAAAATTGCTCGATTGTACTCAAAACAGAACCTGACCTAGATATCTGTATTCCAAATTTCATTTCAATATGTGCAACTTCTGCAAAGAAAATGAATGGAAACTGCAAATAATTGGAATTCATCTATGTCCAAGGGGGATAACTCTATCAATCATTGCTTTATCAAACCCAAAACAGACCTAGATATTCAATTGATAAATCTGTACACATACAAAATTTAATCAGTATGTGCAACCTCTGCAAAGAAAATGAACGGAAACTGCTTGTGGACCGAGAGATAGAAGCAAAGCAATATGCCCTCCCTTCTTCAAAGAGGACAGGGGGATAAAAATTGTCCCTTAACCCGGAGATGCTATGTGCCAAGTTAGGTTGAAAATGGTCTGCTGGTTCTCAAATAGAAGTGAAACGTGAAAAAAAAACATATGGACAAAAGCGTTTGCACAGGTGAGCTAAGAAATGAAGTCATGCAGACAGATATTAACACCCTGTAAAGGTGTTAACCATGTTCTCTTTAAAAAGCACCTGATCTTACAGACATTTACTGCTTATGTAATCATGCAAACATAATTACACTTTTAGCACCAAGTATTTAAACAAGAGGCCCATGGGCCACATCGCTCACCTGAACACTGTGGCTAGCATAAAAGCAGAAATAAGTTTATTACTGAAAAGTTTAAATCCAAAAGTAATCCCAACCATTCCTTAAAGAGGAGAGGGTATGATTTGACCAAACTTGAATCTACACTACCTGAGGATAATTCCATATAAATATTGACCAATCATGGGTTTGTTATTCTTGAGAAGAAGATTTTAAAAGAATTTTCCCATATATTTCTATGTAAAACTTTGGTCGGCCATTGAGGCCCCGCCCTTCCCCCGGGGGTCATGATTTGAACAAACTTGAATCCACACTACCTGAGGATGCTTCCATATTAATATGACCAATCATGGCTTTGTTATTCTTGAGAAGAAGATTTTCTAAAGAATTTTCCGATATATTTCTATGTAAAACTTTGGTCGGCCTTTGTGGCCCCACCCTACCCCCGGGGGTCATGATTTGAACAAAATTGAAGCTACACTACCTGAGGATGCTTCCATATAAATAAGACCAATCATGGCTTTGTTATTCTTGAGAAGAAGATTTTTAAAGAATTTTCCCATATATTTCTTTGTAAAACTTTGGTCGGCCATTGTGGCCCCGCCCTACCCCCAGGGGTCATGATTTGAACAAACTTGAATCCACACTACCTGAGGATGCTTCCATATTAATATGACCAATCATGGCTTTGTTATTCTTGAGAAGAAGATTTTCTAAAGAACTTTCCCATATATTTCTATGTAAAACTTTGGTCGGCCTTTGTGGCCCCACCCTACCCCCGGGGGTCATGATTTGAACAAACTTGAAGCTACACTACCTGAGGATGCTTCCATATAAATAAGACCAATCATGGCTTTGTTATTCTTGAGAAGAAGATTTTTAAAGAATTTTCCCATATATTTCTTTGTAAAACTTTGGTCGGCCATTGTGGCCTCGCCCTACCCCCAGGGGTCATGATTTGAACAAACTTGAATCCACACTACCTGAGGATGCTTCCATATAAATATGACCAATCATGGCTTTGTTATTCTTGAGAAGAAGATTTTTAAAGAATTTTCCCATATATTTCTATGTAAAACTTTGGTTGGCCATTGTGGCCCCACCCTACACCCGGGGGTCATGATTTGAACAAACTTGAAGCTACACTACCTGACGATGCTTCCATATAAATATGACCAATCATGGCTTTGTTATTCTTGAGAAGAAGATTTTTAAAGAATTTTCCCATATATTTCTATGTAAAACTTTGGTCGGCCATTGTGGCCCCGCCCTACCACCGGGGGTCATGATTTGAACAAACTTGAAGCTGCACTACCTGAGGATGCTTCCATATAAATATGACCAACCATGGCTTTGTTATTCTTGAGAAGAAGATTTTTAAAGAATTTTCCGATATATTTCTATGTAAAACTTTGGTCGGCCATTGTGGCCCCTCCCTACCCCCGGGGGTCATGATTTGAACAAACTTGAATCTACACTACCTGAGGATGATTCCACATGAGTTTCATCTTTCCTGGCCCAGTGGTTCTTGAGAAGAAGATTTTTTAAAAATTCCATTATTTTCTCACTAATTCATAATTATCTCCCCTTGGAAGAGGGTGTGGCCCTTCATTTGAACAAACTTGAATTCCCTACACCTAAGGATACTTTGTGGCAAGTTTGGTTGAAATTGGCCCAGTGGTTCTTGAGAAGAAGATGAAAATGTGAAAAGTTTACAGACAGACGGACAGATGGACAGCTAGACAGACAGACAGACAGACGGACGCCGGACAAAATGTGATCAGAAAAGCTCACTTGAGCTTTCAGCTCAGGTGAGCTAAAAAGCCAGACAGAATTAATAACAATTTAACACATCTTAGAAATCAAAATATCAAATGGGATTGGTGATCATGGTGCAATTTTTATATAGGTCTTCGATTTCAACCACTCCTACCCAGAAGTAAATGCACAAGCATCTAAATTTTTTTTAATTTTTTTTAATTTTTTTTAAATGAATATCCTTTTTAATGTTTTTAATTCATGTTCTGCATTGAAATCAACATAAGGCTTTTTAATAAATGAAAATATAGTTGTGTAGAAAAGGTCTAATTCATTTTGTTATTGTGTACGTAAACATGTGATTTTCCATATATATTAAAAAAAAAACATTGGTAATTAAAGAATACAAAGCTCACTTGGACAAGTTTTATCTATCTAGTAAGGCAAATGTCATTATAATTAATTATATTTTTTTCTAGTTAGTGTGCATTTTGAGATCAATTTCCATCCAAGTTTGATTTTTTAGGACTTATGGTTACTTGGGAATGGGCCTGCTTCAAAAACTTTAATCTATTCATTTATCAAGAAATATGTCAGTCAGTTCAAACATTTGGAGCAAGTCTGTAGATTTCCATCCTAAGGTTCAATATTCAAGCAAGTTTAATAATAACGGGCCAAAAATTACAGAGCTAGTCCAGAAACATTACCCTTGTCACTCATCAGGAAAATGTATGTCCCACTCAGCATCCAAAGCAAGTCTGGAAGTGTCCATGCGTACATCATCCAAGCCCATTGGCTGAATATTGGCTATATTCACTCATCTTGAAAATGAAGGCCAGATTCAGCATCCATAGCAGATTGGGTAGAGTCAATCCCAAGATACATTATCCATGCATGTTTGATTTTGGTAGGTTTTATAGATACTTGATAACAGACCTGCTCCAAAAACTTTACCCTGGTTCACTTATCTGGAAAATGTAGTTCAGATCCAGCATCTGAAGCAAGTCTGGTAGTATGCATCCCTATGTATCATCCACACAAGTTGATCAAGTAGGGTCTATATTTACTTGGGAATAGACCTGATCCTAAAACAAGGCTAAATCCATTACAGACGCTGGGGTATAGCATATAAGCTCATCTCAACTTTGTCAAGGTGAGGTAGACAAATAATGGACAGGTTTAGGTTTTCAACATGTTTATCAATTTTTCAGATGTGAAAATGTAGATCAAGAGTCATAAATGTGATGCTTTGTTTTATATTCGTGAGGATTTTCACGATAAATCTGTATACCAAATTAAATCAGTATGTGCAACTTCTGCAAAGAAAACGAACGGAAACTGTTTGTGGACCAACAGATAGCAGCAAAGCAATATGCCCTCCCTTCCTCAAAGAGGAGGGGGGATAAAAATTGTCCCTTAACCCGGAGATGCTATGTGCCAAGTTAGGTTGAAAATGGTCTGCTGGTTCTCAAAAAGAAGTAAAACGTGAAAAAACAAGAGGCCCAAGAGCCACATCGTTCACCTGAGCACATCGGCTAAGAAAAGGCACAGATCATGTCAGAACTGAAAAAGTTTACTGAGGGGGGGGGGGGGGGTGTTCTACCCTCCCTACCCCAAAGGGCCATGATTTGAACAAATTTAAATCTTCAATACATGAGGAATATGACTAAACATAGCTTTTCTGTTCTTGGGATTTTTCCTTTATTTTCCTGTGTAAAACTTTGATCGACCTTTGTGGCCCCACCCTTTCTCTAGGGGTTATGATTTGAACAAACTAAAATCTACACAAAGGAGGATAATTTTATATACATGTAAATATCACTAATCATGGCTTTGAAGTACCTGAGAAGAAGATTTAAAAAGATTTCCCTATATATTCCTATGTAAAACTTTCATCGGACATTGTGGCCCTGCCCTACCCCCGGGGGTCATGATTTGAACAAACTTGAATCTACACTACCTGAGGATGATTCCACTTGAGTTTCATCTTTCCAGGCCCAGTTGTTCTGAAAAAGAAGATTTTTAAAAGATTTTAACTAGGTATTCCTATGTAAAACTTTGATCAGCCATTGTGGCCCAACCCTACCCCTGGGGGGCATACTGTATAGGGGGAAAATAACTCGCGGTGTTTATATTCGCTATATTCACGGTGTTCATAAATACGTGAATTCAAGAAACAGTGAATTAATTTATTAAACTACGATAGGTATATATACATGCATGCAGTACATGGTCACTTCGGTAATTACAAGTAGTACTTGTCATTCAATTACAGGTGACTCTCGATGGCTCGAACTTCGATCTCTCGAAGTGAACCTTCGGTCCCGTTTTTTCCCTATATATAACTAAGCAAATTTACTCCTGATCTCTCGAACTTTTCTATCTCTCGAACCAAAACATGGGTCCCGTTACACATATTTCATTGAATTTTACTCTCTATCTCTCGAAGTTTTGATTGCGTGCATATACAAGCCAATCAAGCGTAAAATTGATTCAGCCTGAACTAACCTGGAAATTAGTGAACGCCTGGGGCTTGGCATTGAGGTGATAATTGGGTGTTTACATAAATGACACTACACCTGTGGGTGGTCCGTGTGTTGATATAATTACTTGATTATTATTGGTAAATTATAAACTGTTTTTAAATTCACACATTATTTTGACTTGAAAACGAGACGATAATTTTTACTAAATAATTTATAGTCGAATCTAGAAGTTCCCATAGACTATGAACTTTTATTAGAGTCTACATAATCCCAGTATGGCAAATATTGCACAAGAAATTCCTTTATCAGGGACTAAATACCGAATAAGAAAAATCTTGTGAACGCTGGTGAACAGATGAAGGACCCGATCAAGCCGTGGAATAGTCAAACCGACAATTGCTATTAGGATTTCATGTAATCATTAAATAAGAACAAATAAATATTGAAACTTTAGGAATTCGTTTTATTAAGATGAAATACGATCATTCTTGTTGATATCAAGTAAATATTACCTGTAAAATACAATACAAAACGTGCAATCACTTTCTTTACATATACTTCCGGTATCTATAAAAGTAGAACTTCGATGATCGGAACTGAAAATTCCGGATTTTATTTACTTTCTATCTCTCGAACTTTTCTTGCGGTCCCTTGAACTTCGAGAGATCTCGAGTCACCTGTATTTTAATTATCACGCTTTAATTTACTTCAATTCAAACCAGCAGATAATAACCTGCATTTGTTAAAAAGCTGTTTTAATAGCCAATGCTACATGTTTTGTCAATCAAAACACGTGGGCCATGATTTTCATTACCCATGCGTAACTAATGTTACCAAGTGTATTAGTTACATGTACCTGCATTAACACGCATATTAATTTTTATCGACGTTTTAAAAACATTCAAATAACTATCGAACTTACTGAAGATTTTGGAAGGATATTATTTCGATGACCTACATTAAAACATTTATTACCGCCCAGTGGTTTTTTTCGCCGTGTTAACGTTGTATTGCAGATCAAGGGGTGTACATGCACTCATCGTTATATGCATATAGGAAAGTCATTAGACGTTCAAAGTCAAGGACGTCTTATAACTGCACTTGTTTTAATCAATAGTTAATTATTTATTAAATCTAGCAATCCTGTTGATGTCGTTTACATGTAGCTAAACGGGATATAGACAAGGGAGGTAACTTTTATTTTATATCAATTCCGCGAATTCAAGAAACCGCGATCATGTCAGATGAAAGAAAAACGTGAAAATTACAACCCGTGAAATTAATCCCCTATTCAGTAATTTGATCAAACTTGAATCTACACTACCTGAGGATGATTCCACATGAGTTTCATCTTTCCTGGCTCAGTGGTTCTTGAGAAGAAGATTTTTCAAGATTTTTCCTATATACTACTATGTGAAACTTTGATCGGCCATTGTGGCCCCACCCTACCCCCCGGGGGTCATGATTTGAACAAACTTGAATCTACACTACCTGAAGATGATTCCACATGAGTTTCATCTTTCCTGGCCCAGTGGTTCTTGAGAAGAAGACTTTTTTAAAATGCCATTAATTTTTCACCAATTCATAATTATTTCCTCTTGCAAGAGGGCGTGGCCCTTCATTTGAACAAACTTGAATCCCCTTTACCCAAGGATACTTTGTAGCAAGTTTGGTTGAAATTGGCCCAGTGGTTCTTGATAAGATGAAAATGTGAAAAGTTTACCACGACAACGACAGACAATGGACAAATTTTGATCAGAAAAGCTCACTTGAGCCTTCGGCTCAGGTGAGCTAAAAACATATGGACAGAAGCGTTTGCACAGGTGAGCTAAGAAATGAAGTCATTCAGACAGATATTAACACCCTGTAAAGGTGTTAACCATGTTCTTTTTAAAAAGCACCTTCACGATCTTACAGACATTTACTGCTTATATAATCATGCAGACATACAGTAATTACACTTTTAGCAGGAAGTATTTAAAAAAGCCAGACAGAATTAATAACAACTTAACACATCTTAGAAATCAAAATATCAAATGAGACTGGTGATCATGCTGCAATTTTTATATAGCCCTTCGATTTCAACCACTCCTACCCAGTAGTAAATGCACAAGCATCAAAATTTTTTCCATTTTTTTAAATGAATATCCTTTTTTATGTTTTTAATTCATGTTTTGCATTGAAATCAGCATAAGGCTATAGTTGTGTAGAATAGGTCTAATTCATTTTTTTGTTGTGTATATAAACATGTGATTTTTCCATACACATTAAAAAAAAACATTGGTAATTAAAGAATACAAAGCTCACTTGGACAAGTTTTATCTATTTAGTAAGGCAAATGTCACATTATATTTTTTTTTCTAGTTAGTGTGCATTTTGAAATCAATTTCCATCCAAGTTTGATTTTTTAGGACTTGTGGTTAGTTGGGAATGGGCCTGCTTCAAAAACTTTAATCTATTCATTTATCAAGAAATATGTCAGTCAGTTCAAACATTTGGAGCAAGTCTGTAGATTTCCATCCTAAGGTTCATTATTCAAGCAAGTTTAATCATAACAGGCCAAAAATTACAGAGCTAGTCCAGGAACATTACCCTTGTCACTCATCAGGAAAATGTATGTCCCACTCAGCATCCAAAGCAAGTCTGGAAGTGTCCATGCGTACATCATCCAAGCCCATTGGCTGTGTATGGCTATATTCACTCATCTTGAAAATGAAGGCCAGATTCAGCATCCATAGCAGATTGGGTAGAGTCAATCCCAAGATACATTATCCATGCATGTTTGATTTTGGTAGGTTTTATAGATACTTGATAACAGACCTGCTCCAAAAACTTTACCCTGATTCACTTATCTGGAAAATGTAGTTCAGATCCAGCATCTGAAGCAAGTCTGGTAGTATGCATCCCTGTGTATCATCCATACAAGTTGGTCAAGTAGGGTCTATATTTACTTGGGAATAGACCTGATCCTAAAACAAGGCTAAATCCATTACAGACGCTGGGGTATAACATATAAGCTCATCTCAACTTTGTCAAGGTGAGGTAGACAAATAATGGACAGGTTTAGGTTTTCAACATGTTTATCAATTTTTCAGATGTAAAAATGTAGATCAAGATTTATGAATGTGATGCTTTGTTTTATATACTTGAGGATTTTCACAAAAAAAGACATCAAGAAACAGTTTAACACTGTCTTGAGAGAATTAATTTTAAGGACAAATACTACCAATCTCCATAGGATAATTCATCCTCTGGGACAGTAACTTCCATTTCCAGATGTACCCAGCTTCTAAAGGAAAGCTACAAAGATTTAATACATATATATACAATTTTAATGTTATACATATGTGTATATAAGAATATATAATATATATAACCTAGGTTAATTCAGTTTATTCTTTCTCAACCCCAAAAGTTTATAAAACTAGAGGTACTGTGAGCAAAGAGCTCACTAAATGATACACCCCCCCCCCCCCCATATGAATATAATGTCAGTGACCATGTTTTGCTATGGGAAATCCAATATATGTGTTGGATCAAAAATTAAAATAAGAGGTGCACAATGGCATTATATAATAAAGATTCTCTGAAAGTCTCATCAAATTTTATTCAGTGGTACAAGAGGAGTTGTGGATAAGAGATGGGTACCCCAAAGTGTCACAGACGGACATACAGACAGATGGACGGATATACCTATTACTATATAACCTCCCACATTTCAAGCGGGGGGTACAAATATGTAAATTGTTTCAACTCCAATTACTTTTTGATCAGACACAATATCAGGTTTCCCACAGCAAAACATGAAGATTGCCATTCTTTCCATAATATTGAGGGGTATCCATCTCTTATCCACAACTCCTCCTAAACCACTAAATGAAATTTTATACTTTCATGGATTCTTCATTACATAGTGTCATTGTGACCTTCTACGAGTTTTTCATCTGACGTTTATTTTGGGTCAGCCAAAGCAAAATACATGGCCTTTACCATAATAATCAAATGGTAGGCAGGGTGTATCATTTTATGAGCTCATAGCTCACAGTACCTCTAGTTCTTGTTTTTTCTTTATTTTTTTTTATTTGGTAAACTTTGCATTAGAACACTACTTGAGTAAAATACAATTGAGCAAAAAAAAAACTTTCCACTACAGGAAAAATATGTTAACATATTACTGCATAAGAGAAATTTTACAAACCTTTACTCTATATAAAGAAGCTTTTATTTCCTCCGAAAGATTTGAGATGTCTTCAACACTTTGGTCTCCATGATGAAAATATTTGATGTGGTGATACAAAAACTGAAACTTGAAAATAATACTGCACATTCACCAATGGGCTCTTCCTTTTTTTTAGAAACCAAAAGACAAGAAACTTGTATATGTATATGTACCAATATGTATATATATATATATATATATACCAGTTTTATTTTATTCAGATATTTGGTCTTATTAATATTTTCATGCAGACAATTTGAACGAGAGAACGCATTTTTAAGCCATTCCGTTTTGTTAAACACACAGATACTTTGTATAAGAAGGTGTCCGGCAGGAACTCTTTGATGACAATGCCATTCATACTTGACAAACTGCTGACATATTCCATCATTATTCTGTAAAAGAAATCATGCAGTCAAAATAATAGAATTTATATTTCATTTCACATTAATTAAGTGACCAAAGTTACAGTCCTTTGGCCAGTTCTGAATTTTGACCAGTTCCGAATAATTATTTATTTAAGAGCTGATAATTAATACATTCAAATGTGTAAAAATAAATTGATACCTATTAGGGCTGTGTATTGAGCAAAAACTTTCGATACGATACAATACAATATTTTTCAAAGCGATATGTGATATATTGGATTCTTAAACAAGTCCATGAAAAAAGGCTTATTAATCATTTAATGTATGGATTTCATAAAAAATTTAGTGTTTTATTACCCATTCCAAAGTTCTTATCCAACAGTCAGTAAATAAAACACTTCCAATCGAAACTTTTAATGACTGTAAAATCAACATGTTAAAATAAAATTATGTATTTTATAATAACTATAAAAATTGTGTTATTTCTTTTATAAATCTATAATTATTGATCAGTTTTAATTCAAAAAAGTGAAATACAATATTTGCTGATAAAAATTACCATCTTATTAGTAGGATTAGAAGAAAAACTGCTTGTCCGATACGTATTAGAAGTAATTTTTCGATACAATATTTTTCTTGAATTTCGATACGTATCGATATATCGATATATTGATACAGCCCTAATACCATTGGTAAGAATACTTATTTATGAGTGTTTGAATTATGGGAAGTTCTGATGCTTTGCCGTCAGTTCGGTTTCGTTATCGTACTTGAAAGAGTAGATATACTTTTACAAAGCAACAAATCTGAATCGCAGCGACACGCAAGTCTGCAGAAAAATCTCTGTGGAGACATCAATTTTTCACATAAAACAACATTCCAGGTATCAAAAGTAAGTTTGATATGAACTCTAACAAATATGTAAAACTTGTCTAAAATAATATTTAGAACACTGGAAAATATCGGAATATTTTTGTGTTGTCATTTTCCTAGTTCCGAATACCCATTTTAAACACTCTTATAAATTCATTCTTCCTTGTTTTCTTCATTGTAAACGTGACTTATTATACCCGCACTTGAAAAGCAGGGGGAAGGGGGATATAGTGATGGGATGTTTGTCCATCCATCGGTCTGTATGTCCATCCATCTGTCTGTACGTCTGTCCGTCTGATATGCTTTGGGGTACCCATTTCTTATCCAAAACTCCACAACTCCTCTTGTACCACTGAATGAAATTTAATGAGGCTTCACAGACTTTATGAGTCTTTCATAGAATCTTTGTTAAATTGTGCCAAAGTGCACCTTCTATTTTATTTTTTGATCTGGCACATAATTTGGGCTCCCTTAGCATTACATGGATACTGCCATTCTTTCTAATATTAAGGGTATATCCATCTCTTATCCACAATACCTCCATTCCACTGAATAATAAAATTTAATGATACTTTCATAGATTCTTTATTACATTGTGACATTGTACATGTGACCTCTTATTTTACTTTTAGATCTGACACTTATTTCGCATCTCCCAAAGAAAAACATGGACTTTGTCATAATAATAATATTGGAGGTGTGGGGTATCATTAAAGTGAGCTCAGTGTTCACGATACCCTTAGTTTCTCTTTATCCTTTGGAAATACAAATAATTATTGGTAAGCAATTAATTTAACTATTCTTAGGCATGCATATGGATAATGTGCTGAACATATATTTTTTTAATTTAGGGTTGAATTGAATGGGTACCGCTAAGGTATTCGGAACTCGTCGGCTAACTCGTGACTGGAAAAATGAATACCTATGTTAACTTGCGAAATAATTTTTTTGGGGGGAAGGATGAACTTTTATGGAACAATATTTAATTCCACAAGTCACTCAACTACCTAGCTTGACAAAAACTTGCATCTTGAAATAATGCCTCGTATATTTATAGCACCGCCAAATCTGTTTCTTATTCAGAACTGGTCATGCAAATACATGTATCAGTCACACCTGTGTCACAGGGTAAATTTTTACATATCATAACTTGTACAGGTATATGTACAAGTGTATGTTAATTTTACACCAAAGTACAAAGCATCCCTTCAGATCTACCAATATTTCTTGTCATATTAAAGTTCTTGAAAGGGAGATTTCTTAATTAATTTTCAATGAAGTTCTCTGTAAAATTTTAACCCTCTTTGTGAACCATTCTTTGCCTTGGCATAAGAGTCATAGGCTTCTAAACAAGCATTTGCCAGTGTAAGCCCTATAGCTCTGGTATCCTTCTGGTCTTACTCTAGGGAAAAACATATGTAATCAAAGGTTACGTAGCTCACCTCGATGAATGTTATCAGTTTAAGTAATGCAAATCTCACATCATATTTTCTTAACAGTTAGTATTTATTCTGACAATAATATTCAAGCAAGTTCTGTTTAAATAAGTTATAAGTTCATTGGGATCGATCTGTTACAAAAAATTTAATCTGGTTATTCATTTTGAAAATGTAGGTCAGATCCAGCATCCGAAGCAAGTTTTAATTGTTCATCCTTAGATGCATCATCCATGCAAGTTTGGTCCCAGTAGGGCTTACAGTTACTTGGGAATAACCTTGTCACTCATCTGGAAAATGTAGGTCTATCAAGCATCCGAAGCAAGTCTGGTAGTGTCCATCCCTAGATGCATCAACCATGCAAGTTTGGTCTAGGTAGGGCTTATGGTTACTTGGGAATGGACCTGCTCCTAAAACTTTAACTGGGACCCTGATGCTAACGCAGATGCCAATGCCGGGGGTATAGCATAAGCTCATCTGTGAGCTAAAAATGTTTGCATTGACTTCTAAGTTTGTTCATTTTCTGTTAAATCTTTAAAATTTGACTTTAACCCAGTATAAGTTGGCAGAAGTATATAATATCTTACAAATTTCTTGACAAACAATACAAATCTACTCTAAACAACATGTATTCCAATCTCTACAACAATTGTAAGATATAGCCTCTGTTTATGTCTGATTCACCTCAATGAAAACTTCCTCCACTTGCTTGTAGTTACTGGCAGCTCCTGCCAAATTAAATTCACAAACTTCCCATGCAGTGTCTGGCAGCTATTCTGGCATGTTATTATTTCTACCTCAAGAGATCCCAGATAAATGTGATGTAGATATGCCAGAAGAAAGCCAAGGGTTTTGATGTGATGACATTCCAACTCAAAGCCCTAAAAGAGACATACTATAAACAATTAAAAAAAATACCCATGAATGCTACATGTATATAGATCAATTTGATTGTTGTTTAACGTCCCTCTCGAGAATTTTTCACTCATACGGAGATGCCATCACTTGCAGGTGGAGAGCTGCAAATTTTGTCTATTGTGTCTACACACGAACCCATGACGTAAGGATCGCCTTACTTAACAACTCTAGAAAAGATGATCTAACTACTGCGCCAAGCAAGCGACTACATGTACATGTATACGGAAATTTGGTTCAGCAGTTAGATCTCTCATAATTTACCTGTTCCATAACAAGTTTCCAAATTCTTATAAGTAGTGCAGAGTGCGACTCTTTTACTTCTTTCAGAACAGTGAAGAAATCTTGTGGCCATGACACAGTATCTGTTTTGATGTTAACTGTCTGACAAGCTGATGCTAAAAACTCCAGAAGTTGATCAACAACCTGAGGAATCCAAAAGTAGCAAGTCCTTAACCATGCCGTTTGGATAAATCATCAGAGAAAATAAGTATTTTACATCTATCTCGATGCAACAAATAAATTAAATGTAAATACAAACTAATTATGTGTCCTGATATACAGAGCATATTTTAACATGTTTAAAATGAAGCAAATACATACAATGCACAACAAAGATTTCTTTGAATTTCTCCCTGGGATCTTACTACTCTTTGATAAATAAACCATTCCATTTTATATACCTTTATATTTGGTATAGAGATGTCTGCAGCATCCATGTTGAGGAGGAGACAAGCATGATTACATTCACTATTGTCCTCAGAGTTCAGACAAGATAATAACTTCTCCCTCACTAATGAACACTGTTCAATCACTGCAACAAAAAAAATCATCTTCAATTCACAGTGCAGCTAATATAACTTCTCTCTCATTAAATAAAGTAATTATTAACTTCCTCCTCACTTAAGAACATATTGCTACTCACAAAATAAATTTTCTCAAGGTTTTGGAAAGCTAATAACTTCTTCCTAAGTTAAACATAAATGGAACCTCAGAGTGCAATATGTAACAAGTTCAATTACTTTCAAGCTTTGCAATAATCATGGTCAGAATACTGTAACCAGAAAGGAAAAATGTGATGGACCAGGCCAGGTTTTATACCTGGGCCCATTGAATCTGCAGTCAGCCAGTTGCTCTACCTATTGAGTTTTCTGGCACCAGATGTCAAGCCCTTTTGACTGCCAATATGGATCAACCTATACATCCTATCATGACCTACTCCTATTGCTGGGAATTTCCCATATCGTTTTATGACCTACTCCTATTTCTGGGATTTTCCTGTATGGCTTTATGACCTTTATGACCTACTCCTATTGCTGGGATTTTCTGTATGGCTTTATGACCTTTATGACCTACTCCTATTGCTGGGATTTTCCTGTATGGCTTTATGACCTTTATGACCTACTCCTATTTCTGGGATTTTCCTGTATGGCCTTATGACCTTTATGACCTACTCCTATTGCTGGGATTTTCCTGTATGGCTTTATGACCTACTCCTATTGCTGGGATTTTTCCTGTATGGCTTTATGACCTTTATGACCTACTCCTATTGCTGGGATTTTCCTGTATGGCTTTATGACCTACTCCTGTTGCTGGGATTTTCCTGTATGGCTTTAAGAAGCTGGTCCAGTCTCCTCTGTAACTGTTCTGTCTCGGTCAATTCCATGTCCATATCCTCCTCCTCATCCAGGAATACCCCTGACAACAGAAACAAATGTCAACAGGTGATCTTATTCTTAGAATTACTCTTCCAGGATTCCAGTCTGACATACCTTCCAAAAGCCTGGATGATTCTGCTTTACAAGCCGTGATGTAGTTGTTATACAGAGTCAATGGAATTTTCTCTACTCTATTCAAAATATCAATTCATACATGTAATTATTCTGCATTTTAATCCACTTTTTACTTGGTGACTTCCCCCCCCCCCCTTAATTTTTCAATAAATACTAGTAATTGATGCGTTTCAGTCAAATTTTTGATGAAAATACATTATAATACTAATGTCAAAAAGATACAACAAAAACAGACTTACAATTTCAATGTATCGATGAACTTCATTCTCAGATCTGGAATGTCTGGAAGCTAAATAATAATGTTGGAGATAAATTATTTTATCTACACATACATGTAGCTTGACATTATTTGAATCAATCTCAAAACTAACCATTTTTTGGCATGATATTATATATTCAGTATAATTTGTTTAATTCAGATTCTGAGTACTTTTGAATTTTGTACATTTTGGCTTTATATTTTAGTCCCATGCACATTTTTAGTCTCTGGCATTTCCCATTTTTAAGTAAAATATTCTGAGTAGACCAGATTCTGTCTATTCTGTATTCAGTAAGTCAATGGTTCCAACTGCAGCCACAAAATGCAGCCACACAATATCAAAAATTCAATGTTATTAACACTTGGTTAATGTTTAAGTGCCATGAGACAACCTGAAACTCGACGATGGAACAGCCCATTGAAAGTGATATAAGGCATAGATACAAGTAGTTTTATAAAAGAATACTTACTCATTTGACTATTAGTACCAGACCTGTTTACCTGTATTGTTATCTCTCAGTATTATATATTAGATTTGTCAGTGAGATTTGGCATTTGTCAGTAAGATTTCTCTTTCCATTGATTTTACATATAAATTGGGATCAACCTCAAACATCTTAAAATCGGCACCTTTAATGCAGGATGAATACATTATCAATCATAAATAATTGGAATCTGCTTACTAAGACAAATGCCACTGTATTGACATGAGATATACTTACAGCCCTTGGCTTTAGGAGGACGGGTAAAAATCTGCCCACATAGTAAGGCTTCCTGAATATGCTGAAAATGAAATAAAGGTCAAGAATGAGAGAAACATATATTTGTCTCTGCTTTTATCTGAAAGAAAATTAAAATTAACTTAGTATTCAATTGATTAAAAATCATGCAGTTACAAAAAGGTTATTGGTTGCTACACTGAAGGCAAAAAATTGGTACAAAAATTCTGTAAAATACATGGTTTGCCAAGAACTTACGTTCTATGAAGATATAAGATCTATGGACCACAAAAAAGTCTGTAAAGTTAAGGCCATCGAGAAGGTCATAGTCTTATGATACAGCTGAAATTTTTGTCAATCTATATTTTTATATGAAGCTTGATGAATACATTAAGGACAGTTTCTTTTTTCACTATGCTTAATGCAAAACAATGTCTAGAGAGGTCAGGAACATATTAAAAGTCAAGGTCAGAAAATTTTGAAACAGCTCTATACATCTTATTGATTCAAATCTAAGATGTGTTTGAAGAAAATAACTGGAATAGTTTCTTTGATTTTTATTTAAAATGAGGAGTAGCAGAGTCAAGTCATAGGGAATTTCATTGTAAGACTAAAAATATGTCCATAGGACATGAATGCCCCGCCGAGGATATATTAGTAAAGTAACATGAAAATTTGTATGTGTATAAAATTTGATCAGAATATCTTGAATAGTGATGCAGCTGAATTGCTTACATTAGTATGTATCAGCATATGGAGTTTGACACTAATTTCATTAAAGTGAGGTCAAGGTCAAAGGAAATACCAAGGTCAAAAACTGTTGATTCAGTTGAAAAGCTCTCATCAGTAAGTATCAGCAAATGAAGTTGAAAATATAATTATAAATGGTTTCTTTAAAACTGACTTAAACAAAAATGGATAAAAGTGAGGTCAAGGTCAAATGAAAGGTGAAGGTAAAAAATGATGATACACTTGAAATGCTTACCTCAATATCTATCAGCTTACGACGTTTGACACTAATTTAGGAAAAGTGAGGTCAATGTTAAAGCAAAGGTCAAGGTCAAAAATGTTGATGCAGTTGCATATCTCTCATCAATATGTATCAACATAAGAAGTTAAAAATATAAAGAAATGATGTCTTTAATTAAAGACTGACTTATACACAATTTGATAAAAGTGAGGTCAAGGTCAAAGGAAAGGTCAAGGTCAAAAATGTTGATGCAGTTGCGTATCTCTCATTAGTATGTATCAACATATGAAATTTGATAAAAATATCTAGAAATGATGTCTATAATAAAACATAGGTAATCAAAGATTACGAAGCTCACCTCGAAGAACGTTATCAGTGTAAGTTAAATGCAAATCTCGCATCATATTTTCTAAATATTTAGTACAGTGGATCCCGCTTAATCCAATAGTAAAATTGTCAGCCTTCTGTTATCCGAATAGCCGAATATTCGAATAGCCGATTGCTCCATTTCGAGTCCAAACAAAGATTTATAGAGCTACATGTATTGACAATACATCGTAGCAAATTTCTAACTTGCACTTTCTTTTTGGTTTGATTATTTTACCTGGCGATTCTCATAAAATAAAATGTTAAACATTCTTATCAATTTAATGTGGTAACATTTTTTAATTAAAATGACTTATAAAAATCTTTTTTCAATAGTTATTGCCATTTATAATCAGCACATGTTTACATTCCTTCTTTGATGGCCGCCATTATGGAAACGGAAGTAGACTAAATGCCTGACTTTATTCCGTAATTTATTTTTCCCCGGATAAATGGTACATTAAAATTAAACAAAAATATTAAATTGTTTTGTTTTCTTTGTTTCTTTAACATGATTATGTATTTCATACTGTTTGTGACAATTCTCAAGCCAATAATCCCGTAACTATGACGCATTTCAATGTCCCAGCAAATTGTCATACACAAGCTAATACGTGCAATAATTAAAATCTAACTTAAGAAAAAATTGCAAACGATTATCATAATTATCAAGTACATCACTGAAAAGTAATTTTCATTGAATTTTCATTTTCATTCAATAATCATTGAAACCCTAGCTGATCATCATAACTGTATCAAAACAGTGTGCCAATTATTAACACAGGTAAGGTGATCGACTGCGTGCATTCAGCCGTGACTAATCCCCTCATTATCGTACTCAAGGTGTCAGATAGTGTAAACAAAGGCTTCACTAAGGAAGAGGTGTGAACAAGGTCACAATTTTCTATAAATACTACGATGGTCCAAAGAACTTTATTCGGTAATAACCAATATTTGCCCCCCAAATCAAACTTTGATGGAGATATATTTAATTAAGTTCTTAAACAGGGGAGTATATGCTGACTTCAAAGCACTGAATATTTTCATAAGTAATGACGCCATATGTACGTAATGACGTCACAAACATGACGTAAATTTAAGTTTTTTATGAATTTTACAGAAAAATGTACATATTTCGTCGATATTTTGAGTAAAAGTCACCGAGCGCATGTGTGTTCAGGATCAATATTTTGATATAATGTGTAGAATGATAATATCAATGAAATATGTCAATATTGTTCCTGAACAAACTTGCGCTCTATAAATTTTAAAGCTAAAATTGTTGAAATTTTGTCCATTTTGTCCTCTTTCTGAAAAAAGGATATAAAATCGGACTAGTTTGTGACGTCATAAAAACAAAAATTGTGAATACACTGCTTTGACACTATAATATTTTCTGTTAATTTATATTTCTCATACAATTTATTGAATTCAGTACCTTTCAGGAAGGTTTTCAAAATTTGACTTTTGTGGGGGCAAATATATCCAATATACCGCATATAGTTCTTTGTGTATCAGATTTTTTCTCATCAGAATATCATCAGAAATTATTAACAGGTATATAAGAAATGGTTCTGTGCTCTGATATTATATTGAAATAGCCGAAATATTCATTTAACCGCTATCCGATTAAGTGGAAGCCACTGTATCGGAATGTCTTGAACTTTGACCATAAGGTAAATACAAAATGTGATGGACTGATGGAAGGACATAAAAATGATGACAAACACTATATGAACCTGCCTTATTCATGCTAGAGAATCAATAATAGTACAGTATCTGTTTATCAATATTCCTTTACCTAGCTTCCATGATTGATGTTGGAATTTTTTTGGTGGACTTAAACACAACTAATGCCTTCTGGATATCTTCTTCTATCTGTTCATTCACCTACAATATTAACTTTACCTTCATTTTACAGGTATAAAATTACACTTCATATCTAATTCACACTACATGCCTCAGTTTTTTCAGCTCTAAAATATTTGATTTTTTTTCAAATGAAAAAAAAATTAAACATTATAGCCATTTCATGATTTAATATTTATCGACATAACAATTTCTCAGAGCCAGATATGCTTGTTTTTCCCCTTATTTATCCATTTGTAACACTAAACAGCCTCTCCTTTGAAGGGCAATGATTTAGATGTCATTATACTATATGAACTTGAATAAACATTACTTGTAGGTGAGTCTGGTATCCCATACCACCTTATGGACAGATGATACAAACAAAAAATAGATGCCTGGATTGGTATATATTTTCTTGTCTTATTTCACTGATTATGATGTAAAAATTAAATTTCTAGAATATAAAGAAATTGATGTTCAAATTCTACCTCTCTTAAACCATCCTTATTAATCTATACAAAATTAATATATTTCTCTTCAAATCCCATTTTTGTGAGAATTTGAATAAAAATTCAAAAACTACGCGGTTAAACTTATTCATTTTACTCATTAAAACATGACTCAAGTTGTTATTTTCAAATTTTGAAATTTTTGACAAAAATTTGTTTGTATCATCTGTCCTTTAAACAATAAAAAATAATTGATGTATTATACATTCAAAATAAAATTCTTATGTAGTTTTTACTTTCAAAATACCATCATTTACAATAGTCTCAGTGATCAATATAATATGTGAATAATTATGGTGGAATAACTTCTCTCAATGCAGATTAAAGAATAATTCCTACACTATCAATAGAGCGATGCCATAGCATTAAAACCCTGACCAAGGGTCACGACCTTCAAAAGTTAGGCAGAAGCTCTCACTATAATCATGAACTTAGTATGTCTGCTTAAACCACCCCTCACCGTTTCCATGAACTTCACAATTTTTGGAAGTAACATCAATACTCATGATAACCATGTACTGGATTTTAATCTTTAATGCAAGGAACAAATTTTAGGAAGTTTTTTTCAAAGGACTAATGCATTTTCACTATATGATCAAAATAGCCCTTTTTAACACACAACTCAAAGGCCATGAATTTAAAAAAAAAAAATTGGAAGAGGCACCAGTGTCTATCGTAACAGTGTAATTTGTTTGTTTACTCAGTACCCAGGAGCACATACAATTTTTAAAGAATGAAAGAAAAAGTGAGCAAGCTCACATACCCCAAGCTCCCCCAAAACTAGAAGTGCTGAAATTGCCGGGAAAATAAAGGAATCCCAATTTCCTGGTAATATGCACATGTACACATTGTGTCCTAAATATCTGCAAAGTTTGACGAAATTCTGTGCAGCGGTTTATGAGGAGTTGCGCCGACAAAAAAACAGGACTGACTGACTGAATGAATGACGGAGGGGTCAAAAACATTATACCTCCCGCAACTTGTATAATTAGCACATTAAAACTTTACTGATTAATACAGCCCTGCCCTAACACCTAAACACCTGATCCTGAATTTTACAATTTTAGAAGATGCACCCCTGCTCACAATAATCATGCACTAACTTTATCTTCAGGAATTGAGTCTTAATACTGTACACTGTCAAAAGAATGTCAAAACCTTTTTCCTGCTTCCTTGGTCCTTGTCTTCAGATTCTGCATCCAAAGGTTGCTGAAATAATATGCAAAGCACTATAATTCCAATCTTGATTTTATTTACTGATTCCTTGTGTTTTGATTGGACGAAAACAAATTCAAGAAAAAGTTTACACATCGATGAATTCTTCAATCAGAAGTGAACTACTTTCTTGACTGTTGTAAAAATAATGAAAACAGATACTTCTATAATCCGTTTTAGCTAAATTATGATTACAAGAAACTTGAAATAAAAAATGAATGAATGAATGAATGATCGAATGAATGAACGAAAAGGAGATAAACAGGACTGACAGACGGGAATATCATGTTTATGTCACTGTCGGATCACGAATGTGAATTTTAAAAAATCGCTGATCATGCTGTCATTTTCTCGACGTTCCATATCAGTTCAGTTGGTATCGTTGTGATAAGGAAAAGAAACGTACCTCAGACTCTGGCATTTTTAGCATCAAATTCATATGTTTATATCCTACAGATCCCATATTCTCCCTAAATCTTTGAACGAACCAAAGCAAATCGAGGACGTCGTCGGTCTGCTTCTTTCGTTATGACGTTGTTTATGTCAACATGGCCATGGTCAAGGACGAATTATTCTGGAGAATACGCGTATTTACGATATTTGTTGACTTAAACAACATTCAGTGAGTTTTTATAAGTTTATTTATCGATTGTTTTGACAATTGAAGTTGGATTTTATCGATATTCATCTTGTATACGTTTCTTTGCGACATAAAGTATTCCTACGCCGAACAAAATAACGGATTGTATGGCGGCCTCAAAGAGAAATAATTTTAATAATTTAAAAAATTCGTAATTGGAATTATAAGAATTAAACGTTCTTTTTTCAGAATTTATTGATGTGTAAACTCTGCCTTTTTACTCACAAACTTAACATAAAAGTGCTTCGCACTTTTATTCAGTTTGTGAGTAAAAAGGCAGAGTTTACACATCGATAAATCCTGAAAAAAGAACGATTAATCCTATAATATTCTGGATCAGGAACATTTTATCAATTACATGCAATCTTGTACATATTGAAAAGACATTTTTTTTACCTTTAAATCTGCAAGTCTGGTTTTCACTAACATGATGTAGTCTGTGAAAAGCTCTCTACACTTTGGAGGTACATAAGGGGGTCTTACTATATGGGCCTACAAAAGGGAAAAAACGCATTTAATCACATTTGCTTTATTTGAATTTAAATTAATTAAGGGAGACAAATTTTCATTTCATCCAAATGGTAATTTTTCAGTGGTGATCCATTTTGGGCTATGCCTTTTGTGTTGTAAATTGTTTATATACAGCAAATCTACATTTCTTCCTAGGTCCCCTTGTATATACTACATGGGCTGTATTCAAAATTGTTAGTAGCTTCTCTGTGTTGCTTTGTTGGTGTCTTTTGAATGGGTTTTTAGTGCTTGTTATTTTTACAAGGTATTCTGCACACACAAAAACATATAATTAGATCTGATAAAAGTTATTAAAGAATTATACACTTATTATTTATAAACAAATTACTGCAAAACAGAATTGCTTGCTAATATATGCATATCAAGAGAAGCATGGCTTTGGCCCGACATGATTCGCTAAAAAAATTGTCGAACTATCGCCTCACAAGTTCTTCTTACCCTTGGTAAGATTTATTTTGTAAATGCCACAACGTACTTTTAAATGTGACGATGACTCGAAAGGCACCATATCCGTGAGGAACTTTATGAGACACATGAAAGTCTTCCTGCTTCCTGCCGGATTCTGAGGAGACTCTGAAAACATTTTCTACAAAGACAAAAATTTTCAGTTATTGTGTGTACTTTGGAATTATAAAATTTTCTACAAAGACAAAAATCTTCAGTTATTGTGTCTTTACTTATGAATTATAAAATTTTCTACAAAGACAAAAATCTTCAGTTATTGTGTCTTTACTTATGAATTATAAAATTTTCTACAAAGACAAAAATCTTCAGTTATTGTGTGTACTTTCGAATTATAAAATTTTCTACAAAGACAAAAATCTTCAGTTATTCTGTACTTTAGAATTACAAACACAGACAAATTAAGACATTCTTACAACACGTACTTTGTCAATAGCTGTAGACTGGCAACCTTTAACATTTTACAATTGCTAATATTAACTTTCTTTGTTTGCTGATGCCTATATACAGTACTGCATGTGAATATACTTAAGTGTTCCAGAGAATATTTGCAGTTCTAGTATTATAGATTATAGTGTTCCCCTTTCTAAATAATAAAGTTTCGAACTCAAAATTCTAAAGATATAATGGTTTAATTTCAAAAAAGTCTGCTTAGAGTTAAGTCAAGTTGGCTATAAAGCTTTTATTTTTCTAAACTTTTTTACAAAAAATTCGGCCTTTTCTGAGGAACTCCTAAAATATTTTGACTTGTGGTTTGAAAAGTGTGGCCAAAACATTTTAATAAATTAAATCTTCAGATCAGAATTCTTTTAAATTCCTAGATATCAAGGAACAGATTGATGGCATGATAATTAATGCCAAAATTCATGATCCCACTCTTCAACATTTAGGTCCAATGATAAAACTAAGTTGTCACATATGCAATGATGCCTTCTTCTCATCATAAATTTGAACTTGAACTGCAAACCATCATGCAAATAGTGATAGGAAAATCAGTCATTAGAGTTTCTCAAATACCAATATTTTTTAAAAAGTTTATCAAACATTGTTACCTGGAACCAGTCTGGATATGAATCAATGTTTTATGGAACCAGTCTGGATATAAATCAATGTTACTTGAAACCAGTCTGGATATGAATCAATGTTAACTGGAACCAGTCTGGAAATGTATCAATGTTACCTAGAACCAGTCTGGATATGAATCGATGTTACCTAGAACCAGTCTGGATATGAATCTACCTGAAACCAGTCTGGATATGAATCAATGTTACCTAGAACCAGTCTGGATAAGAATCTACCTGAAACCAGTCTGGATATGAATCAATGTTACTTAAAAACCAGTCTGGATATGAATCATAGTTACCTGGAACCAGTCTGGGTATGAATCAATATTACCTAGAACCAGTCTGGATATGAATCTACCTGAAACCAGTCTGGATATGAATCAATGTTACCTAGAACCAGTCTGGATATGAATCAATGTTATCTGGAACCAGTCTGGATATGAATCAATGTTACCAAGAACCAGTCTGGATATGAATCTACCTGAAACCAGTCTGGATATGAATCAATGTTACCTAGAACCAGTCTGGATATGAATCAATGTTATCTGGAACCAGTCTGGATATGAATCAATGTTACCTAGAACCAGTCTGGATATGAATCTACCTGAAACCATTCTGGATATGAATCAATGTTACTTAGAACCAGTCTGGATATGAATCATAGTTACCTGGAACCAGTCTGGATATGAATCAATATTACCTAGAACCAGTCTGGATATGAATCAACATTACCTGGAACCAGTCTGGAGACAAATCAATGTTACCTGGAACCAGTCTGGATATGAATCAATGTTACCTGGAACCAGTCCCAAGACAAATCAATGTTACCTGGAACCAGTCTGGATAGGAATCAAACACCAGGGGCCCTTCATAGCAGCACTGTCTGGTGAAGAGGAAGGCAATGACAAGGTTCTCCAGATTAGAGCTCTCTAGTCCATCTCTCAGCAAGACGCCAACATAATCTGGTCATCAAAGAAAAGGAAATATTGTTGTCATTGTGCTATTTAAAATTTAGGGACATCAGTAAATATTTGACACATATATTATAGTGAGAAATAGTCTTCTTAATGTACGACAACTTAGTAGGTGTCTGTGACTATACTGTTTCTACCTTGTATAAGACTGGAGAGGCCTGGCATACAGACCACAGCCGTGGACAGGAAAGAGAGAACCGCGTGCCAGTTCACTTCCTGGGTTTCCATGACAACCTTCATCTGCTCCAAGACGTCCACTGCCTCCAACATTACCAGACACTATGCAAACAGGACAGTATCGTAGAAATTTTCAATTTTCAAAATTTTTATTACCAGACACTACGCAAACGGGACATTATTTAAGAAATCTTCATTTTTCAAAATTTTCATTCAAATTACCAGACTCTACGCAAACAGGACATTGTCATTTGACATTATCTGATATTTAACAAGAGGCCCAAGGGCCTTGAATCGCTCTTCTGATAAATTGTACAACCTATCACTTGTATTTGAAGCCTCTAACCCTAAGTATCCTAAAACCTAAGTTGCATCAACTGATAAAAAGTTTGATGATTCTTAGCCAATTAGGACTGAAGATATTTTAATAAAGCTATAAAAAAAAAACATGAGTAGGTCACGGTGACCTACTTTAAGATTGGAGTTTTCTGAGGACTCAAGATGCATTAATAGACAAACTAAGATTGAAGATTCTAAGCCAATATGTATTTGCGATATTCAAAAGTAGGTCACCTTGACCTACTTTTTGGTCTACATTCTTGGAAAAACCAAGATGCATCAACTGACAAAGTTTGATGATTCTAAGCCAATAAATACCTGAGATATTCAAAAGTATGTCACCATGACCTACTTTTTGGTCGACATTCTCTGAAAACCCAAGAGGCATAAACTAACAAAGTTTGATGATTCTAAGCCAATAAGTACCAGAGATACTTAAATATAGCCATAAAATGTCAAAAGTAGGTCATCGTGACCTACTTTTTGGTCGACATTCTCCGAAAACCCAAGATGCATCAACTGACAAAGTTTGATGATTCTAAGCCGATAAGTACTGGAGATACTTAAATATAGCCATTAAATGTCAAAAGTAGGTCATCGTGACCTACATTTTGGTTGACATTTATCAGAGGCCTAAGATGCATCTGCTGACCAAGTTTGATAATTCTAAGCCAATAAATACCTGAGATATTCAAAAGTAGGTCACTGTGACCTACTTTTTGGTCGACATTCTCTGAAAACCCAAGAGGCATAAACTAACAAAGTTTGATGATTCTAAACCGATAAGTACCAGAAATACATAAATATAGCCATTAAATGTCAAAAGTAGGTCACCATGACCTACTTTTTGGTCGACATTCTCTGAAAACCCAAGATGCATCAACTGACAACGTTTGATGATTCTAAGCCTATAAGTACTGGAGATACATAAATATAGCCATGAAATATTGAAAGTAGGTCACCGTGACCTAATTTTTGGTCGTCACTCTCCGAAAACCAAAGATGCATCAACTCACAAAGTTTGATGATTCTAAGCCAATAAATACCTGAGATACCGAAATATAGCCATAAAATGTCGAAAGTAGGTCACAGTGACCTACATTTTGGTCGACATTTTTCAGAGTCCCAAGATGCATCAGCTGACCAAGTTTGATGATCATTGGTCTGAAGGTAATCAAAATATGCCTTTTAAACAATTTGAAAACAAATGCCTGCAAAATTCTAAAAGTAGGTCACAGTGACCTACTTTTACTTAAATATGTTTTAAGGTCCCAAGATGCAGCAACTTACAAGATTTAATGATTCTAACCCTCTCAGTGTCTGAAATAATGGGATGAAATGTTTTAAAAAGAATAAGTCATAAAGTTCAAAAAGTAGGTCACGGTGACCTACTTTTAAGTTGACGTTGTTCAAGGACCCAAGATGCATCAACTGACAAAGTTTGATGATCATAGGCCTTAAAGTGTCCTAAATATGCCTTCAAATCAATTTGAAAACAAATCCCCGCAAAATTAAAAAAGTAGGTCACCGTGACCTACTTTTGAGTTAACATGATGTGAAGTCCTAAGATGCATCTACTTACAAGATTTGATGATCCTAGTCCTTATAGTAAGCAAAATATAGACATTTTCATTAATTGTAAATTTAGGTCAACTTTGAAGTGACCTTGAGACCACGCCCTTTGCCCCAGGGTCATGCCTTGAACAATTTTTAATCTTCAACATATCCTGATCATTGTATGTAAGTTTGGTGAAAATCTGCCTGGTGGTTCTGGAGAAGAAGATTTTTTTGCAACCAGTACTTTTGGTTTTGTTTTCCTGATTATCTCCCCTTGTTTTAGGGTCCCAACCCTTATTTTAGTATAAATGGTAGCCCATGGGCCAAGGATACCCTGTGACAAATTTGACACTGATTGGCCAAGGGGTTCTTGAGTTACAGCCCATATTCTAAAAAGTTAACGCACACCGCACGACGCACACCGCACAAATGGCCATAGCATTAGCTCTTTGAGCCTTTGGCTCAGAAGAGCTAATAATCTTTTTAAAGATTTTTCCTATGTTTTCCTATGTTAAACTTTGATACCCCATTGTGGCCCCACCTTACCCCTGGGGGCCATGAGTTGAACAAACTTGAATCTTTACTACCTGAAGATGATTCCACATGAGTTTCATCTTTCCTGGCCCCGTGGTTCTGGAGAAGATTTTTAAAGATCTTTCCTATGTATTCCAATGTTAAACTTTGATACCCATTGTGGCCCCACCCTACCCCAGGGGGTCATGAATTGAACAAACTTGAATCTTCTCTACCTGAGGATGATTCCACATGAGTTTCATCTTTCCTGGCCCATTGGTTCTGGAGAAGAAGATTTTTAAAGATTTTTCCTATGTATTCCTATGTTAAACTTTGATACTCAATGTGGCCCCACCCTACCCCTGGGGGTCATGATTTGAAAAAATTTGAATCTTCGCTACCTGAGGATGATTCCACATGAGTTTCATCTTTCCTGGCCCAGTGATTCTTGAGAAGAAGATTTTTAAAAGATGCCAATATTTTTTCACTTATTATTAATTATCTCCCCTTGGAAGAGGGGGTGGCCCTTCATTTGGACAAACTTGAATCCCCTTCAACCAAGGATACTTTGTGGCAAGTTTGGTTGAAATTGGCCCAGTGGTTCTTGAGAAGATGAAAATGTGAAAAGTTAGCGACGACAACAACGACGACTACAATGACAATAGATAAATTTTGATCAGAAAAGCTCACTTGAGCCTTCGGCTCAGGTGAGCTAAAAAGTCAGTGCAGTATACAAACAAATACAGATACACATAACTGCAATAAAATGTAAACAAAGGCAATGCAAGATAACTAGAATGAACACGGGTCACCATTCCATGCCGATACCCACGATAATAAAGCAGTCGAGTGTAACGAATGCGAGGGGTATACCCTGGTGCTGTTATCTTAGATAGTTACTGTATACAGGGTTATTTTCGCCCCGTCTTATTTTCGCCCTTTCACACTTGCAAACAATTTTGCCCTGTTTTAAATTCGCCCAGTCATAGTTTTGTTAAAGAAATTATACCGTATTTTTTTAATTCGCCCCGTTTTAAATTCACCCAAATGAAAGTAGGGTGAAAGGGGCAAAAATAAAACGGGGGCGAAAATTTCCCTGTATACAGTATATGGAAATTGGCATATGCCTATTTGAGAGTCATGTTCAGCTGTAAGTTTTAATTAAAATTATGGTCAAGGACTAAAATATAAAACCATAATGCTACAGTTGTGCAGCAACTATGAGGATATCTAGATCAATAGGTTTGCATTATCCATTGCTTATCAATGTGTGAACATCATAGCTTTTGTCTTTTAATATATATTTGTAAGACTCCAAAGTGCGATGGTGAAGCCAAAGTCCGATGGTCGCGCCAAAGTCCGATGGTCTGCACCAAACCCCGATGGCTCGCTGTCTTTACAGACGCCCAAGTCCAATGGTTACGCCCAAGTCCGATGGCTCGTTTCCTATGAGACACGTTGCACTAAAGTGTGATGGTGTGGTACGCCAACGTATGATGGTGCAGAGGAATCAATGTTTATGATGTCACAATAGTCCGATGTCATGCCTTTGTCCTGAATTCAAAATCCATTGAATCAGTACATGTATTCGTTTCGTGTATACAATTGTTCTGATTTTGCTTATTGTTTTCACCCACTAGAAGCATTAATTAGGGTTAGTCCTCGCACACAACTCGACTGATTAAGTTTAGTCCATGAACACTACTGAATTGATAATTTGTTCGGATTAGTCCTGCACTCTGCCAAGATATTTATGTTATAGTTACCGAGTAAATATGAGGGTAAATCTTTGCATTTTATTTTATATATTTGTATTTATTTTAAACAATGAGGCCTTGGCATGGCAGGACATCGCATTTTTGCATAGTAGTACTATGATGTCATAAACTTTAATTGTTTTCTGCACCATCGGATTTTGGCGTGTCAAACCATCAGGGTTTGGCGCAGACCATGGGACTTTGGCGTGACCATCGCACTTTGGAGTCCTACATCTTTAAATGAAGTAGCCAAATCTCTTTGAAAATGGCTCCTGGAAGCGATATTGATGTACATAACTACAAGAAAATGAGGGTGGAACTTTTTTTCTGGATTCCTCTCAGCATTACCAACATTTTATCAAAAATACAAAATTTGGAATGTAGCTACCTAAAAATGATGTAGCATGCTAAAAAACCTAACTTCTATTTTATTTAACGTATGCTGTAGATTCAAGTTCATAATTTATATAAGTTTGATCTGATTAGCAAGGCTATAGTTATAACATTAATTTCAGATTTTTTTACCTGTTTGTACCAGAGGATTAATGAAGAGGACAGTTTGCTGTAGGTCCATTCTCTTTGTCTTTTTAAGGCATCTGCCACTGAAAGCAATGAACACACATTAATTGCAATATCCTAGCAATAAGAAGTATACTGTAGATCACTAAATTTCCGCGACACCTTATTTTTGCGAGATTGTAATTGACTCTTTATAAGCGAAACATAATTTTCACGAATAGTTGTTATCCCTCTACATAATCGTATGGAATACTTTTATACGCGAGAATTAAATTTTGGCGAACGCATTGTCTCGCGTAATTACGCGAAAATAAAGTTCTAGTGAATAAAAAGTGATTTACAGTATTTATTTGTGAGACATTACTGAAAACTAAATCTTGTTTGCAATATCCATTCTTCAATTCTTTATACACAAGTAGTCCTAATGATACAACTTCCAAAAATCTTTTTCTCTCAGTCAGTAAGAATCATCATGAAAAATGTTATTCAATGCACTGACTGACTGCAAGAGATACACATCCACAGTAATAAATTTGGCAGCATCAGATGCCAACCCAGTTATCTTTAAATTTACACAATACTAGCTAGTGGGCAAACTCACAAAATTCTCATTACCTAAATCTAACAACTATGGGCAAGTTTCAAAAATACCATCTTTGGTTTGCTTGACATGCAAAAATGGTTAAACCCATTGAAACATGGAAATTTTAATTTTGAAATTTTGAAAAATTTTTGAAAGTAAACTTGCCGTGATTTTTCATCAGTTTTCTTGATCCAATCACCGAATTACAAAAAAAGAGGAACTTCAGAATAGTAAAATATTTTTTTAAAAGTTCCTTGAACATATTGAAAATAGCAATTTATTAACATCAGTTAAATGACTTCGGTAGGATGTTATGTTTGACTTACAGTACTAACATAATTCTAGAGTCATTGCTCTACAGAAAAGACATACCGTATTTAAATATATTTTTTTTAAAAATAATACAATTCATTTTAATGCAAGCCAACTACTAATTAACCATTACATGGAAGTGTGAAAACAAACTGTTTGTCTTTGTTCCTTCATGCGTAAAGTCTGGCAAGGGTCTAGGAGATAATTGATTATGCAGGGTGAAGTCCTAGTAAGTAAGTGCGCTACATTTCAGAATTGAAAGACGGTAGAATTGTTTGATTAAAGTTTCACTTAGAGAGAATTTATATGTTTGGATTTTCTAAGTATCACAGATCCTACTGTGTCCGCAAAATTTTTACTGTGTTGCATGCATAAAAATTGAATCGTTACCGTGTCGGAGAAAATTTTACTGTGTCGGGAGCAACACAGTAAAACAGCTCATGGAGAACCCTGGGAACTAGTCCTATTTCTTCCACTTTGAAGGGTTCAACCCAATCACTAAAGAGTGTATTTCTACATCCCTAGGTTACAAGGGGATAAATATGATGATTCATATGTACACTTTGTGGGTATATATTGTTTAAATAATGTTCCTCTCAAGAATTTTTCACTTATATGGAGACGCCACCACTTGCCGGTGGAGAGCCGCAACTTTTGTCCTATACTCGGCACTCAGGGCCATTGACCAGGGAGGGATCTTTATTGTGCCAGTATCTACTGTGACATGGGACCTCGGATTATACGGTCTCATCCATTGGACAGGTCTCCCCATCCTACAGTGGCATTTGAACCCACGATGTAAGGATCAGCTCCTTACTTCGCGAATCTAGAGCAGCCACTCTACGCAAACCTTGTGAGTAACAGCATAAAAGATTTTTTTTAAAACTATTTGATATTAAAATTTTATAAGTATTAGTTATAAACAATAAGCTTTTCCTTTTACCCTTCAGTTCAGGTCGATGCGACATCCACAAGCTGATAGTACTCAAGCAGTGTTTCTTTAGAATGTCTGTTGAACAGCAGTCTGACAGGTCCACAGTGTTTAGAGTTCCAGAGTTCATCATCAGCTCATCTAAAGCCTCTATAAGAATTCAGATACTAATGCTAAAACAATAAATATTACACAGCCAGACAAATCTAATGAGAATGTAGCTCTCCTGGTTTGTATACCGATAACAGAAGAGAAACTTGAAAAACTATCTTGTCACATCTAGAGAAATAATGTTATTTTCAGGGTAATGTTTTCTAAACCAAGTTATAAATTCAGTAAGAGCTAAAAATATCATATTTATAAGAATTTCACAAATCATAAATGTTCAGTAATCAAATTATTTTGATGTTTCATCAAGATTTCAAATGGATACACATAATTATGAGCCAAATGGTACAGTTATTGAAACAAGATCAAAGCTATTCTATTTTAAGTAACAATGGCAACAATGATTTATTGATTGTAAGTTGTTTAATGTCCCTGTGAAGATTTTTTCACTATGGAAATGCTTCCCCCCAATTTTTTTTTTTGCATTAATCTTATTTGGTCCTTGACAATTAGAGCTAAAGTATACTTACTCTTATAGAATAAATCCAAGATATGCTTGGAAATCTGAAACGAAAATATACTAGAAATTAATCTTTATAAAAAATAATTTCATTTGTATATTTAATGCACAGCAACTTCACCATCCCAAAAGTTTGTCTTGGAAGAAAATGTTTCTATTTATTTCCCTACAATCATATTTATATTCCAGCTCTGGATCATCCGTGTACTACCAAAACAAGATGTGTTTGTGAAACACTATGCCCCTGATGGTAACACAATTCTGGAGTGGGATGTAGAATGAAGTGGTATATACCTCAGGGTTAGGGCTAGGTTAAAGTTGAAAAGAGACAGACAGACAAACAGATAGACAGACAGGACACAAACAATATACGCCCGATATTTCGATCCAGGGGCATAAAAATTTTTAACCAAAAGTCTCTCAATGAAACCAATGGTAATTAACAAGAGCATGCATGTATAGCTCTAACAACTCTTCTGGGATTGTAATTTGGTTTACCTTTCTAAGTCTCCCGGCATCTTTGTCTCTCTGAGTAGACTGGGAATTCCTGATCACCAGAGATAAAATTTCTGTCAATACAAAACATCATTTTATGGAACCCTGCAGTCTCTGATGAGAATCTCTGTCTTCATACAGTAAAACTTGGTTGAAGCAAAGTCTCTGGGACTTGTTTTTTTTTTTTTTTTTTGTTTTTTTTTAATTATGACTACTGTATACTTTCAAAGACGTTCTACATACAATTCAAAGACAAAAACTAGTTTTTTTCCACGAGAGAAATATATTGTGTGCAAATATGTAGCATAGAGTAAGTGATATTTGTATAATGAGTTTAGCAGTCTCACATGAGTTAAATTACAGTGTATAAATACAGGTGACTCGAGATGGCTCGAACTCCAACCTCTCGAAGTTCTCTATCTCTCGAAGTGAACCTCCGGTCCCGTTTTTTTCCCTCTCTATAACTAAGCAAATTTACTCCTGATCTCTCGAACTTTCATCTCTAGAAGTTCTCTATCTTCCGAACCATGACATGGGTCCCGTTATACACGTCATTGTTTTTCACCCTCTATCTCTCGAAGTTTAGATTGACTTACCTGGATATCAGTAAATGCCTGGGGCTGGCATGGAAGTGTTAACTGGGTGTTTACATAGATGACACTAAACCTGTGGGTCGTCCTTGTGTTGATATAATTAATTGGTTATAATTGGTAAATTATAAACGAACTGCTTCACAACTTATTTTGACTTGAAACCAAGACGATAATTTTTAGAAAATAATTTTAAAACATATGTGTCAAAAGGTTCTTATAGACTATGAACTTTTAGTACAGTGTACATAATCCCAGTATGGCAAACAAGGATTGAACGTTGAATACCGATTACGAGAAATTTGACGAACACTGGTAAAGGACCCGATCAAGCTGTGCAACAGCCAAACCGACAATTGTTATTTAGGTTTCACGTACCCGTAATCATGAAATAAAAACAAATAAATATTGAACCTTTAGGAAATCAATTTATTTATTCAAAATACGATAATTGTTGTTAATATAAAGTAAATTACATGGCAAATACGATTGAAAACATGCAATGACTTTGTTTACAAATACTTCCGGTATATACAACATTGATGAACGGAAATGAAATTTCCGGATTTTATTTACTTCCTATCTCTCGAACCCCCCGAAAGGAAGTAAATAAAATCCGGAAATTTCATTTCCGTTCATCAATGTTGTATATACTGGAAGTATTTGTAAACAAAGTCATTGCATGTTTTCAATATTATTTACTTCTTATCTCTCGAACCCCCCGACCCCGTGGGGATCCGGGTTAGAATAGGTCCTCAGTACCCCTTTGCTTGTCGTAAAAGGCGACTAAATGGGGCGGTCCTTCGGATGAGACCGTATAAACCGAGGCCCCGTGTCACAGCAGGTGTGGCACGATAAAGATCCCTCCCTGCTCAAAGGCCGTAAGTGCCGAGCATAGGCCTAAATTTGCAGCCCTTCACCGGCAATGGTGAGGTCTCCATATCAGTGAAATATTCTGGAGAGGGACGTTAAGCAGTATACAATCAATCAATCAATCGAACCCCACGATCTCTCGAACATTTCTTGCGGAACTTCAAGAGATCGAGAGTCACCTGTAATTTATAAAATAGGATTGGGCAAAAGGCTCAGTCTATTTTACAAACAAATGTTTTTTACTTACATTTTACATTTTACAACATGAAAGTCTCACAAATTTGGAGATAGACTGTTTTTAATTGATATAAGAAGAGCTAAAGATTCTGATTACTATATAATAGTTATATATGTACAAGCACAAATATAGCAAGTTTAGTATGAATTAGACCCTTACCTAAATACCATGGTTCATCACTACAAGTAGACAGGTCTGATATTAACTCACTGGAAAAGGCCTCAACAAAATCTGGTGAAGAATATTTACTGAAATTTTAACAAACATAAAAATATAGGCATTGCACATCTCCGTCAATGTTAATTAATCAAACAAATTATCTCAAATGCTTTTCATTCGAATTCTATTTAAGCAATATGTAAGGGATATTTTTAAACAATGTTTATTCTACTTTAAATAAACAATGTTTCCAAACCTCGCTGACCATTATGGCAGAAGAGGAATCTAAGCACACTGATCGACCCACCCCACCCCAAATGGTCAATAGGAATCAACTCCTCCTGAGCTTATGTCCCACAAAATCTCTGACAACAAGCATATTTATGATTTGATAAATCAGTACCTAACTATCTATGTGATTTAAAGAGGCTGGGGGGTGGCATCCATTTTCAGACTATTTCGATCTCCTTTAAAAGAAGAGCTCCATTTTAAGATATACAAAAATGATCAAATTTTAAAAACTAAAATGTATGAATTTTTTCTTTGCCAAATGATAGTTGATTAGCTTAATATACCGTATCTAAAAAAATATGCTAAATCTGGTGGTTAATTTGTTGTTAATTTGTTGAACCCCCCCCAGCCTCCTTAATCAAGAAATAAGGTATCATTTTTAAAACATCTATCAGGATATAAATACAGGTTGGTCACGGATTAAATTCCATAAACCCCGAAGGGCTTTATGATGAATTTGATCTCGTACCAACCCGTGTTTATAGCCCGATAGATGTTTTACAAATGATACCTTATTACTTATACAGTGTATTTACATTTGTGACTTATTCATACTTTATATTTGCCTGATTGTGACTTTTAACGTGTGAAATGCATTATTTTTCAAACCCACTGAACGCCCGTCGACCCTTTATGACTTCACAGAGAAATTAAGTCGAACGTTTATCCATACGCAAATCTATTACCTCTTGACCCCGTACCAGTATTTATACAGTTATAGATACGCATTGCTTTCAGTAGTGTTATATAAAGGAAAACATTTGCAAATGTAAATATTTATAAATAACATTCAATAATGATCTGCTTTTAATTTGTTTTGGGTTGCTCGTATTTTCTAATTTTCAGTTATCTTTTAACTATAATAACACTAATCCCAGACTGCTTGTTCTAATACAAACTTTACAGGACAGACTTTTACTTACAAGGATAAGTATGTATCTAAAGCCATTACTTCTTCTTTGTGAAGTACCCATACAACAAAAATAGGCAGCATCCTCTATAAACAAAGCATTAAAGTTAACAATCATTAATCTTACACCACTGTAACAAATAAAGGTTTATACGTCATAATGCTCACCTGAGTAACTTTCTCAATCAACTTTATAAAATATTGATATGTAGATGATTAAATTGTCCATCTAGTTACATGTACTTATCAAATCTCAGTATATTTAGTCTTGATATCAAGTTTACATAATGCAGTTTTCTATTTCTTGATTAAGTCAATAAATCTCTATGTACAGCTTTCTTTACTTCTCATGGTGCCATCCTTGCCCAGGGAGTCAAGATTTGAACAAATTTGCACCTACATATATGATACAGAGGTAAATGTACATACAGATGTACAAGAAAATGAAATAATGAAAGATTTGATTTTTTTTAATCAAAAGTTAACCTCAAAATACACTCACCTCATTACAAAACAGGTTCAGTAGTCTTGGTCTGTTGACAGTCTGTCTGTCTATCATTTCACGAACCATTCTGACCAGACAAGTCAGCTTCCCCTGTTATAAATATATTAACATCACAAAGACATAAAAGTATTAACTTTTTTAAATTCCAAATATTGCAAGGAAATAAACTCAACTGTATTGGAAATGCTACAACAGAATTAAGCTTGCTCTGTGTTTTAACATTGTTTATCTACCTTGCAAAAACAAAAAAAAACACATATGAAAACTTTCAATGACAAAAATGAGAACACCTACTTTGAGCTCTTCATTGAGACTCGAGTTTCTGGGCTTTTCAACCAAGCTCAGAATGGAGTTGACACAAGTCTCCAAAGTACTCAAGGCATTAGCTTCTGACTGGCTCGTGGAGGAGACACATGACTCCAACACCCCTAAAACAGAAAGGAGGAATTTTATTGATGAACACTTTCAGGCATCAAACATTATGAATAGTGTAAATACTTTTACCACAACACTCATTAAATTTCCCTCGTCCCTTACAAACTACAGCTTTTAATTGTTGCTTGCAGCAACTCTGAATCAAAGAAGTGGTTATGTTTTCCAAACCTTAATCTAATAATGCTAATTAGCACATTTACTAGGAAATTAAAAGCTTAATCTACTTAGAACCTTTACTTGGTTGTTAAAATGGCTGACAAAAGATAAAAGAACCAGAAGTCTCTGTCGAGACTGAAGCTCTACTGGTTTGAACTTATAGCAAAGGAAAAGAAAAGTACTTAAGCAGCTGGGATTTGAAATTTTACAACAGCAATAAATAGAATAATGATCGTTGATAAAGTCTCTTTATGTTCTTAGTGTAGTCTACTTGTGTGCCAAGTTATGCTGAAATCAGACCAAAACTGTAGGAGGAGTAGCATTTTGAAACAATTTTACAGTCATTTCTATTTTTAGTAACCATAGCAACACCGTTCATCAAAATTAAAATTAAAATTCGATACACAGAATTATGTATCTTAGTGTATTCTACTTGTGTGCCAAGTTATACTGAAATCAGACCAAAACTGTAGGAGGAGTAGCATTTTGAAACAATTTTACAGAAATTTCTATTTTTAGTAACCATGGCAACACCGTTCATCGAAATCAAAAACCGATACACAGAATTATGTATCTTAGTGTATTCTACTTGTGTGCCAAGTTATACTGAAATCAGACCAAAACTGTAGGAGGAGTAGCATTTTGAAAGAATTTCACAGAAATTTCTATTTTTAGTAACCACGGCAACACCGTTCATCGAAATCAAACCCGATACACAGAATTATGTATCTTAGTGTATTCTACTTGTGTGCCAAGTTATACTGAAATCAGACCAAAACTGTAGGAGGAGTAGCATTTTGAAAGAATTTCACAGAAATTTCTATTTTTAGTAACCATGGCAACACCGTTCATCGAAATCAAAAACCGATACACAGAATTATGTATCTTAGTGTATTCTACTTGTGTGCCAAGTTATACTGAAATCAGACCAAAACTGTAGGAGGAGTAGCATTTTGAAAGAATTTCACAGAAATTTCTATTTTTAGTAACCACGGCAACACCGTTCATCGAAATCAAAAACCGATACACAGAATTATGTATCTTAGTGTATTCTACTTGTGTGCCAAGTTATACTGAAATCAGACCAAAACTGTAGGAGGAGTAGCATTTTGAAAGAATTTCACAGAAATTTCTATTTTTAGTAACCACGGCAACACCGTTCATCGAAATCAAAAACCGATACACAGAATTATGTATCTTAGTGTAGTCTACTTGTGTGCCAAGTTATATTGAAATTAGACCAAAACTGTAGGAGGAGTAGCATTTTGAAAAATTGTTTACAGACAGACGGACAGCTAGACAGACGGACAGACGGACGGACGCCGGACGCATTACTATCGCATAAGCTCTTCTGGTCTCTGACCAGTAGAGCTAAAAAGTGAGCAAACTCACATACACCAGGCTCCCTGAAAAGTCCAAGTGCTGAAATTCCCGTAAAAAATAAAGGAATCAGAATTTCCTGGTAATATGTACATCTACACATTGTGTCCTAAATATGTGCAAAGTTTGCCCAAATTGTGTGCAGAAGTTTATATGAGGAGTTGTGCTGACAAACTGTTCATCTCTATATTCAAGATATAGCCAAAAATCTAAGTTGAAAAGTACAGAAATTCCCAGAAAAAATAAAGGAATAGGAATTTCCTTGTAATATGCACATCTACACATTCTGTCCTAAACATCTGCAAAGTTTGACCAAATTGTGTGCAGCGGTTTATGAGGAGTTGCGCTGACAAAAAAACAGGACTGAAGGACTGACACTCTGACTGACTTATGGATCAAAAACATTATACCTCACACAACTTGTTGTGTGGGGTATAAAAATAACCTATTTTCTTGATTGTACAAACATTTTCTAAATAGTTAGTGGGTTTTTTTTGAAGTTATAATAAGGTTAAGAGGCCCATGGGCCTTATAGGTCACCTGAGTATCATGTAACAACTTCCCAACAATTGAATTTGATTTGTGTTTTAAACCAGAGGCCATGAAATTCACAATTTGGAAAGAGGCACCATTGCTTATCATAACTATACACTTAGCATACTTACTTTGGTTACTTAATACCCAGAGGTAGATCAGAGTAACAAAGAGAAAATGCATTTCCACTTTTAATTTATCAGTTGTGCACCCCATCCCACAGGAGTCACTGACCCCAGAGCCACATCTTTCAAAATTTTGGAAATTTTATAAAATTTTATTTCATCATGTTGTTGATTGATATTAAAGTGCAGATTTCAAAGCATCAAATTACTTTCAGACTATGTAACACCCCCCCCCCCCCCAAGCTCGAAAATTAACCATTTTGGAAGAAGCAGCTTTCTTCGTCATAAATATGTACTAACTAAAGATAATTGGCATAATACTCAGAAGCAAAGGAAAAGATTTTCAAAGAATTCATGCATTTTCATTATATAAAAAGTTAAGAGCCTTGCCCTTACACAAGAAGCCCTGACCCAGGGGCCCTGAAATTCACAAATCTCAAAGAGGCTTTCTTCCTCCTCATAACTATGTTTATAGTTCATTTGTTTAATACCCAGGTGCAGAAAAGGAGATTTTTAAAGAATTTATGCATTTTCACTATATAATCAATAGAGCCCCACCCTAACACCAGGACCCCCAACCCAGGGGCCATGAAATTCACAATTTCGGAAGAGGCGGCCTTATTCAACATAGCTATTTACTTGGTAAGTTTATTTAATACTCAGGAGCATAGAAGAAGATTTTCAAAGAAATAATTCATTTTCAATATATAATCTTTATAGCCCCACCCTAGCACTAGAACCCCTGACCCTGGGGCCACGAAATTAAAAAATTTTGGAAGAGGCAGCCTTATTCAACATAACTATGTACTTGGTTAGTTTATTTAATCCTCACGAACAGAGAAGAAGAATTTCAAAGAATTTATGCAATTTCAATATATAATCTATATAGCCCCGCCCTGCCACTACAACCCCTGACCATGGGGCCATGAGATTCACAATTTTGGAACAGGCAGCCTTATTCAACATAACTATGCACTTGGTTAGCTTTAATGCCCATGAACATACAAGAATTTCAAAGAATTTATGCATTTTCACTGTGTAACTTATTTAGCCCCGCCCTAATACAAGAACCCCAGACCCTGGGGGCATAAGATTTATAATTTTGGTAGAAGACTCAATGCTGATTACAACCATACCAACAGTTTGACTGCTAAATGTCCAGGAGTAAAGAAGAAGATTTTTTAAAGATTGCACTAATTTTAGTGGTTTTGGCCCCATCCCCCAGGCCCTGGGGGGGGGGGGGGACCATGAAATTCATAATTTTTGTTTGTCTTCACCCATAGATGCTATATGCCAACAAGAGGCCCATGGGCCACATCGCTCACCTGAGCACTGAGCACATGGGCTAGTTAAAAAACCAAAATCAGCTTATTATTGAAAAGCTTTCTTGATGGATGAGGGGGTTTTGTTTTCTATTACTAACTTGAAAATGTCAATATATCAATAAACCATTCAAAAGTCATGTAAAATTTTGACATATTTGAAAAGAAGATTTTTAAAGATTTTTTCCTATAAATTACTCGATCTCCCATTGTGACCCCCCCCCCCCCCCCCCCCCCCCCCAACAATTTTTGAATAAATTTAAATCTACGCTACTTGCAGATGCTTACATGTCAATTTGACAAAACTTTTCTGTTCTTGAGAAGAATTTTTCCTTTATATTCCTATGTAAAAATTTGATCAGCCACTGTGGCCCCGCCCTACCCTGGGGGTCATGATTTGAACAAACTTGAAACTACACTACCTGAGGATGCTTCCACATTAGTTTCATCTTTCCTAACCAAATGGATCTGGAGAAGATTTTTAAAGATTTTCCCTATACATTGTATATTCCTATGTAAAACTTTGATCGGCTATTGTGGCCCCGCCCTACCCCCTGGGGTCATGATTTGAACAAACTTGAATCTACACTACCTGAGGATGATTCCGTATTAGTTTCATCTTTCCTAGCCCTATGGTTCTGGAGAAAAAGATTTTTAAAAGATTTTCCCTATATATTCCTATGTAAAACTTTGATCGGCCATTGTGGCCCCGCCCTACCCCCGGGGGTCATGATTTGAACAAACTTGAATCTACACTACCTGAGGATGATTCCACACGAGTTTCATCTTTCCTAGCCCAATGGTTCTGGAGAAGAAGTTTTTTAAAAGATTTTTCTCTATATATTCCTATGTAAAAATTTGATCGGCCATTGTGGCCCCGCCTTACCCTTGAGGGTCATGATTTGAACAAATTTGAATCTACACTACCTGGGAATGCTTCCACATGAGTTTCATCTTTCCTGGCCCAATGGTTCTGGAGAAGAAAATTTTTAAAGATTTTCCCTATATATTTCTATGTAAAACTTTGATCGGTCATTGTGGCCCCGCCCTACCCCCAGGGGTCATGATTTGAACAAATTTGAATCTACACTACCTGAGGATGCTTCCACATGAGTTTCATCTTTCCTGGCCCAATGGTTCTGGAGAAGAAGATTTTTAAAAGATACCATAATTTTTCATTAATTCATTATTATCTCCCCTTGGAAGAGGGCTGGCCCTTCATTTGAACAAACTTGAATCCCCTTCACCCAAGGATGCTTTGTGGCAAGTTTGGTTAAAACTGGCCCTGTGGTTCTTGAGAAGAAGTCGAAAATGTGAAAAGTTTACAGACAGACGGACGGACAGATGGACTACAGACAAAATGTGATCAGAAAAGCTCACTTGAGCTTTCAGCTCAGGTGAGCTAAAAATTGGTTGAAATTGGTTCAGTGGTTTCAGAGAAGAAGCTGAAAATGTTCAAATGTTAACATACGATGCATGACGAATGACGACGGACGAAAAACGGACAGCAATAAGTCACCTGAGTTTACTCAGTATAAACCATATGAACAAGTATGTCGATGACACAATGTATCCAATATAGATGGTTTTCCATTAAGGTGATTAAAGCAAGAGTTATTTCCCATGGCCGCCATATAGTATGGCCCTTCATTATTCAGGTCTGGACGATTTCCAAATAAGGAAGTCAAGAGCGATAACCGTGAATGCTATAAATACACAGAATAAACACGTTGCAAGTCTTTCTGACCAATCAGACAACAGCATTTAGACAAATAAATAAAACACGTGGTTTTTAAGTTTTTTGCTCAAAAGATGTTTTTAGTACAAATTTTTTGTAACCTTTAAGCGCATTTGGGAATAATTTAATATTTATGACAATTCTACCGTGAACAAACACGACTTGTAAGCTTAGAATACATTTTAAGTGGGATAAAAAAATCTGTCACTAGGAGGTAGCAATCCCAAAAGTTTAACTATCGTTAAAATTTTGATATAAATACAGTAAATTTTCAGTTTTTAGAGCCTGACATAAAAATCTTATTGAATATATATTTATTTAGTCTATATTATTTTTTGAGTGTTTTTTACAAAATAGGGCCAAAATAAAAAATACCTTTGTTTCCCCTAACGCGACCGATCCAATTAAATTGCTTCGACTGAAAAGATTTATTAATTAAGATGATTCAAAAATTTTTTTTATTGTCAACCAAGTTTTATAGAATATACAATTTCATCAAATTAAAGCAGTTTTTATCAGAACGGCCGACATTGTTCTACCGTGGTTTTCAAGCATTTGATGGAAACAAAATAGCGCCCAGATGTGATTACAGGGAAGAAGTTCCTCATAAAACAAGAGCATTGTCTCAATCTTATGCCTTTAGCTAACTAAAATTCTTTACTCTTGAAACAGTTTGGTAATAAAATTTACCATGACTAATTAAGAGTGTTTCGGAGGTGTCTTGGCGTCTCTATGTGAGTGAATAAATTTTCGAAAGGTACGGTAAACGAACAAACAAATCTGTCTGTTGAATTTCAGGTACGTAATACATGGCATCATGAGCAGATGAGGGGCCCACCTATTGAACACATCATTCAATTTCACTGCATTTTATTTAATTTAAGTTTTGATGTAATAAACAATTTTTCGATGTTCCTATATATACTATTTGCCATTATGGAATCATAGGAGTTGTAAAAATGTCTGCATATTCATCCTGATAAATATAATTCAGTTGTACTTTTTCATGCCTTTATTTACGGGTTAAACTTCGTTACTATGACATTGTTTTATATGACAATTTTATCATTTGTAGATTTGTTTTGGTTCATTTAAATATTGTTTAAATACTCTTTCCAAATAGTTTTGAAATCATAATTCAGCTTCCCGAGATATCCAGTGTATTTTTCTTTAATCAGGCCCTTGAAGATTGGTTGTTTCTTTGCTTTTAATCCCTTCGAGATTTGTTGGGACATTTGAAGATTTCCCCATTGCTCCAAATTTAGACGTACTACGCACTTTTTTGATATTAAGCATTGGGGATCTTTTTTTGAGCCAGCATCTTCTGCGACACTGGATATGTTTTTATGGTCCCTTTCGAAGGACCGTTTTCAACGTTCCTCATTGGTATTTGAACCTGCGACTTACAATTAGCCACTTACTTTTTAACTCCAAAACAAAATGCTCTAACACCAATGCAAATCTCATTGCCCTCAGAAAAGTACATTGACTGTCTATAAGCACTGGAGGGTGATTGAAAGTTTGAAAAAATATACTCCGATGTCCAGTCTTTGCGTATTTGAGAATCTTGTCTTATTTATTCGATTTATATAAATGTACTCTGGCGTGAGATATTTCACAAGTTCATCTAAATTACAGTTGTGAATTAATTAATCATGAATTTTGCTTTTAAACGGCATATGTATGATACTTAGCATTTTGTTCACAAATCACTTTCTTTTGTACTTTTCTTATTTAAAAATGTAATTTTCCACTAAATTTTAGCATGTATTTTCAAAGCTGCTGTCAGAAAATAAAATTGTTTACCTACCTACCGACCAAACTTGAGAATTTAGGGTCGGGTTAGGGGAAACAAAGATATTTTTAATTCCGGCCTAGTCCATGCAGTTTCTGATATGCGAGGTAAGACATTGAGATACAACTCATTCATGTATAATTACAGGATTCTCTTTTCTCCACATTATATGCCTTTCCTCATGCCTATTTAAAGTCTGCATAGCTTAGTATTCAGCGCTCATGAAACCTGTGATAATTTAAAACTATATGTTATCGTCCATACGATAAACACTCGTGTGAGTTGATCTATACACATGGAATTTAAGCATTATCGATGAAAATCGGACAGCTAAGCAAATTATATTTACCAACATATAATATATTCTGGTAAATGTTACAATTGAACTTGATAAGAACTTGCTGGTGCGATTTATACCTCCATACTAAACGATTAAATTCTATAATCATGCATTATTTTTTTTCTTTACCGAGATAAAAATGTCAAGGTTGTTCACGGTAAATATGTGGGGAATACCTTATTCTTTAAATGTTTTCATTTTACTTCTGCAGATTTTTTGCTAAAAAAATCTTTTTGAGGAAAAAAAACAAAAGCACGTGTTATCTTTTTGTTTTTTTTAAATATGTTTTGGGGTGTGTAAAAATGCTGTTGTCTGATTGGACAGAAAAATAATTACGTGTATTTGATGTACATTTATAGCAACTTTCAGTTATCGTTCTTGAGTTCGCCTTGACTTCCATATTTGGAAATCGTCCAGACCTGTTATTCAACCAAGATCAATTTGTTACACTGGTTACTGAGATAAAGATAACATAATTTTTCTTATGAATATACATTTTTTTAAAGCCTCTATTAATTCATAATTTTAAAATTGTAAATATTTTCCCCCAAATATTTCTGGCATGCATGTTTAAAATTGGTTGCTCAAAGAAGAAAATTCACTGCTTTGCCCTTCAAGATGGTGGCTAAGGGGAATAACTCTGAGGCAAAATATGTCATAGGAAAACCATCTATATAAAATAACTGTCCCACCTGTCTGATTATGCGGCAACAATACTCCCCTCCTCAACGAAAGTCACAACAAGGGAGATAATCTTGAAATTTGCGTATTCATTTGTGCCAAGGTTACAAGAAAATAAAATCTTGCCTTACCACATATGTATTTTGTTCCATGCATGGTACTTATCATGCTTATGTTTGCAAGAAGTTGCAGAAAAAGCAGTCTTTTGCTGAAGATCTGATTACAACATTTGATATGATGTAAAATGACAAACTTCCTGCTTTTTATGTACCATGAAGTTCTTTCAATGGGCTAAATAGGCAGGGTTTTAGAAAATATCAAGTTAAGATTCACAAACTTAACAATGAAGTGAAATCAGCTTGACAAACAAAATAAAATTTGACTCATGTTCAAGTATTTTGATGCACCTTTGCTGCCCTCTACTTATGGTTTCCAATTAGTCCACTTCTATGTTTACGTTTTAAATCTTATGTTGCAAGTCTTTGTCAAATGACATAATTCTTTATATTGGACTCTAACATATTCTTGTTTTCCCTCCAAAAGATTCCAACATATATTTGTTCAGATCTAAAGTTAAATAAAACACAGCCTTTCATCTTATTAGCTTCAATTTTTAGCTTTAATTGCAGGTATAGATGAAAAGAAGAGTAAAACACACTAAAATATCCATTGTGTGTATATAGGAATTTAAAAGCAGCTATGCCAATATGGTTGGCAAAAGTGAACACAGTACCTTTCACATTTAGGTCTGAGGTTGATAACAAGTCAGCAACCTGAAAGGAAATAAAAGAAACCTGAAAACTGACCAGTCAGCAAGGACCTAACATAGGATGAGCATATACAGTGGAGATAATGGGAGAATATTTAATTTTATACAGAAATTTAAAATTCAAGAAGAATTAAAACAATTTATGCACTATAAAATGTCAAAAGTGATGATATTTCATAGAAAAATGTATATAACAGTATGTGTATAGTCAAAATAATTTTTTAGAAAAAGGGTGATACCATATCCATAATGCATTTACATAAAGCAGTCATAAAAAGTTGTTTTTAATAAATCTGTTGATGAACCGGAACTGATTAAATCTGCTTTTGAACTAGAATTCCTTTAAAAAACATTTATACAACGTACTTCAACCAGAGTGAAGCGAGTATTTTATAAAATCTAACTTATCAGTAAATGCAAAACCTAAGCCTCAATTCCACACCAAAATCACTGGCAGAAAGAGATATTAAATAATCTAAATGTGACAGATACAGATTGTGCTTTGGTTCCTCTGCAGCAAGCAATATAATTAATTCCTTGGGATGGCATCTACACCTCTATTCCAGATCCTAAGTGGATGACATACAGAATCAAACTTATCAAAATATGTCTTACTGCCTACAGAAACAAAATGCCAAATCTGAATTTAAATTGGATAATAATTAAAAACTTTATTAGGAAGAAACTAAAAATTGTGGATAGACAGAAAGTCAAATAGACAAACTGACAGTGATGACTATACAGCTCAAATTCTTGTGACCCCTAATAAACCAGAGAATTCACTCATTTTGGTGTCCAATTTTAATTTTTTCATGTATATTTCAATTATTGTCTTCTTTCACTAAAGTTCTTCTCTCACCTCTGTGACGGCTGCACTATTATTGTAGTGATAGGTCACCAACTGCAGTACTGCATTCTTCAGTTCTTCTCTACTTCTCAGGGATAAGATTTCAGCATTCTGCTCAGGGTCTGATATAAACATACATAGATTATGTTAAAGGTACATCTATTTAATAAATGTTATTTATTACCATTTCAAATGTTCATATTATTTTTGATCAGATATCAGAATATGGGTATGGTAGGCATTGAATTCATTTTTTTTTTTGACAGGGTTTTTTTTTTAGTAAAAATTTTCAGAAGCTTAAAGATGGGGGTGAGGGTGGTGAGTACACTATACATTTTTCAGGTGCCCAAAGCTTGGTTCTGTGAGTATGAATTCTCCTGAAACATTACTGGTTTTCTCCTGAAGAAATTACCCTCTCACATTAACATCTGTTCAAAGGACCATTGGAAATAAGCTTTTGAGCTGTCATGGGCTATCCTTGGAAACATTATATATAAAATTGTTTACATGTACACATATATATGTATATATTGATTAATTATTATTTTATTTTTTACTTCAATCTAGTACTGTAACTAAATAACCATGTAATTTACTCTTCCTGTCAAATTATAATGATTGCATAACACTTGATGGATGTAACACTGCACCTTTTCTATCTAGTAATCAGGGTTCAAAATTTACTCTATACATGTGTGTTGCAAAATCGGACCAAATTTACAATCGATTATCAAATTGAATCGGAAGCACACAATCGATTATTTTACTTTAAACAAAGTTATAAACCATGAAATAAAAATATTTCAATACAAATCTGTCAAACCAACACACCAAAAAATCAAGGTTCAGTCACAAAGGATTTATTTGTTTAATTATTTTTGGCTAATATTCAATCTCACATATGTTGATCCTGTCAAATTATAAAGTTTTTAGTTTTTTAAAACATTTATTTTCACTTTCCATAAATGCCTAAATAAATAAGGGTCAAACATCCCCAGTACTGAATTAACCAGGTACGGTATTTACAGTGGACACCCAACATGGCTGTCTTGTGGTGGAAAACGAATTAAGTTTAAAAAGTTGTTGGGGTATTGCTAGATGATATATATAATAATGATCATTATACTTCATATTTAAGGTGAATGGTTTTTAGGATGAAATATTTGATATCTCAAAGTTACCATTAACATTCTTGGTAAATATTGTATCAGTTGATTGATCAAGCACATGCAGATTTGGCATGGTAAAAAATCCATCCGACTAGTCACTACAAATTGAATGGGTCCCATTTCAAGAAATAAAGGAACGTCTTTCGATAAAGTTCAAAGATTAAACCTTTTTGTTTAAAAATATATTTTGAAAAAAAATTACCCGGTAGCCACTACCGATTTTAAAATGTTCTATCGATTGTCGCCAACATTCTGCCCTCAGTGATGATTTTTCGATAGTCTATCGTAACAACACTACTTTATACAACTCAAAAAATGAGAGTAACAATATCCAAATTGCGAGTTAAAATATTTGCACCATGCAAAAATTTGCGAGTTGATTTTTTCCTTGTAATTTTTTCACCCAGGAAAGAAACATCCGTTTCAAGGTTCCAGGTTTTAGTCTTTCTCTCTTTAGTTATTGTTTATATCTGCCATTTATAAATGAACGAGCATGTGCCATTTATGATGATCATGTTGAAAATTACAAAGTATTTTAAAAGATGGATAATGGGTTTTTATTTTTGAAAAGCTTTCATTTTAAAAGTGCAAACTGTCTTTTGAAATTACTCAGTTCATTTTTAAGGTACTCGCAATAATTGGGTGCATTGATTTACCCAAATGGACCCAAATGCAAACAAATGGACCCAAATGGAAATTCAAATGGACCCAAATGGAAATCAAATGGACTTAAATGGAATATAAAATATATATTATCGTATTTTCAAGTTAACTATTAACAAGAGGCCCAACCGCCTTACAGGTCACCTGAGTATCGCGTAACAACTTTCAAACAATTAAAATTGGTTCGTGTTTTACCCCAGAGGCCATGAAATTCACAATTCACAATTCTGAAAGAGGCACCATAGCTTATCATAATTATAAACTTAGCATGCTTACTCTATTTACTTAATACCCAGAGGTAGATCAGAGTAACAAAGAGAAAATGCACTTCCACTTTATAACCAGTTGTGCACCTCATCCCAAAGGAACCACTGACCCTGGGGCCACATATTTCAAAATTTTGCAAATTTATCATAAAATGGTTGATTAGTACTAAAGAGCAGATTTCAAAGCATCAAATTATTTTCAGACTATGTAAACCCCCCCCCCCCCCCGACCCAGGGGGCATAAAAAATAACCATTTTGCTAGATGCACTTTCTTCATCATAAGTATATATATACTTGGATCACTGGCATAAATCCAAGGAGCAAAGTAAAAGATTTTCAAAGAATTAATGCATTTTCACTATATGACCAAAGGAACCCCGCCCTAACACCAGAACCCCTGACCCTTGGGCCATAAAATTTAAAATTTTGGAAGAGGCACTCTTGCTCAACATAACTATGTGCTTAGTTAGCTTACTTAATACCCAAGAGCAGAGAAGAAGATTTTCAAAGAAATAATGCATTTTCACTATATAATCTATATATATAGCCCCGCCCTAGCACAAGAACCCCTGACCCTGGGGCCATGAATTTCACAATTTTGGTAGAGGATTCAATGCTTATTACATTCATGCCAACAGTTTGCCTGCTTGATGTCCAGGAGTAAAGAAGAAGATTTTTAAAGATTGCAATAATTTTGGTGGTTTTGGACCCACCCCTCAGGCCCAAGGGGGGCGGGGACCATAAAATTCATAATGTTAGTTCCCCTTCACCCATAGATGCTGTATACCAAATTTGGTTGATATTGGTTCAATGGTTTCAGAGAAGAAGCTGAAAATGTTCAAATGTTAACACAATACGGACAACGCACGACGACAGACGAAAACGGATAGCAATAGGTCACCTGAGTTACTCAGCTGACCTAAAAATGTTGAAAATAATGAAGTTAACAAAAAGAGAATATTTTAATATTATTATTTTCTTAAATTGTACTTAAAAATATGATTTTTTTTCTATTTGTAATAACTTTTGTACATAATTGAATATAAAACTGAAGTATATAGTTGTCATGGCCGTAGGAACGGACTTGTTGCACAGAAAAAATATTTGAGGACATAATCGGGCAAAATGTCACACATTATGTTAAAGAATCCTTACTTATATGGTCTTCAAAATTTCATATCAAAATGTTGTAAATTGGTATCAATTCTGAGTGATTTTTCAGGACATATCATTAAGTGGGGGAGGCATGCCACACATCCCAATAATAATTAATTTATGTCTCAAAATACAATATTAGAAATTAATAATTAATTTAAAACTCCATTTAAACTGTAAGTTTATTTATTTTCATCTTTTTTAATGAGTTATAACATACGGTAATACATAACTGATATTCAATTTGATTTCCACTTGGGTCCATTTGTTTTCATTTGGGTTCCATTTGTTTCCATATGGGTCCATTTGTTTCCATTTGGGTTCCATTTGGGTCCATTTGAGTAAATCGACGTGCTGCAATTATTTGCAAGTTATACTATGGGTGCGTTCAGAGTACTACCGTTGGCTGACAAAAGTTACCACTGGTAGAATTTTTCACCATTATAAGCCAACGGTACCAAAGTTTGCCGAAAAATTTTTACCATAGGTAGATTTTTCTGCAGACGAACTAGAGCTCTGTTAGCGATGGTAACTTTTTTAATGACGTCAAACAAAATGGCGGGTACTGATCGAGTCGGTCCTACTAAACAGAGAGCCCGAGAAATCTCTAGGTTTACCGGGTGGTATTTGGTAAATTGAAATAAATTTAATGCGTAATTGAGCTCATTTTTACTCTATAAATCGTTTTCTATGTATTAAATTAATAACAAGATTATTCTATGAAAGTTTTCCCTCGGGAAAAAAGTTGAAAAAGTAACAAATCATTGTAATATTTTTACCATACCTATATACATAAACTCTGTGTACGAGGGTTGTCCCATAAAATCGTGGACAAAGCGTTTTTCTCGAAAAGTAATGGGCGCACTAAGCTGAAATTTTCAGTAAATGTTTATTCATCATATTTAAGTGAATCATAATGTTTTTGATAATATATATTCAAAAACAAAGATTTTATTCTGCTTGAATGTGCACAAGGTATGGTCCTACGGCGCACGGTAAAAATAGCATGTTTATATTAGAGAAGACATAAGAATTAATTCGTAATAAAAGTTTTCAATACATAAGATTAGGATGAAAATTATCCTAATTCCATTCCTTAATCAATTCTGTCGCATTTTTAAAAATTTCAATGCATTTGGGTAATTTTTGGCAGTTTCCCGAGCAATTGAAATGGGAAAGTAATAAACACAATTCACGAAAAATGGCGACTTTTTATGACGTTACGGCGCACCGGAGAGCAGTTCAGATAGATTAGGATGTTGTAATGATGCCTTAAGAGACTTTAAAGGAATACGGAAGAAAGAAAATATGAAAAATATCACCAGATCTTTAGTATATAAATGAAATGAAAGTTTTCTTAGTGAAGTCTTCGTGAAAGAGAGAGAGAGAGTACAAAGACATATGGACAGACTGTCATTTGTAATAGCAAAGGACGCTGTCACTGTCGACCGTCGATGTGAGATTCTCTTTTAGTTGAATGATGGTGAGAATACTGTCTGTAACTTGCTAATAAATATTCAGAAGATCGCATGAGTGTGCCACATTGGTTTCTTAACTGGTTATAGATACTCACATATGTAAATCAATAAAATTTCTAAATTTAAGTTGGGCTTATCCAACTTTAAGTTTAGCAAAGATGAAATGTGACGCTGTTTTAGACACTTTGACGTTATCATCCGTGCGCCGTAGGGCGATACAGCACATAACATAAAATATCACGATTTGTTTACCTATGCATATATCTATTTGAAATTTGCTATGTATATTCATAATTTATCTGCTAAAAAGTGGTGAAAATTTCAGAACGCAGTGATGATTATTTTTCAAACTAGACAACTTGTCCACGATTTTACGGGACAACCCTCGTATATAGGTGTGAAACGTCTTTTTTTAATGTGGTTTTTCTTGACTGAAAATTTCAGAATCTTTTTTTTTATAACGTTTAAGTGTATTTAATGTAGAATCAAAATTTTATTTATTTAATTATTTTACATTTGACACTTCGGAAGACAAAAATTCTGTTGTGGAAAAGTACTTTACTGTACTAAAAAAGTATTTCTGAAAGCATTCTCTTGCTGCAAAATGATGCACGAAGCAAGAGTAATAATCTTCATTTGACATTTTCCTCTAAGAAATCTGTCAATGTTAAGAATGATATACTCCAATGTCACAAATGGTACACCAATGGTGCCATTGTTAACATTGGTGAGTTTCCTACCAACTCTTCCCAAAATTCGTTCAGAGTACACATGGGTCCAATGGTACCAACGGTACAAATAGTTACCATTGGCAGAGAGGTGATGGTACCACTGGCAATACTCTGAACGCACCCATAATTCTGGGGAGTTTCTATCCCTGTTAATCCTCCCGATGAAGCGACCCAGGCATCTCTGTATTGATTGTGTTTGTGGGTTTTTTTGTTTGTTTGTTGTTGTTGTTTTTTTTTTGGCGTGCTTTTACTGGACCGAGACGGCGGAAGCATCAAGTTGTGGGCTCGGCCTCGTTCACAGGCTTGCTGTGAAACAAGCGCCTAGCTGTGCTCTCGTTTCACTGATGTGATTACAACTCATCAACTGCAATTGGTCCTTCTCTGAAAAGCTAAACAAATTATTGAACATTTCTGCTTCACATATCTAAACAGTACTTACATGATCCCTGTACCTCCTGGATTAGATGTGAATTGGACATGTCACAGTCAGGTAATTCAGTCATTCACTTTGATCGAATGTTGTTTACCCGCCAAATCTGCCATCTGTCTATTTATTTTCAATTTCGATCCCGATCAAAAAACGGCAACAAATTCATGGAAACTGTTTACGCTCATATACTACCAATATATTTTTGAAAGAAAACATAATTTTTTCCTCAATAGGGGAGATATATTTTTTTATGAATCTTTGCTCATATTTTTCTATTTATTTGCATTCGGTTGCTCATGATCATATATTTTAAACAAACGGAATCGATCGTTCCCTGACACAGATTAATTTATAAAACACTTCCCTACCAAACCCCACGGAATTCTACTGGGTCTCAATGCTTCTTTAAAAAATAGAAATTAAAGATATGTTGTTGGTACGTGAAAAATTTTCAATCTTAAACATTTTCTAAGCTATGTCGGAGTGACTTTTTTTTTTATTTTAAAAACATAAAATGTAATCTTATAAAAGTAAATTTTAGTCTGCAGCAATTTTTATTATATTACTTGTAAAAAACAATTAAAATGGTTTACTAATCCCAATATTCCCGTGCATACATACAACGACTTCAAATGCACGTGAAGTGTCGCTGGTTTGAAGCAAAACACGTTGTTTTATTACCGCGCACAGCACTATTGCTCATAGCTAAGCGATCAGGAGCAAGTTTTGTAAATTCTCTCGATGCGGAAAAACACCCTCATAAAATTAGGCAAAGTGCATTACCTGCGGTGAAAGTTTCACTTTTAGAAGATGTCAAAATCATATTTACTCGTTGTTTTGGAGTATTTAATATTTTCACTACATTTTAAAGGTAAGTATTTAGTAAGAAAAAATATATTTATTCGATCATTATTAAAACTCGGATTACGTAAGTTTGAAGCTGGAATTCCTTTTGCATGGCTTGCTCTGGCACGCAGATGTTTCACTTCGAACTTATAGATAAATTAAAATCTATAGATATTAAACAAAACAAGGAATGTCGACAAAAACAAGAGAAAAGCACACAACTTGACAGTATCTCCTTGTAGAATCAAACCAAAGATAGTTTTAGGTAGTAAATAAATCACTCATACAAATAAGCTAAGTAGTACCGAAAAAAAAGTCTGAAAGAAGCATATTGAATTTTTGATAAGTTATTCTATAAATAATAAATTACATTCTCTAATATAATACGTTTTAAAAATTCAATTATATAAATGTGTTTTCATGACGCATCATTATTTTATTCTTATGCATTTTTTCATATTAGTTGCGATTAACATGGCCATCTTGACTGTGCATATCACAAAAAGGTGGTAGCAATATTCTGAAATAATATGTGCACTGAGAAATGGCGACATTCAGCATTTTTCTTATCATCCAACATCTGAAAAAATGTTACGCCATCCAAGACAAACAACTGTAATAAATGGGTCGGTAATACAGCTAGTTCCCATAATGCCGCCGCCTCACGCAGCGAGTTACCGAGTCCCTCCCAATCTGAATCAAAGACTCACGGTTAACTCTTGGAAAAAAGACAACCTAGCTCAGAGAGAGAGAGAGAGAGAGAGAGAGAGAGAGAGAGAGATTTCATCATAACCCTTGCAGAATGTTTTGATAGCTTATATTCACCAGAAGGTGTGTGCGATATATTTTGCATAAACAACATCGGACGTAATAAACTGTCAATAGAGTCTTACAGATACTTCCTTCTGATATATAATTCGTTGATTCAAGTGGAAGGACATCCATTTTGGTACTATAATAAGAACGTTCTTTTTGAGAAAATATACAAAATAAAACAAATTTGTTAAGTTCATTTTTTTTTATTCATTATAGAAAAAATTGTACCATTTTTATTTTGAAAAGATATTTAATTCACTTTTTAAAAATACACATTTAATTAAAAATATTTATCTGGACCTCGAGTCTTCTGACAAATGATAGCATATCAAATAATTAGCACCATTGTCTTCCATCTCTTTGCATCTCAAAAATCTGCAACATATCAGCAATTATAATATAAACTGTACAACTGCAAAGAATTTATACTTTTAAGCTGATATTTAAATCTGTCCACACAGCAACGCTCTGACCCCCATTTTTGGTTATGAATTTTTATCAAGATATGGGTGTAGATTCTAAAAAATATACTTGACAAAAAAAATTCTCAATACTTTTGATAACAGCCAATTGACCTCCTTAACTATATTAAGAGCTTTTCTATATTGTATCCCCTGGGAAAGAGATTCTGAGTGAAAAATATGAAATCTTTATTTTAAGAATCCAGGGCCTGTTACATTTTTTTGTTCATTAATGTAGCAGATTGTACAACAAGACCGCCCGCTGTAGAAGATAAAGCTATAATTACTTAAATACACATCATCCTCTTACTCTCTCGAGGCTGAGATGAAAAATGGTGGGAGGGGCATTTCTTTATAAATTGGCAAGATTTCCTCTTCCGTTTGTTTGATGCGGTGTTAATTGCATTTATTTTTTATAACTGTTTGTTAAATATATGATCCCCTGCATGATATGAAGGATGTAATTATAAGAAATGAGATTCATATTTATATATTTTCGAGACATTCCTGTTTCATTTTCCTAATTTGCTTTTTTATAAAAGTTTAAAATTACATGTACAGTGGTCCATTTCCCGAAACAACTTCCACGTGGACAGGAGTCTTTTAAGATATTCACTTGGCTCAATTGTATTTTTTTTTCATTTATTGTTTCTTATGCGGTCGAAAAAATCCCGTGAGCAAGAGTGTATATGAGGAAGGAATTGCAAATACCTGTGCATATATCACAACTGATTTGTTACACAGCAAAGAATGTTATATTTCATAAAAATCTCCGAACTCGAGATTGAGCCCTCATGGTTTTACTTCGTGATGCTAGGGCTGTTAATTGCCTTTTTTATACTGTTTGTATCAATATATGAGCCACGATGATATGTATCACGATATGTTTAATTGCTTATAAAATCTTTTTTTATATAAATAAACAAATTATTTCTTTGCAAATTTACTTTTTCAAAATAGTTGTAAAATTATATGTTGTAAAACAAAGTTATTTTACTCAAGTAGTGTTAATTATTTATTTCATATCTATATTTATATTTAGCTTATTTTTTTTTATATATTAAACCCAAAATGTGAAATAAACAAAGAAAAATAGAAGTAAGATTTTTGTGCATATATCACAACCGATTTGTTACACAGCAAAGAATGTTATATTTCATAAAAGTCTCCGAACTCGAGATTGAGGTCTATTGGTTTTACTTCGTGTTCTAACCTAGCTGTTCTCTTCAAACTCTTCAAAAAGTGATTAATATTTGTTTTTTGTTCACCGAGGGTAAATTACACATGTCTACATTCTCTCATTGGCAGAGGTAACAAAATTATTGATTACGGTATCAGAAAACAGTAAAAAACAAACAAGTGAAGAGAATCCGTCTTCATCTGGACTTAATTACTCCGTCAATCAATGTTGTTCAGCTTCTGTTAAAGCCATCTTGGAAAGTGGTAGGTATATCTAGCAGTGCATTAACCTCAGTGGTAGATGTAGCCAGACACGTCCAATCCTCAGACAAAAAAGGGATAATCACTCCAAGTCTGTTTGTCTATCTATAATGTGTAAAAACACTCTTCACAGATGAAAATTTATCCAATAAAAGGATTGACTTTCACAATGACAGGGAACCAGAACAAAGTTTTGGTTAATCCAGTTTTGACTCTTTTTTATTATATTCAATTCAAATTTTACGAATCATTCGAAGGATAAAAGTAATTAAGATTCATGTGATTAATTTTCAAAACAAAGAATAAATTATATAAATTCTGTGATGATGCTTTCAAGTTGACCTGTATATAATTACCTATAAGTTATTTTTCAATAATTTACCTCTTTTGAGAAATTGTTCATACCTAGAGCATGCGCTTGCATATCGAATCAACTGAAATATATAAACTCCGTTTGCAGGTGATGAAGGTATTTTGCTGCATAAATAAGGAAAGTTGACGATAGAAAAGTTAAATTCATCACGTTTATCATACAGTCTTTTTCAAGTAAAATATCCAAGTATGAAACAGATGTGTCAGACTCTGTGGGTTCTTTTATCTCAGGCTCACTAGGATATATCGTATCGACATAAGAATGAACATTACCATTGTTAATTGACAATACATCGTCGATATATCTAAATGTCGAACTGAAGGCCACAGCAAGTGTTTTCTTCTTTTTACGCATCAGATTTTGCACAAATTCTGCTTCATATAAATACAAAAATAGGTCTACTAATAATGGGGCGCAATTGTACCCATGGGAATACCAATAGATTGTTGGAAGACCTGGTCTCCAAAAACAACATAGATATTGTCAATCAGAAACTCAAGCGTCTTTTTGATGTCAACTTCAGAGTACTTGTGTGTACAATCAGAATGCTTTTTAACAAAATAATTTTGCAAATGACCAATGACGAGGTAAGTAAATTAACGAGTTCCATTTTTATTGAAATGGCAGCTGTCGATGATATAAAAAAAGCCTGGACTTTAATTTATCATGGGAAATGGTTGTGTATAAAGTTGAAATGTCGTAAGTTTTTAAGCTGTGGATTTTGGTAAAATCTTGTGATTTCAATATGTCCAAAAGTTCCTTGTAATTTTTAAGTATCCACATCTGATTTACACCACTTCTTGAATATATTGTTGCACAGTACCCTTGAACCTTCATTTCTGTTAATATCTTAGTGAGGAGTAAAGAAAGAGACTTGGTTGAACATTTACTGGAATCCACTATGTATCTTTGTAAGGATTCTTATAAAGTTTTGGTTCTTCGGGATATTAAAAATATCAAAACTGACAAATGATTTTGAAGATTTCCTCTTTAGAAAGGGAACTATGAGTATAAGTTGGATTACCACTTGTAGAATTAAATCCAAGTTCTTTTAAATTAAATACAATTTGTATAATGAACCTTACAAACGAAGACACGTAGCTATTTGCTTTGTCAGCAGGGACCAGTACTTACTGATGCGTTCAAACAATGCGTTCGCTTGAAAAACGTATTAAAAAGAAAATGACAGGAATTGATTTTTTTTTTATTTTTGTAATACAAGTAAGTCATCCACAAGCTTAATTTTTCTGTTCCCTTACGCTTAATGTTACATGCCCTTGGAAGATATCTAATCACAAAAATGCCATCACAAACACTATTCTGTCAATATTCTTTTATCTCATGCTTTTCGCAATTATTTTCTCTCTATATAAATTACCAAACTCTCATTTCAGAATACCTGTGCCAGTATAAGGTCGCCAGTTCTTGTAATGGTAATAATTTACAAATCACCTGTTTGGACAACGAAAAGATAGCAATACAAAGAGTATTTTTTGGAGCGAGACCCAGAGATTCTAAATTGGATTGTAAAGCTGAGGGAGAAACTGATCCAAACTGTTGCCGTAGAGGTTATGGGGACTGTCTTTCTTACAACTCCAACACTGCAGCGATAGTGACGCGACTATGTACTGGTCGTCCGACCTGCTTATATCTAACAAGATCAGTCAAATTAGACAGATGTCCGGATCCAACACTGGACACCTCAGACTATATGACGGTGTTCTATAACTGCATTCCAGGTACGTGTGTTAGAGTTTTCCTGAAAGTAGCATTGAATGCAGGCATTAGCTATTGGAGAAACCTGTCCCTCAAAACACACAAATTAGTTGGAAGCATTACGTAAATGTTGAATGCGTTTTTTCCATCAGAGGGCTTGTCTTAAGTTTCTTTATTAACCATACCCAAAGAGCAATTAAGAAACCAGAAAGATTGTCAACAATTAGAAATCCGAGAATATAGTGATGCGCTTATTGAGAGACATTGAACCATAAATCGTTTTAAAGAAACACCATGTAAACTGTTAAGAAAAGTGTTGAGTCTATCCTTTGATTTCACAGCTTTGAACAAAGCAGAAGGTTTAAAAGGAAAATGTGAAGATAATGAACTGTAATCGATCTTATAATCTGAACACGGATCTCTGGAAACTCCAAGAGTCCTCCGTTTTGATCAGGTCAATGTTGTACACTGTACTCAAAAATGTATTAAAACAATGTCCTAGCAGTTAATTATGTAAAATTATGTAAATGAAATAAATCGATGTATAGGTTGTATTACAAATAAGTTTTAAAATTATAACGTATATTTATGTCCCCAACTTATTCGATACAAAGAACGAGTACGATAAATACCGGTATTTAACAGGTGACTGATAAGATTGATATTAAGGGACTTCGGAAACTTCGTTTAAAATATTTCAAAAAAACATTTCGATATTCTATGGTTGTGAAAATGACCATTTAAATATAACCTATCGTTGGTTTCATACATATGTCAGGCTATTGTTTTTATACTAAATTGCTGCGGATTACTAGTACTATGTGTATCTGATCAATACATACGGCACATGGATGTTTTCTTCTGTGAGAGCCTGATCCCTTATCTGGACTCTTCAGGGTACGTGTTCTATGTCCTGTTCATGATTTTGTATTTAAAAAAGAATTATATTTATCTCCAATGTCGAGATGTCCCTTTTTCACCTCAATCGCCCGGAATAGTTCGTCTATATTAAGGTCTTGACACACTGTATAGAGACTAGCTCAGTAGGACTTTGGAGGGTTAACTGGCAGTCTACCCATATAAGTGACTTCAGAATTAAGCAGATTAAATCTATATATTTTGTAACTTTGCCTAAGGAAGAGTAATGATTGAATAAAGTGTCAAATCTTTACTGTGCTTTAGGGATTTGGACTCTAGAGACAATACATATTATATACATAAATACACCTAAGGCTATGAAGAATTCAAGACCATGACACAACGCCCATAAGCATGTATTCAGATGTGAAGAACATCGGGTCATTTCTTTGAACATTCAAGTAAACAATATATATTTTTAATTATGACATTATTTTCATCATATCATCCCCAACCACCGTCTCTGAAAAGAACCCATAGAATCATTGATTTCCTTTGACATTTTGTCAGAATGGATTAAAGGCATCAGATCCATGTTAAACTCGCATATTAAAAGACTGAGGGACAATATGAAAACCATCTATCCTTCTGTATTACATACATAAATAAATATAAATATATATATACATGTATATATATATATATATATATATATATATATATATATATATATATATATATATATATATATATATATATATATATATATATATATATATATATATATATATATATATATATATATATATATATATATATATATATATATATATATATATATATATATATATATATATATATATATATATATATATATATATATATATATATATATATATATATATATATATATATATATATATATATATATATATATATATATATATATATATATATATATATATATATATATATATATATATATATATATATATATATATATATATATATATATATATTATGTATATATATTGGATTCCGAAACTTCATAAGAATCCCAACCAAGCTTCTTTCTTTACTCCTCACTTAGATTTTAACAGTAGTGAAGGAGAAACCTCAAAGTACTGTGCAACAATATATTCAAGAAGTGGTGTAAATCAGATGTGGATACTTAAAATATCCAAGGAACTTTTGGACAATTTGAAATCACAAGATTTTACCAAAATCAGCAGCTTAAAAACTTACGACTTTTCAACTTTATACACAACAATTCCCCACGACAAATTAAAGTCCAGTCTTTTCGATATCAGTGACAGCTGCTTTTTCAATAAAAATGGAACTCGGAAATTTACTTACCTTGTCATTGGTCATTTGTAAAATTATTTTGTTAAAAAGCATTCTGATTGTACACACAAGTACTTTGACGTCGAGATAAAAAAGATGCTTGAGTTTCTGATTAACAATACCAGGGGTGATCAAAAAGTTTGCGAACTATTTCTATACCTACAAAACCACAATTCAGATTAGAAGTAAAATTAGTACACACATAGCCATACACAAGTTCTATAAATAGCATATGCTGAATAAAGCTTTACTCCTTGTTTGTGACGTCACAATGTGAAAATGACGTCACTATGTAGGTCACTTGTGACGAAAAATAGTTTTCTCAGTCGTACTCGTTCAACAAACGACTGTAAAATTTATGGTATATCTTAGAAATCCCTTTGAAGTAGCGTATAATAATTTGCACATAGTTTATTAAGACAAATAACTTCTCATAAATTCCATCAATGATTGGAATCATCATTTTAGTGAAGGAAGGCAGATTGTTAAAAATGATACTTGTTATTTTTCCCAGTGAAAGCAAGTTAGAAAAGAGATGTGTTTTTAATTAAGCAATTTGCTATCAAAGACCTCTAATTTACACTTTGAAAAATAGTTAAATATTTCAACAATAGTATAATTATTAAATTCCTAAGATATCATTTCCTTTAGATTTTAAACATATTAGATATGATAAAAAGGAGGCACCCATTCTCTATCCACCTTAGATAAACGTCTCTCCCGAGGCAGAAGATTTGAGTTTTGATGGTCTCCATGCTTATTTTTGGAAAGGATATCCTTATTCACCCATTCTGTTGCCGAGAATTGACCATTTCCGACAAATGAACTGTTTTTGTTATAAAAATTAAACTTACTTGGGAAGAAATATAAAAGTCAGAAAAATCTTTCAGCTTTTGTGACAGAACGCTACGGAGGGGGTCACATAATCGCCTATATCACGTGATTCGCGCATGAGCAGAATGGTGGCAGATGTGCTATAAAATCAGAGAGGACCAATTTAAAATATATCAACACTGAAACCAAATATTGTGTCTTTTATGGAAGTTATTCAATTAGTTCGCGAACTTTTTGATCACCCCTCGTATCTATGTTTTTATTTCTGGAGACCAGGTCTTCCAACAATCTGTTGGAATTCCCATGGGTACCAAAGGCTCCCCGTTATTAGCAAACCTATTTTTGAATTCATATGAAGCAGAATTTGTGCAAAATCTTATGCGTGAAAGGAAGAAAACACTTGCTCTGGACTTCAACTCGACATTTAGATATATCGACGATGTGCTGTCAATTATCAATGGTAATTTCCATTCTTATGTCGATGCGATATACATGTATCCTGGTGAGCTTGAGATAAAAGATACCACAGAGTCTGACACATCTGTTTCATATTTAGATATTTTACTTGAAAAAGACGTTAATGTTAATCTAACAACTAAGCTCTATGGTAAACGTGATGACTTTAACTTTTCTATCGTCAACTTCCCTTACTTATGCAGCAATATACCTTCATCACCTGCATACGGAGTTTACATATCTCAGTTGATTAGATAAGCAAGAGCATGCTCGCTCTACGTACGGGCAATTTCTAAAACGGGGTAAATTATTGACAAACAAGTTGATGAAGACTCGTATAAAGTCATCATTTCGTATGTTCTATGTTCGATACAATGACCTTGGCAATAAGTACAATTTATCATTGAGTCAAATGCTGATTGACATTTTTCATATAATTGTAAGTCCATTATCTATACACTGAATTGACGACGGATTTTTCCATTATTTCCCGATCATGACAAGGAGCACACGGCAGGTGTGACCAGTCGGCAGGGGATGCTCACTCCTACATGGCACGTGATCCCACCTCAGATGTTTTGGAGGTCCGTGTTTGCTCTGCTCCTATTTTGTATTGTCTTATGGACTTTTGATCTGGAATACTGTTCGTTATCTCCTTATGTTTTCACTACATTTAAGGTTTTGTAAACTTTCTCATGTTTATAGTGAAACTTAATGATTTCTTAAAGCTATTTACATGCATTTCTTTGTAATCTAGTGTAAATTTGATGTAAAACATGTACACTTAACCAATTCATCATTTTTTGTTCTTTGAAAAACACATTTTTTTTTCGGAAACCAAGAGTGTGTTATCCCTTCAACTAGAGCGGCAGAAGATACTCGATCTGCAGTCTTTCAAACAATGATATCATTTTTTCTGCACCACTTAATGAATCACTAAGTGGCGTTGCATATTGCTTTCAGTTACTACAACAACTCTGTAATAATTACCAGGCAGGACCGGGTAAAAAGTGTATGAAGCAGAAGCCTGAACACGCATATTAACAGAAATCTGTGGTTAAGATTAGAACGTCCTATCTTGTCAACAGATCAGTTTTACCATCATCCACGATTCTGAAAAAGATAAATAATTATTTAGATTATTAGATCTTGTTGAATTCCAATATGATGATCTTAAAAATTTTAATTTTTTATTCCAACATATTATATATATTATACAAACCTCAAAGTTCTCGATATCGACGCTCTATGAATATATAACAATATGTTTATACAGTGTATGCTTAAGAAACCAAAGAAATCCAAAATCAAAATGTTCAGGTAATAGTTTACTCAGAGCCACAGTGTTTATAAATGCTACCTTACTTTTGTAGATTCTTCAACAGTAAATATTTGCTCAGATGACAAAATACAAGCCAAACCTCCTTTATACCTCTCAAACAAAGAGTACCCTCTTCCACGAACAGGGATCAGCAATTGTACTTGTATGATTGTGAAGCACCCGAGTCAAGCAAGGCTCTCCCTGAGAGCAATAGAAATATCCTTTATTGACCCTCAGTGTTCAGTTTCGTTGACAGTAAAACTTGGAGAAGGTCCAGAGAACAAATTTCCATGTAGTTATAAAATGGTTGCCTATAGACAGTGGCTGGAAGTGACGTCAGACAAAGCCACCGTTAGTCTGACCAACGAACAGGACCAGGGCGACACATACCTCTGGATGCAGATTGAATGTAAGAAAAATGATTTGATCAGTAGACCTTTAAATTTGTTTTTGATAGGATTCCATTGCGTGGATTTATGCGATATGTCAAGCACCACTTGCAAGAAATTGGTAAAAAAGAGACATCAACAAAAAGTAATATAAACAAAATTCTTCACTTATCTTAACTTTAATTTGCCCCTGTATTTGTGCAATATTTTTCAAGGGTTGACATATCTTAGAAAATTATTAATATGTTTAATTGATAAAGTAATGTACAGATTATCAATTATTATTATAAAGGAAGTCAACAAAATCCTTTTTTTTAATTGTTGTCATTTTTTTTTTCAATATTGAATAAATGTGTATATTTTCACATCTATCTAACACTAGCTACTTTTCTATTTCATTAATCCATAGAAATATTTCTCTACAGCTCCTGATAAATCAGAGGACCCAGTCCGTTTATATTGTGGAGATGCATTAGAGAAATTTTTAAATCCTGATGCGACGATAACAGAGGAATCAATGACATCTACAAACGCACCATCCATAACAAGTATGGAATCAACGAAGCAAGAAACAACTATGGAATCAACGAAGCAAGAAACAACTATAAAGCCAACGCAGCACGCAACAACAATGGAATCAACGGCCACTGTGAGAGAAACATCAAAAATGACATCAACTGTACAAACCACCACAGAGGAAGATATGATTATAAGAAGTGGTATGTCCACTTCAACTTTAAATTCCCAAACTACCAAACGCACAACATCTAAACCTATCACAACCCACAGCACAACACTAAAACCTATGGCAACGAAAAGCACAACAGTGGAATCCATGACAACCAAAAGCACAACAATGAAACCTGTGACAACCAAAACCACCACAATGAAATCAATGACAACCCAGACTACCACAACGAAAGAAGAGAAGATAGATAATATTCTAAGTACAACCAACTTAACAACTAATAGAACCTCTTCCTCCACATTGAGAATCCCTTCTACCACTATAACCACCACTAAATTTGTGCCACATTTGTCCGCAACCACCCACATCAACCCCAAACTTCCAACCTCCACCGTCTCTATGGATAGATCATCTAAAGGTTTAGTTATTAGTCATCAGAAAAAATGTAAGTCCTAAAATTGTTTTGATAAAATAAAACAACCATGCTGCTCTATGGATATTAAAAGAAGCTGTGAAGTTTTATGTCTTAGTGCGTAAAATGAGAAGATAACAGACAGGATGCGCAAAATTGTGAGCAGATTAAACACAAACCACTACAAATCCATCACAGGTGGGGCTAAGTTTCATAGAGAAGACACGAACCCTTGTCAAATCGTGGTTGTCTCCAGACCTTATTTAGGTTAAGGAAGTAATCAGTGAAACTTACATCTTGAGTTGTCTGAAACACATTTCCCAACACTGAAAATGACTCAGATTTTACATGTTTTCGCAAAAAAGGCCAATGTATTGACCACAGAATATGAGAAATATTGTTAACCTTGCATCATCAACTTGTTTGTCAATGACTGCCTCGTTTTAGAAATTGTTCGTTTGTGGAACAAGCTCATGGGTATCGAATCAATACCGAGACATAACTCCCCAAGCAGGTGATAACGGAATATTGCTTCATTTAAAAGGAAAGTTGATGATAGAAAAGAAAAGTTGTAAACATCACGTTTATCATAAAGGTTTTAAGTTAGATTGTCAACAAGGAGTAAAAAAGCAATGTGCAAACAATACTTATTGTTAAAAGAAATATTGAACTGTTGAAGAAAAATCAAAATCTGAACTAGTTATCCATCTGTTTAACATTGTGTCGAGAGAATAACCAGTGAGCTTTATGTCAAGAAAATGAATCACGGATAATAATCTATGTGTTGATTACTTGTGTTCTCTACAAGGACGTTACACGTGTTAATTAGTAATCCACAGTCACAATAATAAGCCATGCAAGTGTTCCTCTGTTAGTCTCCTGCACAGGCTACAAGATTACAACAGACACAGACTTTGTATCATATTTTGGCGTGCAAGAATTCAATAAGCAGATGCCTGTATTTTTATGTGAGAAAAAGGGGGCTTGTTGATATCGCCTGTGATGTGAAAAGACGTGGCACGTTTGTTGATGACATTGTTTCGTGCTTCAGCACATGCAACCCTCTCCTCTCTGGCAGGTTGTAATTAGGCAATACAATGTATGATGAAACCAGTTCGTGAGCAGGCACGCATTAGAACATCAATAGCATATATGTCTGTCGAGGATAACTATCACGTATCATTCATCCTATACATTTAATTACACATTTTGCAATTTGTAATTAACTTGTGATATAGAAGTTTCATTTCTAGCAAGGACAGTTAAATTTTTTTGGATTAGTATATTTAAGCATTTGAGAAGATTTAAGTGTAAATTGCTTTTCCTATATTAGCTGATGGGATTTTTCTGTTCGTTTAATTTTCTAGCAACATCTGATTGACAAAGGAGTTCTTGTCTATAGCAATCCACGTCAATATACAATATTCTTAACATTACGCAACTGGTGCCAAGAATCTATTCGCATGTGCTGTTTTAACATGCTGATGTATTTATAATTTGATGCATTTATCTTTAAATTTTCACAGATGCATATTATGTCTTTGAAAAAATGTTTGAGTCATCAGGAGTGAACGGTTTGACTCTGTGTCAACACTGACTTTTTAATGCTCTATTTCTTGCGGTATATACTTTTGCGGGGGAGTGGGTGGGTAATTGCAACAGAAGTTAAAAAAAAACTCTTTTTCAGATTGCTTTGGCACCTGTCACGACACTTTTGGAAAAGGTTTCACGCTGAATTTGAAGTCCTTTATCAACCCATCAAAAGTAAAAAAGTACTGCCGGTGAGTAGAAAATCTAACAATCAACCCCATCCCCCCCCCCCTTTTTCTTTAAAGAAATGAAGACTGAGGCCATATTTAAGCAAACCTAGAAACCCAATGGGCAATTAGTTTCCAACATTAAAAACGTGTTAATTTCTTTTTATACCATATGATCAAATAAAACAATGCACAAAAAACCTATGCAACTTCTAATAAAAAATCAACCAGGTTTATGTCACATTACGTGTATATGACTGCTTTGATTTCGATTAAATGAATCAAATAAAAATCGCTTTAAAATTGTAAAATTATTACTTTTTTGATTGTTCGGTAAGATTTAAATTTGGTATACATAAATGCGAAAGTTGACAGAAATTCTAGTAATAATTTATGTCATTGGAATGTTTATTTTTTGCGTTATTTGATGTACATATGTATATGAGAATGTTCTATACAAGAAAAGTTAAATATTGCTTAAATTAATCACCCGTACACTGCTATTACATACGATTCCTTTTTTTTTTTACTTAAAAGGAAAATAGACGATCGACTTTCCTGTTTCGAATCCCAACTTGAACAATGCTCTTCTACAGAAGAAATGGATGCAGACAAGGAACTCAAGGCCAACTTAGCAGGACAAGAGGTCATATGCGAGGAAAATCTGAATGGTAAATTTAAATCTAAACTGCTTTAGAAATTACTACGACTTTTTGGGAAGTTTTTGGAGGGGGTGTATACATACTGAATACCTGCTCGACTTCAATATTGCTCGTGTATTAAGAAAACAATAATTATACCTAGGGAGATATCATCCTACTAAGATTCTACCAAAACATTTCAAAAAACTGCAAACCACAGAAACCATGGAATGTTATTAGTTATTGGCATTAAGCTGGCGATGCGTCCCAACATGTTATAGATCAAAGACGCCATGCATGCACAGAATGCAGGTTGTTTATCTTTGAACTTGTCTGTTAAGCATTATTAGCTAATTAATGCAGCAGATGTTTATCATGTGACTATAATTAGGAATCTTCCAATGGATTATAAGTGTCACATATCACTCTGGCGTATTATTATTGAAAAGAAAAAATCATGACCAAAAAGTGGACCGCAGAAAAATTGTGATACCTGTTTATAAAATGCAATCGATGCTTGGCAAATGGGCGAGGAGAAATATATTACACTGTCTGTCATGTAGAAAGCAATTAATTTTTTAAAAAAAGCTCTGTATTTATGAATTTCATAAAATCTGTGCATGCTTAAGACTCAGAAACAATTTTCATGTCGAAGGCGTTTTTACATGAAGTATAGCTGAGGTTCATATATAAGGTCGAGTGCGGTTTGAGCTTGAAATGAAAGTACTACAGAGTGTGGCACACCTGTTTCATATTAAGATATTTTACTTGAAAAGGACGTTAATGGTAATCTAACAACCAAGCTTTATGACAAAAGAAATGTCTTTAACTTTTCAATTGTCAACTTCCCTTACTTATGCAGCAATATATACCTTCATCACCTGCATATATATCGGTATATATCTCAGTTGATTCGATATGCAAGAGCATGCTCTACGTGCATGTATGAACCATTTTTACAACGAGGTGAGTTATTGACAAAAAAGTTGTTGAAACAAGAATATCAGCAATCTCGTTTGAAGTCATCATTTTGTAAATTTTATTGTGGAACCACTGACCTTGTCAGCAAATACAATTTATCATTAAGTCAAATGCTGACTGAAGTTTTTCATGCTTATTGTATGGCCATTATTTACACATTTAATTTGTGATGACAAGGAACACACGGTTGGTGTGACCGGTAAGCAGGGATGCTCACTCCTTCATCACACCTCATCCCACCTCTGATGTTTTTGAGGTCCGAGTTTGCTCTGCTCCTATTTTGTAATGTTTAATGATTGTTGAACCTCAAAACTGTTCGTTATCTCCATATATTTCATGTATAAGACTAGTAAACTATATAGAGGTACTTAAAGAAATACTACTAGGTATTCCAAAGCAAAACCTTTCGTAGCTGGTTTAAAATACCCCTCGCTAAATGTCAAGCGTGAGGTGTTTTTGTGTTTTGTAGAGGTCCAGTATATGGAAGATTGTTACAACATGAAAGAAGTAAGACGCAGTCTGACATCTTGTGACCAATTGCTTCACCCTTTTGAAAATGTAGACAAGACTGATATATGCAAGTAAGTAAGGACAGGTCACAAGAATACTTTTCTTATCTGAAAAAAAAAATTATATGTTAAAACAAACCAAACAGCTGAGAATAACACATATAAATTCTATAAATTTTGTCATTTGATCTATAATTTTTTTTAATACAAAATTGTCATTTAATCTTTTAATTTTAAGTAATTTACTATAAGACTTCTTTTTAAAGTTTAGAGAAGGAATTCGTAGATTGTGTGGCAAAAGCTGTAGATGACTGTAATGATACACAAGTATCGATGTTCATGTATAATGTAACCAATGAACTGTTTGATTTCCTGTACAATACAGAAGACTGTGAGACAGGTATGGGTTTTTGGTAACTTTCACAGACATTTTTTCCCTTGATCCTTGTGTGTATTATGTCTTGAATATGTTAATGATTATTTTGCAGAATCAGACAAAAGTGTCAAAGAACAAGAAGTTATGGTGACTGAAAAACCGGAACCGGAAACAGACGACGGAGCTGATAAAACAACACAACAACCAGTCGTACCAGAAAAAAAGGCGGGAGACGACAAGAGAAATGCGGCCTCCAGAGTCCCAGGATTCCTTTATCCCTTCCATATAGTTCTAATTGCTTATTTAATGGTTTTTCTGTCGTGATGTGCTGTATTGACGAAGTGTTTTGGAGTAATTGTGAAAAATGTATGGAGTCATTTTCTACATTGATGTATGGTATAGACAAATTAATGGAGTAACGATAGTTATGTAGAACTCCATGTATCATCTCTTCTATGAATCTGGTAATGTTGAGATATATCAAACACAAAACTTGAGATCTCAGGAACTGTTCTTGTTTTATAGCTCTTTATAGATTGCAAAGGAGTACCTTGGATATTATATAAGTAATATAGTTTAATATATTGCATTTTTAATAACATCACCAATGCTCTAAATCAATTCAAATGAATTATTCCAAAAGATCTTCTACATGATTATAAATATTATTCTATGTACATAACAAAGTTTCTCATAAGGCATAGAAAAAAATTGCTTTGCTTAAAAATGTTTTACATGGACGTGTTTGTGAAAAGAATATATGCCAAATGTATGTTTATTTGCCATTTTTCTAGATAGTTATAATATTTACTAAGTACTTTTTTCTAGAAAATGTATTTATGATTTAGTTATTTTTTGAAAAATAAATCTTGCTTTTTAATAGTTAAATTCGATTGATCAATCAAAATGGTTTTTCAGAAATTTACTTTTATTTCATGCATGATATTTTTTTTTTCTAGAAAATATTTTCAAGATTTAAAACTGTCTATACTGAAAAAAAATCTTGCTCTTTTAATATCAAAATCGATTGATTGACAGATCGATCGAAAGAAAGAGAGAAAGAAAGAGAAAGAGATTTTTCCTTTAAAGGTTTAATTGAGAGGTAAAATTTAAATTGGTTATTTAAAGTTCATATTACAAGCAAATCATTATGTTTTAATTATTTGTTAGACTCTAGCATGTGTTCTTTCTTTAAACACCATTTTAAGTTTAAAAGGTTGTCGTTTTGAAAATTTATATTAGCTTTACACCTTTAGTGCTAAATCTACCATAACAGCCTGTATTCTTATCAAATTAAGCTACATGTAAAATTTTCTTTATTTTTTTTTGTAGAAGATAATTATAAGAAAGAACCTTATTCACTCATTTATTATTATATTTTTTCAACATATGCATGCACGTTATCCATTATTTTATTTACAATCAAGTACATTGAAAAACTTCTTACTACTTGGTTTCTGATTTATTTGGTAATGGGTGAAAAATCTTTTTTTTTAAACTAGTAATGCGTGACTGTGTTTAAAATCCTTATCATTTTGAAGTGCCTTGAGTGGCTGAAATTACATGTAGAAATGCATATGATACATAGAAAAGATACTAGATGTTAGAAAATTTCATTGTTACACGTGTTTCAATATGAAATGAATGGTATGTATATTTTGTGATGTTTATTGTGCTTGTATAATTTGAGTGCTATTAATGTTCCTATTCTTCTTGTAGTTATCATATAACTGATGGATTCTAGTTATTATTTTTTTATCAGTATAGTTACAGAAAATTTCATCCATTGCAACCGTGTGTGTAAACCCTTCATATGATGTCAGAAAACCTGTTTATAAAATCTATGCAACTTTCCCCATGGAATGATTATAATTAAAATTCCTTTTTAATACATTTTAACATGACAATAAATGATGAAATATTTATTTCATTCTGTTATATTTATAAATCACCATAATTTTTATGTCTTTAATAAAATTTAACAATGTTTTATTAAACATAACAGCATTGGACAGCAGGCTCTGCCTATATAAGTCCTCTCCATAAGGAGATACGAAAGGAGCCAAAAGAATTCAGTAAGATTTAACATTTATATATACACTGAATAAAAGCAGTAATTGGAATCACTTCAATGGAATGGTTGTAAAAAGCGTATTTAAAAATTGTGTCCTTTAATGTTTAAGATTTTGGTAAAATGTCAAATCTAAAAAAAAAATCCTTGGACTTTTGAGTAGTCACATCTGAATTACACCTCTTCTCGAATATATTGTTGTACAGTACTCTCAAAATTTCTTTTTTCACTACTGCCGAAGAAAGGAGGCTTGGAAGAACATTTACTGGAACCTGCTGTTTTCTTTCATCGTTTATTCAAATATAAGAGTAGTTTGTCTCGTGTCTTCTCTTGTCCTCTTAGATCCTTCAGTTTTGCACAACTTTTCTTTCTGGTTTATTTTTAGATTGCCAAATTAATGGTTTTCTTAATTTAAAGATGTGTCCATCATTATTATGGTTGCTTCGAATCAGGGCATTTCAGCCTTTAAAACAATGGTATAATGGGTATCGAATTTCACAATATGAAAATATGTAAGTACTTACATTTATGGCTTTAGAATAACTTCTGGTTGATTAATGCATATAGCAGTTATGACCTAAATAGTTCCTTCAAATAAATTGTAAACAGGGAAAAAAGTTGACTCTGGAATCACTAGAGGTAGACTGGATACCTTGTTTATTTTCACAAATATTGATATAATTATAATTTGTCATTTCCAAGTAAGTGAAAAATTTTCCATAAATAGTGAAACTGTGTAAGAAATATTATTTTCTCTGTCTTGAAAATCCAAATTAAATTAACTATTTTGACGAAAAATCATCTCTTGATATTGCGCATTCGTGAACTGTTGATAAAATGACCATTAAAGTAAATGGAGTTTCATTCACAGAATGTAAGATATAATGAAGCATATCAGCCAGAAGTCGACTTAAAGATAGACCATATTTGTGAAGTGCTGACGTGAAACGAAATTGTAGATTGTGGACTCTTGACGGCAATGTAATGTCAACTTTATTTGAAAGTAAACTGGATTCCTCTGAAATTTATTGTATACTCAGATAATACTTTTGCGTACGGTTCTAGTGGGATATAGCTACTAAAATAGGAGAGGGTGGTGATTCAAAAGCTTACGCCGTCTGGTTTTATTTGCAGTTGACGTTTTAGGTGGTACGAATACACATCCAAGTTTGTATGCACGCAAAAGCTACTGTATTATTTTTTCAATACCCTTTAAGTAAATATTCTGCAGTAAACTGTCAGAACGTGTAAGAAATATTTTTCTAATTGTCTTTTTAGATTAATATGAATTAGAATTTCGTATCTGTCATATTTACATTTTAAGAGAAAATCATTACTTGATATTGCGCATGAACTGCTGTTGTAATAACCATTAAGGATGTAAATGAACAGCTCACTGCGACATAACCGGATTGATACTAGGGACATTCAATTAAAAAAAACATTTGCCAGTCGTAAAACAATCATCTCAGACCGCATTCAAAAAGACACATTGACAGGGACGTTACTGCTTTAGATATCATCATGCCATTAAAACATTTATGTGCATTGTAAGTGGACAGGATTTCCCACATTTACAGCTATCAAGGGAAACACAGCAGGTTTTTGCATAAAATTGATATTGACAGAGCCTGTTTATTTAAGCTATAAATCATTGAGATGTATATCAAAGTCCAGAGAAAATATTCTCTATTGGAGTATCTGATTCTAATGAAATTTGACAGATGGTACAGATATTCCTAGCACTAATTCCGTATGAAATCTACATCAATGACGACCATGTCAATATTTTTCTCTCGAAATTACATTTATTGAAATTAATCTTCAGAATCATCATTTCTATTGACTCTAATTAAACTTTGGTACGTGGAATATATAGAGATTCAGTATTCAAGCTCACACGTCCATGAAACAATAAAAAATTGGAGTAGAGCAAACACGGACCCCCAAAACATCAAAGGTGGGATCAGGTGCCATGGAGGATTGAGTATCCTGCCGTATGCTCCTTACCATAATAAATTTTATAATATTTGGTGACAGAGTCATTGTATCAACCATAGAACTTACAAAATGATGACTTTAAACGAGACTGCTGATAACCTTGTTTCATTAACTTGTTTGCCAATATGTTACCCCATTTCGAAATTGTACATACTTAGAGCATGCTCTTGCATATCGAATCAACTGAGAGATATAAACCCCGTATGCAGAACGTATCTCTATCTGTTGCATTGTGCCATTGTACCATACATACAGTGTCAGATATTTCCTATCATGTCCGATTATACAGAGATTCAGAAGAAGAAGAAAGAATGATAGGGAGTTATTAGCATCGAAACTGTCAACCAATGAAGCAAACATACAGTTACGGCATAAAAATCAATGAGCAAATATATGCGTTTCTAGTTAAATAAATTTATAGTATCTTTTACAGGCAATAAAAATATTATCAATCTCTTGTCGAAATTACAATTAAATGTCTGCAAAATTTACTTTGTTAATATTGGTATGAGTAAAATAATTCAAAACTAGTTCCCCCACTCACCGTGGTAGATACATACATGTACTATCCGGCCTTTTCGATGCCGAGAATTATAGAATGGGAAGTGATACTGGCTAAAGAATATCTAAAATATTTGTTTTTGTCACAATGTGGTAAAGATGAGAACCACTTCGTTGACATGATCACCAAAGCTAATGCCCCCCCCCCCCCCCAACACACCCACAAACACCTACACACACAAAGATTAAGGATTAGGTAGTGTGTTATGACAGGATATCAGAAAAAATTCCAATATTAGCAGATCAAATGTAAGAAGATGTTTATTCATTTTTACTTTATTTGGACTTTCTAAATACAAAAAAAAAAATCCAATAGATTTAGCACGTAAGCTTAGTCAAAAAGTTAAAGGTGTGCTTGGGGTAGAGTTCGACCCAGTGCTATATATTTTTATGTAAATATGAACAAAAATGAATTGTGCCCTACTAATAACATCGAAAAGCAAGGAAATAAAACGAGAGAGTTAAGCGTTTCTATATTTACTACTCATGTTAAAAAGCTAGAGTAAAGGGAGTAAAGATATTTTTGACCCCCTACCTCCCTTCAGTAGTGTTGGTGGGGACACTAGCCCCTGTGACTACATGTACGCCTATGATCCCACTACTGCTGATGACTCCCAATCTACCTTCTTCAGATCTTTCTGAATCTCAAACATATTATAAATTTCACACTATAATCGTTTAAGATATAGCCAATACATGCGACAATTGCTGTTTCTGAATATGGCATTTCATTAGAATTCCCATTTTTGCGAAATCAATTCAGTCGCAATTTTTCTCCCTTTCTCCCAAAATTATTAATAGATTTACATCGATATCTCTTACAGATTTTTTGTTACATGTTGAATTACTATATTAACTGTAGATATGAGTGAATCTTTTGGTACAAGAAATATTTTTTTACATTTATTTATGAAGGCGATTTAACTTATAACAATAAAATCAAGTAAATAAAAGAAAGTTTTAAAACCTTGCCATGTTGCTTTGATAACAAAATGTATAATAGCTTGATATCTTAGTATCTTAACGAGATGATTTAGAATTTGGCAAAACCAAAAAGTTGTCTAAATGAGATATCTTAACATTTTATGTTGACAAAGACTACTGGAGTATGTGGATGACATAGATACCCTACCATAA